TGCCGAGATACGAAATAGAATCCACTCCAGTGCTCATAGCAGCATGCCGTTGGCACTGATAGAGTTCACCGGACTGACTTCCGCTTCGTCTTGGCCGCTGCCGCTGTCTCGTTCCCCGGATCGTGGCTCTAGCGCACGCGGTAGAACTAACCTTCACCCCTATGTCCAACACACGGCCAATAAAAGCCTGTCACTTAAAGTTAGCATTTCGCTCTAAAATTGCCTTGGGTGTCGGTCAGGAAATCTCTTTTAGATGGATGCCCTTGGCATTCCAGAATATGAATGATTTGCATCCTCGTGTGCCCCTTTCTGTTCTGCAGAAGAACCGACCCCGAAAAGGGTTATAAAGACAATAGGCGCACAATTCTCGCACTGGCGTCACCTCCTCGGTACTCAGTCTGAGTACATCCTGTCTGGCAGTTCACCATGGCTAACGGGGACACGGAGGCGTTCACCCTCCTGTCGTTGGGGCTGCTCTTCATCATCGTACGAATCTATGTCCGCTGGTCGCAAGTCGGCGGACCCCTGAACTTTGCCGTCGATGACTATTTGATGCCATTGGCAGGTGTATGTCTTTCTACACCGACATTCTGACCGTTCTGTCTGACCGATGCAGGCCGTCTTCATCGGCGAAACTGTCGCAGCGCATCTTGTCCGCAGCAAATTCAACGGTCTCACGAACAGCTACATGACCGACGAGCAACGAGCGGCCGTAGACCCAGCATCGAAAGAGTACTACGATCGGCAATGGGGATCTAAGATTCAGATCATCGGATGGTCGTTGTACGCCATGATTCTGTGGTTGATCAAGTTCTGCGTCGCCATTTACTACTCGCGCCTCACGTATGGCATCGGCTCTGATCTCATGTCGACGAAGCTAACTGACTGTCTAGATCTGGATTGAACCATCTCCCCGCACGAGTCCGCTTCGCATACATCCTCCTCGGCGTGACCTATCTGGTCGTCGGTCTGACCATTGTGCTGGGCTGTCAGCCCATGCACAAGAACTGGCAAATCAACCCCAACCCAGGCAGTATGTTTCTCATCTTCTCGTTGCTGCAGCTATACCTTTTAAGATCATTCCATTAACAGACGTCCTACCTTAGACATCTGCCAACCAACCAAATCGACCCTAAGCGTCCTCATCGTCGTCATTCCGAACGTCATAACCGACCTCTACCTCATGTCCATCCCACTTCCGCTTCTCTGGGCTGTGAAAATTAGCATCCGCCAGAAGCTCACACTCATGGCTCTTTTCAGCAGCGCGGCCTTTATCATCATGGCGGACATCATCCGCGCAGTGACTATTCTCACGGTACGATTTCCATCGCCCACTAGTGTCCCCATTACCCATCGAACAAATCACTAACAACCGTAGGCCGGCCCCGACGGCGCCGTCGCAGGAAGTCAATGGGCATGTCGCGAGACTTTCGTCTCCATCGTTGTAGCCAACCTACCAATTATACAACCTCTGCTTCGCAAAGGAGCAAGCAAGATCGGACTGAGCGTGCTGTTCAGCTCAGCCCGGGGGGGAACGGGCAGTTATGGTCGGAGACGGGGCGAGTCGTATCCGCTGGCTAGTCGGGAAGGGAATACACAAACGGCTACGAAAAAGACTCGCACGAGGTTGTCGGTGCATGAAGGGACCATTACTGCCGGGTATGGAAGTGATGAGGAGGGCTTGGTGGGTACGGGCAAGAAGGGCAAGATGCGTGATATTACGGTAACTCAGGAGACGGTGATTGAGACGGAGCCGGCAGGGAAGGAGCCGGAGGGGACGGGGAGGTTTGATTGGGGGAGGAGGGAGTAATGGATTATAATTTATGATGGAGTATGGATATGGGATTAATGATGGGCGGAGTTGGGGATGGCCTATGGATATGGATTTACATACATACACTTAATCACTCAATGATAGTATGACAAGGTATATTATCCAGACCTTTAACTATCACCATACTATTTTCACTCATCAGGGTGTCTGTGGATAAAGTATTGAAGAGAGACTAAATTTTCTGAACTGAGAGTTGAGACTCTCAGTTCAAGCTGATCGAGAGATATTACCTGAAAATAGGACTGGTTCAGAATCTTCCCGTTCTATGTGGTCTTGGTAGATTGAATGTGAAGGATGCTCTCTTCACTTTGTAGTCACTTATATCTTACCCTAATACACTTAAGGGGTAAAGAGTCACCTTCTCCCGTGATGCGATGGTATGTCGCCTGCGCCACTCACCGAGCCCCTAACCATCCAAAGGGATGTCAATGCTTGTAAAATTATTATACAAACCTCAGTAGCATTGTACGGTCTCCCTTTGAAAATTCTAGTAATGATAATAGAAAAGGTCTTGTGGAAGGCTCCCACTGAGTCTTCTACTACGATCTCCTACAATTTTATATTACGGCCCGATTTTGGTTGTAAGTAGTCTTATATAAGAAGAGGAGATATTATTACAGCTCTACTGTCTCGATAAATACTGAATTATTTTTCGGCACCCAACTCCTCATACTCAGGCAACTTCCATCCACCCACCTCCTCATTCCCCATCCTATCCAACAACTCCGGAATCCTCAAGAAACACATCACAGCCGCAAACCAATGCAGCAACCAGATCCCCCACCACGAAGTCGGGAAGAACAACCTCACCATCGACGTATTCAGCTTCTGGATCTCCTTCACAAACGGCCTCAACGTAGTATCATAACTCCTCAACGCCGCTCCCACATCCCCCGCATGTCTGTTAATCTCCCCAGCCAACACATACGCCCCAACAAGACACCCCGTCGTCCCCATCCCCGTCACTACAGCCGGACACGCAGCTGCATCCCCCAACAACACCACCCGTCCCTTATACCACGTCTCCGTCTTCACCTGCACTATCTCCTGCGAGTAGAAATTATCCGTCGTCTTCATCCCCTCAATAAACCGCTCCGTCTGCCACCCTGCCCCGCTGTAGCGCCGTATCCAGAACTCCTTCTGCGCGTCCACTGATGCACGGTGAATAGACGCAAGCAACGGGTCGTCGTCTTTCAGCATGAAATACACCTGCGATGTCGTGGGACTGTGACTCCGGCGGAATATCGCCCGTCCACCGGGAGACACATACGTCGTGAAGGTATTGGTATCACCTTTCTCTCGCGGAACGAACCAGTATGCTGCGTGGATACCGAGATGGAGATACGGATCAGGTGCATCTGGTGACAGAATCCCCCGTCTGATTCGCGAGCCCTGTCCGTCTGCACCGACCAGAAGATCGAACATCTCGGACGTCCCATCCGAGAAGTGCGCCGTTACTTTCTCATCATCTTGCTCGAAGCGCTCCACGGTCGTGTTGAACCGATACTCCACGTTATTCTTGGTAGCATCGTATAATATACGCACGAGATCGCCCCGCATGATCTCAAACTCTGATGATAAAGATTGCGATCCATGCCCAGATGTATTTGGCCGAATTAGTGCTGTGACGTGGTCGTTACCGTCGACGAGGGTGAAGCCGTCTTCGTGGACGCAGTGCTGGCGGATGGTGTCGAGCAGACCCAATCGTCGGACTACTTCAATGCCTTGCTCACGGAGATCGATCTGCGCTCCTTTGTCACGTAGCTGGGGGAAGCGTTCTACTACCACGACTTGGTGGTTGGTTCGGGAGAGCCAGAAGGCGAGGGCGGGACCGGCGCAGCCGCCGCCGCAGATGAGGATTTTCATTTTGTTTTTTTAATGAGGGTGAGCTAGGTAGTTGTTCTTTTTGGGATGTGTGGATGTCATGTCATGGGCTGCATGTTGTGGGTTTAATAAGTTGTCTTGGTTGGAGGGCCCGGACCCCCGTCAACGGAAATTCGGAGCGCGAGAACATGACGGCACGGCTTGCTGCCGCTGTTACTGGAGACTTGATTCTGGTCCGGATTTGGGGTGGATCGTGAGTGCTACATTTTGCAAGCCCCGCATATGACAGGGCTCTGGAGGTGAGACGGGGTAGTTGGCGGGTTTGACGTGGGTTGACTCATGCAGGCGTCCGAGTGAGATGTTATGAATCATACTGTGTCTGATGACCATGCCAGTTTGCTGGCCAACCTAATCTGTACAGAGCAGCTACTATCTCTTGTTGTGTCAGACAAATGTCCCGTCTCTTGATGTATCACACGCAGCACAGCCGGCTGTCCGAATGCGGAGATGTTGATGGCTTCGGCATGTTTACAACCCGTCCGCGGGTGGTGCTGACCATTCTTCTAGCGTGTTGTTTTTTCACCAGCTACTGCGTCAATTAACATCTGAACTTTTATTAGACCTGCTATTGCCAGGGCATGAAAAATTATGATGTGGCTTTTTGACACAGGCGTTATGTCCGGTCGGCATTGTTTTTAACTCCGGGCGAGGAGCGGAAGGTCCGCGGATACGCGCCCGTGGATAATGAGCAGCCGAGCCCTTATTTCAAGATATTCTTCCTGGTGCGGACGCATCAGCCACTTAATGAGCACTGGGGATCATAGTAAGATGGGTATCTACTATATATGATAGAACCATACCCGTTAATGCCATTCCTCAGTTCGATGTTCTCTCTCATGGCTTCCACATTTCGTCCAGAAAGCACCATGTTGACTAGCTACTCACAATTCTCCAACGGAATTGCCCATCAACGGAGAGTTGAAGTTATAGTCACATGCTAGCTGTTTTTTTGTACTCTTTCAGTCCCAACTATAACATGCAACTTGCAACTTCAACTTCTCAGGGATCTTCATTTAGAGCATCTTTTTCTAGCTTCATACTGGCCGCTACTGATACTGATAACTGTCATCCGATGATAAAGCTAACTAGTACAAAGTACTCCGGTAACCCCTCTTCCCAGTCCCCGCACCACCGTTATGCCTCTGCATATTGCATATATCTCATCTACACAATGAGTACTTCATAATCTAGGCCTCCATCCATCGGCATCGGCAACCCCCTCGGAAGCCGGAATCGCTGTCTCCGCAATCTATCATCAACATCAACCCCTCACTTTCACCCCCTCATCCTCTCCCTCCCTCCAACTTCACACCAACAACACCCAAACCCACCATCACCTAAACAAAACAAAATCAAAAAATCCCACTGCCAGACACCATGTCCTCCACCCTCCACCCCGTCTTCCACCCCGGTGCAACAGCCCTCATCACCGGCGCCGCCTCAGGCATCGGCCAAGCCACAGCCCGGTTCTGCCGCATACACGGCATGAACCTCGTCCTCATTGACAACGACCAAGAAGCCCTCAACTTTGTAGCATTAACTCTGCCCTCCACCATCGTCCCCTTCAAGACCACAACGTCCGCCCACCACATCGACGTCTCCAACCCTTCCGACTGGCAATCCCTCCACGCCTCCATCGCCCCCACCTACCCTAATGGAATCGACCTCCTCTTCCTCAACGCCGGCACCATGGTCCAACCCACAGACGGCAAAACCGCCTGGACAGACCCATCCTACTTCCAACGAACCCTCGCAGTAAACACACTAGGGTACACGAACGGCATAGCCACATTCCTCGACGACATGACTCGTGACACTATATCCCCGCGAGCGATTATCCTGACGGGGTCCAAACAGGGTATTACCAACCCGCCCGGCAACCCGGCGTATAATGCCTCCAAGGCCGCGGTGAAGAGTATTGCCGAGCAGTTGAGTTATAGTCTGTATGAGAAACATCCCAATGTGGCTGTGCATTTGCTGGTTCCGGGGTTTACGTATACCGGAATGGTGAGGAGGCATTTTACGGAGAAGCCGGATGGGGCATGGTTTCCTGAGCAGGTGGTGGATTTTTTGAGTCGGGGGATGGCCGAGGGGAGGTTTTATATTGTCTGTCCCGATGGTGAGGTCTCTGAGGATTTGGATAAGAGGAGGATGTTGTGGTCGTGTGGAGATGTGGTTCATGGGAGGCCCGCGTTGACGAGGTGGAGGGCGGATTGGAAGGAGCGGGCGGCTATGGGGATTGAGGAGATGAATATTGGGGAGTAATTGGTCTGGATCAGTGGTATTCATATGTGTCAGTACCGTGGACAGTGGGTTTGGAATAGGAAATCAACATTCAGATTGTCTGTGAGACGGCCTTGCAGTCTGTCTATAGGAAATTTAACAACACACAGTAAGTTCCAAAAGTTACCATGTCAAGTATCTACCACCCTCCTTCATACTCTCGTCCAGTTTAGAATCTCTTCTTATCTGTAATCAATTCCAACAAAGCCCTTTGAAGCCGAGCAACCCCATCCTCCGATATCTGGTGGTGGAAGGCCAGTCGCCCGTTGGGGAATACCAGCAACCCCTGCTGCTTGCAGTAGAACACAATATCATCTCCAGTAATGCCAGTTCTCTTCAGATCGAGAACTATCATGTTAGTGTCCACTGGCATGAGGAACTCGTACCCGATCCGATGGAGATAGTCGGCCACGCGCCGGGTGAGCGCATGCACTTTCGGGAGTAGAGGCAATGTGTGCTCCATTGCAGCGGTGGCAGCAGCGGCCATCATTCCAGTCTAAATCATTAGTACTTATATTTTTGGATTCTTCTGGACTGCGCTGGAATTACCTGTCGAGTTGCGCCACCAAACATTTTCCGGAACCACTTGGCACGGTCGATGAACTCGCGACTACCAACGATAACACTCCCCATTGGAGCACCACAACCCTTGGAAATGCAGATGCTGGCACTGTCAAAGCAGTCAAGGTATTCGCGGGCGGAGACTCCCTCTGCAGTTATACCTTCCAGTAACCGGGCTCCATCAAGATGCATGGCGATGGGGGTCCGGCCTGGGGGCACACGAACCCTGCGGACGTAGTTCGAAATTTCTCTGGCATGTTTCAATGGGAGGATCGAGCCACTCAGTGTATTTTCGAGGGAGACAACTCTGGTAGGGGGGAAGTGGACTACGACAGTATCAGCAAGGTTGGAGATCTTTTCTGAGGAAAGTTTCCTTACAATTTCCTTCTTCGATAATCCGATCCTTCACATCATCCAGGGTCAAATGAACACCGTTTTTCGGCTCAACGCTCGTCACTGTGGCCTGGGACAAAACAGGAATTGCACCAGTCTCCCATGTTTGGACGTGCGCACGGTAGTCAAGAAGAATCGTATGAGGCGGCTGGTGCAAATGAGTGCGCAGACAGATCTGGTTGCCTTGGGTTCCGGATACGACAAAGAGCGCTGCCTCCTTGCCTGTCAGTGCTTTGATCTTGTCCTGGAAATCATTGACCGTTGCGTCTCCTTCCTCATCATAGATGTCGTCCCCGAAAGTTGAGGCATTTACAATCGCCTGAAAAATAAAAGTCAGCCGTTGTCTGGACTCTCACGTGTGAGACTCACCTCCATCACGGCCTCAGTAGGAACAGTCACAGTATCAGACCGGAAATCTCTTCCGGCCCGCTCAATGGCTCGTTCGAGGGCCCCTGATATGGCACTCTTCGCTGTAAAGCCATTTATGCCATTTGTCTGCTTTGGCGAGAAATGCAGGTCTCTGCAGAGACTCGACTGGCGCTCAGGGCCCCTTGTGAGCGTCTTTCCAATCTTCAGAACGGCTCGTCCTTTCATCGTTCCTGGAGATGTCAGTACCGGAAGTAGTGTATTCACAGTTGAGCATACCCTTTTCCATCTGATCGTAGATGTTTGGAAGTTCGGAGAAATCCACCACCTCGTATTGAACGCTGATTCCGGCCTTGATGATAATATCAAGTGCTTCCTCCGTTTCATCTCTGTTCCCCACATAGGAACCTTTGATGTTGATTCTCTGGGTAATCATATGGAAAAGGTCGGTGCAGATCTTTCCAGGTGGGAGACCAACAGCGACGATTGTTCCGCCAGGGCGAATGTACTGGAGGATAAATCAGCTTCTCTCCACGGTATTAAAGAGACGTTCAAATCACCTGTGTAGCCTGGTGGAACGGCTCTTCTACAGATGAGACTATCATCGCAGCATGCGGTCCGCCCCCGGTGACGCGCTTCACCTCCTCTGCAACGTCCGGCGACTTGTAATCGACGAAGTAATCCGCTCCAAGGTCGTATAAACACATTTTCCTCTTGGCGGCCCCGGAAGATAAGGCGAGGACTTTGTGTCCGCATGCTTTGGCATATTGACAAGCCAAGGATCCCAATCCTCCGCCAGCGCCAACAATTGCTAGTTGAAAAATCAGTGGTAAACATTTTGTCCGTGAGAGCACTGTTATACTTACCGATTATCTCTCCTGGTCGGACTTCACTTTCCTTGAGAGCCTTGTATACAGTAATCCCGGCACAAAGAACCTAGACGGTGCACCGAGTTAGACCGCCATTTCGAAGTGGACAGTCGCAAACATACCGGAGCAGCAGCCTCTAGCGAAATGCCGAACGGAATGCGCACTGCATTGTCAGCCTTGCAAATACAATACTGTTGGAAGGTCCCATCGACCATATACCCCGACAACTGAAGCTTAGGACAGAGTGGCTGTCTCCCAGTAGAGCAGAACTCGCACACGCCGCAAGTTCTGTTAATCCACTAGCATGTCATTACTCTCTGTTCTTGGTTTAGCGATGCGAAGAGAAAATACCTGTATTCCGACGGTGTCTCCAGTGCGAAGGCCGTTTACCTGCGAGCCGACGGCAGCAACCAATCCAACACCCTCGTGCCCGCCTAGTCATGGTTGGAACCAGCTCGATACATTGGGCAAGGTGTGACATACCGACGAGATTGCTTTTCGGGGTAGCCGGAAAATCCCCTAAGCTGATGAACAACGGTATCTAGAGCCGAATTCATGGTAATCAAACCTTTCCATGCATGGAGGTCTGTGTGGCAGACTCCTGAGTATTCCATTTGGACCAGCACTTCATCGGGGCCTGGATTCCCAACGGGGATCTCTTTGAGTTCGATAGCTGTACTTCTTAGCGTGTCTCTGCTAGCAAATGTTGATGTTCATACTGTCACCCCGGGTTCTGAATACATGGGCCCACTGCTTGGTGGGAAGCGATTGGTAGTTTGTCCAGAGAGACATGTTGCGATGGAGCGTTGAGTGACTTGAGATGGTTCTAGATAGAAAGTACGTTGTAAGTAGTGTCCGCCATTAGTCAAAGTTGGAGGGAGACGAATCTGCTTTAAGTTATAAGATACCTCACTATATGGGAGCCTCGATAGCAACTTAGCCTGCTATGGATAGCTTACAGTTGGACACTACTCCTTTTAGCTACCTACTTTGGCGTAGATAAGTACCCTTGCAGCTCTTGTTCACATCAAGTCAACTTCATTCGTCGGTAGTCATTCTCCTTTCCCATAACCAGGAATTGCTGTTTTTGAGAACGATCCCAGTATAGCTGAGCTGCTAGAAGAGTTCATTCCCGTTGTTCTCATGTATCTGTAGAGTATCCTGAGACACCATGGGGCCAGAGTTGACGTATGAGGCGTCGGCCATGCCCATTCACGGTAAGGCGAAACCTACATGAGCAGTTCTATAAGCGCACAATGACGACATTTAGATGTCCAGTATCATTGCTTAGCATCCATTTCTAAGGTAAGCACATAGAGAACCAACTAGAATGTTAATATCCTTGTCATTCCTGTTGCTTCATCAGCTCGTGGTTGAAATTGAACGATTACTTGATAAGAATGCCACGGCCATATTGCATCTTGCGTAGGATTGTGTGACAGAGTGATGACTATTGCGTCAGACTGTTTAGGTTGCGGCATATTTGCTCATAGACGAACTATTACTGGCTATCAGACGTAATTATCAGTCTAGAAAGAGGCTGATCTCGGATTTTCGGAGCTGATTGTCTTATGGGGCAGCAATCGTGAACATGGGCTAATTCCTTAACCATGTAAGTATCTGCCTTTACTCAAGGTACAGATGAACATGATGCAAGACGTGTCCTAGTCATCGTTACTTCCTGCCAGGAGCGAAGCTAATGATACCGAAACTATAAACGAACAGGCATGCTCTGCAACTGCGGAAGGTATCGCTAGCCCATATTAGATACCGGTATCTGTCCAGATTAGAGCATCTGAAACATTTGCAAGGAGGGAACTCGTTGTGCAACGTACGATCTAGTCATATCAAGGCTTCAACCGGTCTGCGGTACAACCATGAGCCCAATAATGGATATGTTCCATGTATCGCGCAGAAGCAATAAGTTGTTATCCGATAAACCTCGCAGACCCACGGCCAACAAACTCCTGGTGCATCAACATAGGACTACGTATCCGGCTTGCTGCAATATGAGCCTGATTATTCCTGGCTCAGGTTGGCCATCTTCCACGATCGTAGCAAAGCACCCTTGCTTGGGTAGTTGTATTGTCCTACCATGAGCTGATGGCACAACAGAATATGTGAGGGGGTAATTGAGCCGGGCTGCGCTGGAGCGGTCGCACCCATTGACAGATCGTCAACTGCATGAAATTCGCCGTAGAATAGCCACTAAGCTTATCTTCATGGGCCACGGTTGTGGCTCTCAAATTCCCATCGATGATCGAACAGTAGAGATCCCAGTGTACATACCCCGTCCTTGGGTGGTATGCCAATGTTATAACCTCTGATGAGCGCCAAAGGCCAACCATGTACAGCATTACAAACAGCGTCAGTCGGGTCAGAAAGACAACGATGTCAGGACCACTGAACCCTGAGACCCGGTCGTCTTACTACGACGTGAGAAAGAGAATTTCGGATCCGTAGGTGTGATTAAAACCTTGCTGCCAAGTCAATATGTAAGATCCACAATGTGCATGTAATTCCGACGAGCCATTGCCACCGGAAATGAAGATTCTTCAGCTCTCGCTGGATTCTTGACCAAACAAATCCTGAGTTCTGTGGCCCGCCGTAAGGAAGTTGGGGATGCTCGCCCCCTTGCAGTCATAACTTGCGAAGCCGCTTTAGCACAGCGACCGGTCGACGAGTAAAAAGTAAATCGACGAATATTTTGCAGCCTTCCGGGCAAATGGTAGGGTTGGTGGTTTTTATTGCTGGAAAGGTGTGTCTTCAAATGATCCAAGCGTTGCCTCCTTCCTTGCTATCAGTTTCTTTCACCATATGCTGTAGATCCAGATAAAAGCCTTTCCGGAAGAAGAATCCTGTACATTAGCTATGCGTCTGTATCGTTAGTCAATGGTTGCTTGACTGCATTGCTTTTACATTACCCAAACCGGGGGCTCTCGTGACAAGTTCTCTTTGGCATTTCTATGCCCAAATTAGGTGTCTGGTTCGGTGGCGGTCCTTTTCTTATTCCCTCAGTGCTTCGTGTGCATTTGGGGACATGTAGATTAAGTAATTATGGTTGATAATCGCAACCATCCCAGTCACTTTTCAGCAGATAAAGCCACGTAGTATGGATGATCTCTATCTCCTTACTATTACTAGCGAGTGATAGTACCTAAGTCACATACGATTGCTGCAGTGATAATTGAAGTATACACATGATCTTATTCATATATCCATGTCCACGGTTGACTACCTACAACACAATTTCAATGATCATTGTTGGGTTTTTTCAGCCGCGCATAAACCAAGCAGTAGCAGCCCCTACCAACGCAAAGGCCGCCGCCCATCTCATTAGCCCGCGCTTAATATGATACTGCGCAACCTGATCAATAGCCTTGGAGTCGTTGATCCGTGGGAATGGAACATCAGGTATATCCTTCCCCAAGGCCTTGCAAAGAGGCTCCCAACCTTCCCGCACATCGTAAAACACCAGACGATCCTCGGGCACTATCTCCTTCAACCACGCAATATGTCGATGCCATATGATATCAAACGCACGCTCATTGTTGTACACCTTGTCCCACTGCGCTTGCAAGACCGAGATATACTCGACAAAGTGCCGCATCCCAGGAAGTGGAAGAAGAACAGCGCGTAGAAACCACAATGTAGCCAATCCCTCAATCTGGGCCATGCTCTTGACCCATGCATCAGGATCGCGAACTGTACAGATAACCTTGCTGTCGGGATAAATCTCCAGGAGCTCTGGCACGAACTGAGTGCCAGGAGCGTCGGTTATAGCAACGTAGCCATCTGTTCGGTCTTTCATCATGGCAAGAACCTTCTGGTGATTTTTGCCTGATAGCCAGTCGCGTAGAATAGTAATCCATGATTTGACCTCGGTTGACGGGCCCATTGTTATCTGCGTACCACCATGGTAGACAGGTCCGTCGAGAAGAATGTTCAAGGCGGCGCTGAAGGACGCCGTACCGGTGCGAGAGAGACCTGCACCGATGACTTGTAATTTGGCCCCTGCTTGAGGGGTTGAAGCTTTTTGACCCATATTGATGGTTGCACAATCCCTATGAATTCGAGTCTAGGGCGCGTATATTCGGGTCAAAACACAATTAATTGTAAGGAATTTGAACGCTCGAGGAATTGAATGCTATAAAGTACAATTCTATTGGGGAAAGGGGGTTGCAAGCTAGTTATAAGAACGTGAGGCTGTGTCGGTCGGAAGGTTTAGTGCTAGACAAGCAAAAATGGTTGATCGCCGGCAATCCTGCGTTGGTTACTAACTGTTAGTGCTTACACTAAGCCTCTCTTATTCCGTTCAACTAGGAAGAAACAGAATTAGAGGTTCATGTAGCCTTTGAAAATGATTGGGTGAATCGCTTACTTGGGTGAATCGCTTAAATGGGCTCCAGGGAAATGAATGCCTTTCTTTGTTGCCATAACGAGGTTTGTTGGGGGCGAAAAGGCGGTGATAATTTAGCCTGGATATAAGGGAATGATTTGGAAGCACTAAATCAAGCTCATAATTATCTTAGATACCACAAAGATCTGTGAAATATTTTTTTTTTCTTTTTTTTGTTATGAAATTTTCCATCTCTTATCTCCTGTCTTATACGATTATGTTGATGATATTAATATAAATCATAATTAGCTTTTTCTCATGAAAGTTGAAGTTTTAGTGGTGTTGCTTGTTCAATTTAGTCCTCTGGTAGAGAGTTAAGTAACAGAGCAGTAGGACCACTCTACCCCATGGGAAAATATATCTTCAGTTGATTCTGGATCAGGACGAAATGATTGTAACTATGTACTAAAAAATTGCTCTCTCTAACTGAAAACCAGACAAGTTGGATCCTTCCTTTTCTTTTTTTCTTTCTTTCCCCCCCCCCCTAACTTCTCTTTTGGCAAGAGTATAAAATGATACAACAACTTAGTGAAGCAATAGACTGTATTATTCATGATACAAGAGGTGTGCTGCCTAGCATCATCAGGCAGAAGTCCCGAATGTAACCGTTTGACTGGGCTTGGCGTCACATGGGTGCCAATCAGAGCAGATTAAAAATACAGATGAATACAGATGGGGATGGAATGACTCAGATGGGAAGGGCACAACAACATGATGTTGTTAAATAAAAGCCTTTTACCATGCACATCAATTGCAGCTACTTATGACAATCGGTGTTTGTTCAATTTTGTCTCCTCAATTGGCATTGAAAGTATTCAGCCATACAAATTGTTGCTGTGAGGCCGATAAGATAACCCGATAAGATAAGAAAGTCACCTGACCAACCAGGCCCACCGCTTCGGGAGGGTCACAAATCGAACTTTTTTTCGCCTCATTCTTTGACTCTTTGCTCCGCGGTAATCGCTCACGTCCCCTTGTCACCACTCCGTCTCCGTCGGTCGCTGCAAAGATGAAATACGTTCTGGTTTCCGGAGGTAAGCTCAATTGCTCGGCTCGGCTGGAAACCAGCGGAGTTGCCAGGGTCCCTCGCCTTGTGCCCTCTTGCTAACGAAACCCGCCCGTTCCTCAGGTGTCATCTCCGGCGTGGGCAAGGGCATTATTGCCTCCAGCACCGGTCTCCTGCTCAAGACCACCGGTCTGGCCGTCACCTCTATCAAGATCGACCCTTACATCAACATCGATGCGGGCACAATGGCACCTACTGAGTCAGTATCTGCGTGGCTTTCGGCTTCTCGGTGATACACCTTATTGACATCACCCCCACTATGCTAGGCACGGTGAGGTCTATGTCACAGACGACGGTGGTGAAATGGACCTCGACCTTGGCAACTACGAGCGCTACCTCCTCTCCTCTCTCTCCCGCGATCACAACATCACCACCGGAAAGGTCTACCAGCACGTCATCAACCGCGAGCGCATCGGCCACTATCTCGGTAAGACCGTCCAGGTCGTGCCCCACGTCACCGATGCCATTCAGGAGTGGATTCAGCGGGTAGCCAAGATCCCCGTCGACGAGTCCAAGGCGGAGCCGGATGTCTGCATCATCGAGTTGGGTGGTACCGTTGGTGACATCGAGAGTGCGCCCTTCATCCACGCTCTGAGCCAGCTCCAGAGAAAGGCCGGCAAGGGCAACTTTGTCCAGATCCACGTTTCCTACGTGCCTGTCATCCCGCCGGGACCTGGCGGTGAGCAGAAGACGAAACCCACGCAGAGGGCAATCAGCGATGTGCGGAGTGCTGGTCTCAACCCCGACCTGATCGCTTGCCGCTGCGAGCAACCTCTGGAGGATAGCACCATCAATAAGATCGCCAACATGTGCTCCGTCGAGCAGCACCAGGTCATTGCCGTCCACAACGTCACGACGACATACCACGTGCCCATGCTTCTCGAGAAGCAGAAGCTGATCAGCACCATCACCGATATGCTCGACTTGAAGTCGATCCCCCAGACCCCTGAGCGCAAGGAGCAGGGCAGCCGCATGTGGAACGACTGGTGCGACCTTGCTCGTGGTCAGGACTTCCTCCACGATTCCGTCTCCATTGCTCTGGTTGGAAAATACACTTCCCTTCACGACGCCTATATCAGTGTCTCCAAGGCTCTGGAGCACGCGGCCATGTACTGCCACAAGAAGGTTCAGATCATCTGGGTCGACTCGTCGCATCTGGAGGATGACACTGCCTCGCCCGCCGACTACCACAAGGCCTGGCACGCGGTTTGCACGGCCGATGGTGTCCTGGTGCCCGGCGGTTTCGGTAACAGAGGTACTGAGGGTATGATGAAGGCCATCACATGGGCGCGTACCAACAACAAGCCCTTCCTGGGTGTCTGCCTGGGTATGCAGCTGGCCGTGTTGGAGTTCTGCCGCAACGTCGCCAACATTAAGGATGTCGGCAGTGAGGAGCTGCACCCCAAGGCCGAGAACCACGCCATTGTCTACATGCCCGAGGTCGACAAGGGCAAGCTTGGTGGTACCATGCGTCTTGGCAGACACCCCTGTGTCTTCCAGGAGAACACCGAGTGGTCTCGTCTGCGTGGTCTGTACGGACCTTCCGTCTCGCAGATTGAGGAGCGCCACCGTCATCGTTACGAAGTCAACCCCGACATGATCGAGCAGATTGAGAAGGCCGGTCTCTCTTTCATCGGAAAGGACACCAAGGGCGAGCGTATGGAGATCATCGAGATCAAGGACCACCCCTGGTTCGTCGGTGTCCAGTTCCACCCCGAGTATCTCAGTCGGGTCTTGAGCCCCAGCCGGGCTTTCCTCGGTTTCTTTGCCGCCGCTGCGGGCTGCCTGGATGAGGTCTCCAAGGCAGTTGTGCAGGGTCAGCGGAGCATTGGCCGGAAACAATAGATCTCTTTGGCGGAGGAGCGGTATTTTGCTGGAGTTCTGGTGAGAAGGATACTGTTGACGGTACACACCGTCTGGGTTTTTCTGTTTTCTGTCTGGGGCAGGTCTTGAGTGCTGCTCTGCTCATATGCTGTGAGGCAGCCCCGACCCATTTGACTTGGGGTCTATGGCAGACTCGCGTGGGGAGGATACCCTTGACAAAGACCTGAAGCGTCACCCAGGTCAATCAGGTCAGATTCACACGACGCTGCACAAAATGGAGTCGAAAATAATATGTCGGAAGTTGTCTGTTTCCTCAGGTTATGCTTTTGTTGAGATTGCAGGGCTTTTTGACTACGTGATATCACTATAATATAAAAGTATTGAGACGGCCGGTCCATTGATAGATTAAATCAATACAATAGATTAGATTTGGTGCCAACACTTTTTCTTCTATCTAGGAGTACACTTCTTCTTTTACTACTACTACTACTACTACTCAAGAGTAATGCTCTCGAGTCACACTTAAGCCATAACTGAGCAAAGATCGTACCAGTCCGTCATCTAAACAGATGCCTTCCATGTGCGATATCCACCACAGCATAAATACTCCTTATCCGACCACATGCACACATCATCACTTCTCCCCAACGAATGATCTACTACCTCGGTACGGATCATCCCAACCTCAAATAACAATTATAGCATGCACTGCGAAGCCGACCGGCCGTTATTAGAGTTTCAATCTAGCCCTGCGACCTGTTGCAGATCAGCCATAAATCAGACAGACCCTTGGGGACGATCGCTCGGGTTCTACATACAAAGAGAGTATCGCCGTTGCCGATCTATCTTACAACAACATGCAACATATCTTATGAGAAACATGAACATCATATAACAATCAATAGTCTACTACCATCCCAATATTGATGTAAAATATATTCTATAAAAAGAGAATAAAAATTAATGGTATATACCCAACTCCACCAATGCCAACCCAACCCATCCCAAAAACAAGAACAAACAACCACAAGAAGAAAAAGTTCTCTCTAAGCAGAAGTCGTAACCAACACCTCCCTCCTAACACTAATAATCCCGGGAAACTTCATCCCGATCCCAACCGTAGCCCCATTCTTGGGCAATATCGGATACTCATCCACCCTGCCCCCATGGCCATGTCCACTCTCCCCCCCATCAACCACATCCACATCTGCATCCGCATCCACCCTCTCCCCCGTCTCAACACTATACATCGTCGTCCCATATAACCGCTCATCGTGGGCGTGCATCGCCATGCGATCGTCGAATTCAGAAGGTGGTGTTCGCGTAGTATTGGTGTCGAGGGACCGAAGCGGGACGGAGAAGTTTCGTTGCTTGTTGCGGGTGCTCGGCCACGGATCGGACGTGTATTCGTTGCCTCGGGTCGAGGGGTTGAATTTGCGGAGGATTGGTCGGAGGGTTGCCATGCTGCCGGCGAAGATGCCCAGGCCGGTTTCGATGTTGGACCAGATTGCTATTGGGGTTGTTGCCCCTGTTATTCTTTGTTAGTATTCGGTGTATTTGGTAAGGTGGGGGTTATTGGGGAAGGCGTACAGAGGTAGTCGACGCTGTAGAGGGTGTGGATGTAGGGGATGCGGATGAAGACGGCGATGGAGGCACTGTTCATTCCATTGGGGTTAGTATGTGTGACTGAGTGGAGGGTACTGAAGGGTATAGTACTTACACGCAAGCCATACCCAACAGTCCAGCGACAGCAAATTTAACATCACGCTTCATATTGAGTTTCCGGACTAGCAGGATCGGAAGGATGGCGATAGTGAGGTCGAAGAGCGCAGAGGAGGCGCTAAAGGCGTACAGTCCGCCCACGATTATGTGCATGTTCATGCAAGATCCGGGGCCCTTGTATGCCGTGGACAATTGGTTCCAGAAATACGACATGGGGTGGCATTGCACGAGGACCATGATGAAGAAGATGAGTCCGGCGATGACGACGATTCCTCCGACGAGGCAGACGGTTATCCGGTGCGTTCGGTCGATGGTCACGCGGAGGATGAAGATGCTGACGGATATCTTGCAGAGAATGGAGGCGAGGGCGTAGCCGATGTCGCAGTAGAACCAGTACTGTTAAATATATTGATTAGTGGTGAGGGTATGGAAATCATGCTGTGAGGTTGCAGTGTTTACCTCCATTGCGGTTGTCCGCTGGTGATTGGTTAACTCGGTCAAGTGTTTCCCTGTACCGTACAAACTACCTCCGATCATGCAGCCTGAGAACATGGCATAGAAGAGCTATATCCGACGTCAGTGTATATTCATTGGACATGTAGAGGAAGAAGGTAGCTCACCAATGCCAGTACCATAACTCCATCATCCCATCCAAACGCCTTGACAACTGCCAGGCGGACATAGCATCGTAGAATCGTCGTCACAGACGCCAATGCAAAGAAGACAGCAGCTACTGCTCGTACTTCTAATGACCGATCCACGGCCATGATGGTTATGCGAGCTGGCCAGCAGGCGAGAGGTGACAGCAGCAGCGTTAGCAGCGACAGTGTAACATCTGCGGAAATCCAATGGGATGGAAAAAGATATTATGAAACAAGAGTTGCCATAAGCGAACGTGACGTACCAGACTGGCGAAAGAATGGTTAGACTCAACTGCCGACGATTTCAGCGACGCCGCTCATGGGCGTTAGGGTTCCTGGGACACCCATGGATGAGACACCGATGGAAACAGGTCTGACTGGATGAGACGGCACAGCACGGAAAGTTTAAGGTCCACTTGCGCAGGATAAGAACCGTAAAACAGATGATGCTGTGAGGGGAAGGGGGCGAACTGTGCTTGTGCGCCCGTTGGGAAGTAGATGAGATCTTAGATTAGCGATCAGGGTGTCCACAGTTGAGACTTTGGACTTATTGGAGAGAGAGAGAAGCCTACTACCAGTGGGTCCTCGCGACGGGGCGCAGGCCGAATTTTCAGCTGAACCACGTGGGATCCGCCGCTGAACGTGGCCACTGACTGGTCGCTACCGCTGAAATTCGGTGATTCTCGTGTTTGTTCTGGTTTGTGAGTCGGCTTTGGTTCGGAGGTTTTGCTGTTTGTTGTCTGTTTACCTGAATGGTGGTTCCACTGGCCCTGGCGCTCAGGCCTTCGGGGTTGAGGACCTCACTGGACGGGCAGAGACGACGCTACAGCCAGCCACCTGACTAGTCCTGTTAGTAGTGCGCTGAGCATGCCATGCTGCACGGTTAATTATAAGATCACGAAGTGTTGCTGAGATCTAGACCAGGGTCTTGAGGAAATTGTCAGGGGGAACTACTGAGATTGTTTGCAGCGCCTGGCCCATTGTGGTTTCCATCAATGCAGCTCATCCCGAGGTACAAGTAAGACAACAAGTTCCCCGCAGAATTTCACACGAGTCTCCTAATGCATAGTATAGCTTTTCACTTAGCATGTATACATTCGCTGTGTTTCTGCTTCCTGCCTCAGGCATGAACAGTAGTGCTCGAGTCATGAACTCCGGATGCGGCAGTGGGTCGAGCCGCACAGATGAAGCAATAAAAATGAAACGAACCATGCCAGGCACACATCGCTACGCGGCAAAATAAATATTTGGAGACACGCAAAACTCAATTATTAAAGTATTTCTTGTCCGATGGGTTTGTAGCTCCACTGATAAAAGATTTTATTGTGCTGCCATGTGTCTTAGCTCGATTAGATCGGGGTTGCGGACCCTTCTCATTTAAGCATGGGCTTGCGACTGCTTGCTCCTGAATAGAAGGTTCGAAGCCTTTGGAAAGAGAAACAGCTGGCGGTGCTTACTCGCACATGTTGAACAGAGCAACGGTAGGATCGTGATCCGATAACTCATCGTCTGTCGACACCCACGTGTTGACATGAATGTGCTCCATTTTGGCCCCAGACGTCAACGCGGAACTCACATACATGTGGTCTAATGATTCGCAGTTCTGGTTATACAGATAGGTATACCTCTCGGTCGCTGGGATGCCAGTAAAGTCCTCCAGGTCCTGCAGCTTGGACTCGGAGACAAACACCTCCAGAGGCTCGACAAACGCATACTCGTTAAAGTCACCGGCGGTGATAATTTTCGCATCGGAATTGACCTCCAGTATGGAGGTAACAAATTTCTACGCCATCCACGGTTAGATTCTGCTCGGTTCCAGACAAACACAACCAAGATGAGAGAAATCATTAGCGCGAAAAAAGTACTCACAGCAACCACTTTAGCCTGGTCCACGCGGTTCTCCACCCATCCGTTGACGGGGGGTCGCGGATCGCCCTCCAGCGAAGTGCTGTCATATTTGGAGGTGAAGTGCACGTTGATCGTATAGAAGGTGTTCTTGCCGTCCAGTGTCTCCCATTGGGCTACCAATGGCTTGCGACTGTCATCCCAGGCCTCGTTGGAGGGATCAATCAGACCTGGGTTGTAGCTTAGATTGCCGTCGGAGAGGACGGAGGTGGAGTCCCTGCTGGATCCGGGATTGTGGTTTCGCAGTCGTACCACCGATGGGTCATAGAGGTACGCTGGCCGGATATTACCGCCGCGTTCTCCGCCGCTCGTGTCATTCTCCGGATCGATGTCAGTGTAGTTGTACGCGACTCCGTCGTGCTCTTCGATCGCACTAGCGAGCTTGGACAGTGTCAGGCTGGCGGAGACGACTGGTGTCATAAATGTCAGTGACATGATCTTATCATGATGGCAGTGGAGAGGGTTGAGATTACCGCCATCATCAGTTGCTCCGCTGTTGTCCTGGATCTCTTGTAGAAACAGTACGGTTGGACTGTTCAGATACTTGGCGATATGCCCCCCGATCCCACTCATGGTGGTCGAGTCCGGAGAGAAATTATCCACATTGTAATCTCCGACAGTGATGGAGCTGCAGGTTCCATCCGCCTTGAGTGTCGTTGCCGTGGCTTCTGTAGTGTTGGACCCGGTCTTCTCCAAGGCAGTCAGAGGCAGGAGTGCGTAGAAGCCATACGCCTGCGTGATGATTCCAGTTATGTCCTCGAGGGTGTCTCCCAGTTTGGTATCAGTTGGATTCTTGGTCCCATCCAATGGAGATCCGATGACGATGGATTCCGGGTTGGAGTCTACAGTCAAACACCAAGTCAGTAAATAGTTGACACGATAGCAGAGTCAGGCAATCAAACCATTTGCACGCATGGTCAGCCCGCCCCGGTCATTCTTGCCCGTCACTGGCCAGTCCCCAATTACCCAGGTATCGCCATAAGAATTGGCCTTGCTGATGGCTGTGAGTCCAGTCAAAGTAGCGAGTTCACCACTCAGGCTCTGCCAGAAGTCCATGCCATACTCGGTCGGGTCCAAAACAGGATTCTTAGTGGAAAGCCGACTAGAACCGCCGGGTAGGCTGAAGACATCGCCATTGTCCAGGGAAGAGTACTGCTCAGTGGGAGGATCCAAGCCATCCTTTCCGATGACGATGGAAGTGACGGTATTATCGCTGGACAACACCTCGATGTCAGATGGAGACTCGATCTCAGTGGTATAGACGTAGCTGGACGAGGATCGGTACTCCGCGACCTTTCCACTCAGGGTGACAATGTCGCCGACCGTGACTTTCGACACTCCAATGCTACCATACACATAGATAGAGTTGGAGGTCCGGGAGTCTGAATCGGCATCCGTGGCGCGAATGTAGAACCCGCTGGAACCTTTAGCTGTGACAAGGCCCGTGACACCGGAGACACTTTTTCCTTTGTAGGAAGAAACGTATCGGTCGCCGTTGATCTCGGGGATGGTCACGGCCAGCGCGCTCTGGAAGAGCAGTGCTGCCGCACACAGCGAGGGGATCATGCGCATGGTGTGCAAGAGGTTTGCAAATGCTCAGCCAACTGTTGTTCGAAAGCGAATACCGGCATTGTGAAGAGAATGCAGGGTTCTTATAAGACGACTGTTGCCATGTGGATGAATATTCCGTGATAGGGTACATCTCTACATCAGTGTATAGCAGTAGTATAGATAGCAAGCAGACACCCGTATCGAGGACGGCAGTGGGAAATTACGGTTAATTAAGATAAGAATGCTGGCAGCCACTGATAATCCATCGAAACACCCACGTTTAAGACATCCGATGCAGCCAAGACCTCCCCGATGTCACGTCGGTCGGAGCCGACGGCCCTGAAGAAACCGGGAGATCATAATGTACCCGATTATACTGGAGTAGTGGGTGCAGTAAAGAGAGAGCCGGCGGAAGAATCTTCTTGCTGATTACTGCAGTTCAAAGCCTGCCAGTGATGCTCGCTATTCACAGCCACATGACATTCGTTACCCAAATCTATGTTTCCTGCAACTGGCACACCGTGGAGCCTGCCGACCGCAAGGTGGCCTGTGCCTCCTCTAACTCCTTCTTCGCCTTCCCTCTGCCCGGTACCTGATCCCATCACGCGTAAAATCTAAACCCATTCATTCGTCAAAAGACCTCTTAGCTGCTCTTGCTCACATCCTGTTTCAGGGAAACGATGCGGTTCAGCACAACCCGGTCATCCGTAGAATCCGAATCGACCGCCTGGCATACCGGTTAGCAATGGATCTCAAAGCGGAAATAATAAATGTTGAGGAAATGTTGTCAGGGATACTCACGAAGTAAGCAACACGCATCGCCTGGAACCGGACACTTTCCGGTCCACTCTTGGTCTTCTCTCCCGCAGCCTCGGGCCAGGGAGCCCGGCGGCGCACCTCATCAAAGCCGGCCTCAATCAGGGCGTCGTTGTAGATGGTCTCGCTGTTGGGGTTAATGTCCTTCAGGAAGCCACCCTCCACAGAGTTCGGGTCATCCGACTTGAACAGCTGGTCGTGGATGCGAACCTCCACCTTGCGCGAGTTGTCCGGGACCCAGTGGATGTAGGTCTTGGGCTTTGCGCCGGAGCGGTCCAAAACGGCGCGAATCTCCGTGACCTTTCCTTCGGCATCCTTCGTGAAGGTCGTGGCCTTGAGGGGATAGGGGGACCTCCACAGACCGACACTCTTGCCGGGGGCGAGACGGAAGTAACCCTTGCTATCCTCCTCGCGGAAGTCGGAGCGGTCAATGTAGACGGTCTTGGTGAAGGGAAGCTTGTGGGAGCCCATCTTGGGGTCCTTGGGCGAGAATGGCACGTCCAAGTCAAGCTCCTGGGCCTCAAGAGATTCAAAGTCCTCAATGACAACGGGAACGGGGTCAAGGACCAGCATCAAACGCGGAACACGGGTCTCAAGGTAGGTACGAACAGACTGTTCGAAACGAGCAATCTGGATGACGGACTTGGAGGTAGTCACACCCAATTCGTTGATGAAGGAAAGGATGGCCTCCGGGGGAACACCACGGCGACGCAGCGCGATCAGGGTGTACAGACGAGGGTCGTCCCAACCACGCACGTAACCTTCATCAACAAGCTTCTTCAGCTTTCTCTTGCTCATGACCGTTCCGCTGACCTCCATGCGGCTGTATTCACGCTGCATAGGCTCGTAGACTTCCAAGGTCTTGTTGAGCCATTCGTAACTCTCACGCGACAGTACGAATTCGGTGGTGCAAAGACTGTGGGTAATACCCTCGAAACTATCGCACAGGCAGTGGGCAAAGTCATAGGTGGGGTAGATCTTCCACTGGTCCTTGGTACGGTGGTGCTCCGCGTTGAGGACACGGTAGGCAGCCAGATCCGAATACATCTGTGGGTTGGGGTTGTCAAGCTCCTGCTTCATGCGCAGGAACGCCGTCTGAGGTGCGTACTTTCCGTCGCGCATATCGCGGAATTTTTGCAAGTTGGTTTCCACGTCCTGCTCGGCGTCCTTGCAGCGGAACCTGGGGCCATTCTTCTCGCCACCACGCTGCAACTTGATCTCAGCATCGCTGCAGTGGCAGACATATGCGCGTCCAATCTTGATCATCTTCTCGGCGAGCTCGTACAGCTTATCAAAGTGGTCACTCGAGTGGGTAACGGCGTGCGGCTTAAATCCTATTTGTGGTCGGTCAGTCATGTCCGCATGATTATGCTCACATATGCCTTACCGAGCCACTCAATGATATCCTCAATCGCGGTGAAGTATTTCTCCTCCTCTGCCTCGGGGTTGGTGTCGTCGAATCTCAAGATCGTCTTTCCGCCGTGGTGTCTCGCGAAGCCGAAGTTGATCGCAATGGCCTTGGAGTGACCCAGGTGCAGGTATCCATTGGGCTCCGGAGGGAATCTGGTCAAGGGAGTAACGGGTCGCTCGTTGTAGACATTGGCAAGGAAGCCCTGCTTGAACATGGCGTCCGGGTCGATGGGGGCCTCCTCCGGCTTGGGCGTCGCGGGGCCCTGGGGCTTCGGGGTCGCAGCAGGCTTCGGAGGAGCGTTGGCTTTGGCGGCCTTTTTGGCACGCTTCTGCATGCGCTTCTTCAACTCGCCCTTGGAGACCATCTCACCGGTCTCCTCGTCGAGCTGGAGCTTGGCAGTGGCTTCCGCGATTGCGTCCGCCATCTTGACGTTTTGTCGGAGGGGTTCTCCAAGCGCAACAAGTAGACGTTAGAGGGTAGGTGGTGCCTCGAGAAGAGGATATCCGCAGCAATTCCTGGATGAAGCTACCTCAAGCTAAATGCCAGGAGAGAGCGAGCGGCGTGAGTCGCGTGAGTCAAGAATGGGCAGCACCAGAATGTTTGGTTATCAGCGATCAGCGGGGGAGGGGAATCTTTTGTGGCGGCTTATGTCATCGTCGGGCACCGTCACGTGAGATTACAAGCTGCCTTGTTATTCAGGCTCCGAATAACTCTCATTGTAACCGTTGTTCCATTTGCTAGCCATATAATATAGAATAAATAAAATATAACCAATAGTCTCAAGATCCAACTTGATTGAATTCGTCGTGGTTACTAAAACTAGTGCTTACCACTCAGTTCTACTACACGGTAATTCTGGTGATATATATGTTGGCCCGGGCTATGAGGGTTACTAGTATAAAGTTGTGGGCAAACACTAGTACTACTCATTACAAGATGTTAGCAACTGATGATAGTATTTCAGGCGACATACTACTAGTACCTAATCTGACCTGACTGGAAGTATTTGGCCCTGGGATCTTAGTCTATAGACTCCTAGTGCTGATCTATTCAGCCTTCTATTCAAATTTCGAAGAGTACAGCGACTACAACGGAATCGTAAAGGTTTCTATACCCACCCTTTCTTCAATCCAGCATCGACTAAACCATATTGTATAAGATCAATGATTATTTACATGGGTATTCTCGGCATTTCCTCCTTTGTCCAGTACCGTCTCATATTCTCTGCTCCCAAGGTCTTCACCTCCTGGTCCAAATGCGTCCAAAGAACCTCCCTCCACCCTTCCATCTTGCCCCGTAAAACATCGAATTCCAACTCTTGCTTTCCCTCCTGACACTCCTCTAGATACTCCTGGAACTCTTCCAGTCCCTTATGGATCTGCCGATGCTGCCGCAAGAGTTCAGCAGCTTGGCGACCTCGCCCCGTGCGGAACTCGGGCATCTTTTTCGCCAAATGAGGGAAGACATGGTTCTCTTCTATACTATGGTGAATCTCCAGATGTTGAGCAAAGTGCAGTCCCTCGGAAATGAATTGCCGCATTTTCATATACGGAGGTAGTCGGCCGCTAGTCGAGGCCTCCCAAAGCATGTTCCATGATAGACGGAGGAGTCCATGCTGGATGGAATGGGTTAGTGGTAAACGAGACGATCGCCTGCCTTAAATCGAGATAATAACTTACGTAGTACTCCATTTGCTCCGCTGCTCGATTGTATATCTTGAAGTCCTTCGCCGATAGCGGCGGCTCACTTTGCTGCTCGGTATTGGTCATGATGGGCGTTGCAGCTGCGTTTGTCAACAACCGGCCTGGAAGATAAGGGCGAAGCCTCAAGGACGAGAGAGACGGTGTTGGCAGCAGAGATATGCGGCGACTGGCGTGAAACATGAATGGGGGTCCAATATGCAGTGTAACAAGACTACGAATGCGGATACTTTCTCACATAAGCCATCAAGATCGGATCACCTTCCATTGGGAGGGACTCGCAGAGATCACTTACCATGTACTGTTGTATGCCTATATCATTAATATTGATCGTCGTTGGGCGTCTTGATAGGCAATGGATAGTACTATCTTTGGTCCTAATCCACCAGTCTGCGGGGAAGAAATTGTAATCTTTGAATCCGGGAGGAAATGATTTGGCCCTCATTTATAAGCCATGACCAATCAGGGCTAAGTACTCACCCCACCCGTGATTTATACTAGGAGATAGGAGATTAATGTCAATAAGAGGAGGGAACAATCCTTTGATACTTTGGTAGAATATTCTGATAGTTTATTGTGTATGTTTCAGACTGTGAATTGCTATATGCACTTGATCGTAAGAGATCCAGATGTACGAGGTCGCGCTTCGCGTCCCCTTACCCGTTTATATAATCACAGTTATATTGATATTCGAAAGCAGAGAGTAGTGTAAGAAAGGTAAAAAAGAATCATCGTCAGTCGGCAGTTCAACCTTTAAGATTATAGAGGTATAGGAAAAGAGAAAACAAAATTAGCACGTGTGTACCTTCTCCCGAATGATGTTTCTTGGGATGAGTTGGGAGTACACCTTCCTCAGTCATATGTTCCACGAGTTAGTGATCATGTTCGACAATGGCAACAATATGTAGAAATGAATCCTCATGGATGTAAAAACAAGGTAACCATGGTCCGATTGGTAAGACATCATACAATAAGACCAATAGAAGAGAAGCAATAGGTAAGCCACGCACAAGAAAGTGTAGATCTCCAAGCCAGATAATTAACCCCTCCGTCAGTGAGGGATAATTAGTTTGAATACGAGGAGCAGCATCGCGAGTTACCATGCTAGTCTTAGCTTCTAGGAGGGTGCCCTGAAAAGGTGCATAAGGCTGGTGTTCAGAAGTGTCACTCCGCGATGCCGAAAGTATACTCCAGAATGACGCTACGCTTTACCGAAATAAGCATCTAGTGATAATAAACCCACAGCGATCATGATTCTGAAACCGGAACAAAAGCAGGGACTGTATGCTGATTGCGGTTACTGACGTAATATTATAATAGCCGCCAATGGCTAGCATTAGCCGGTCTTTGCGCCTGAAAAATCCGAATGGTGGCGTCCTGGAGGAGCTTAATCCTGGCATCTGATAGTGTGGGGGTCATGAAGGTCGTGCGTAAGAACTAAATCTCGGCTAATGTTTGATTGACAAGCATGGGAATGCTATACGACTCTCTGACCCTCCAGTAACGCATGGGTCAAGGTACAATGGTTACATAGACCAGGTTAATGTATCGTCACCAGCAAGCAGGCTGACCGGAGATTGTGTCTGTTATCGCAAGGAAAGGATCTTACTTGCGAGAGTAGAGACTGTCCAAAAATTAGGCATAGTACTACAAACGTTTAAACCATGGAAAGGTGGTATCGGGAGAGGACATGGGACGGAATTTTGGTTTGCACCTGAGACAACAGAGAAGAGCGACCTTGTCAAGAGGATTGAGAAACCACACAAAGTACCTAACCTGCTTTGTTCAATGACTGGTGGCTGGGGAAGAGTCAACTGGCTGTACTCACTAACGAGTAAATCGTTACTTAATCGTTCTGAAACACTAGCACTATACATTCAGCTGACGTATCTCGGTCCACATATATGATCTTTCACCGATTTACCAGGGAGTATTTGAATGGGAGTCCCTCGAAAAAAGCTAACATCCGAATCAGTTCAGCAACAATTGGTTTTGGATTTTATCAAGACTACGCTGAAAGAGCTTTTCATGAAGAAGCCTCATATCCCCGGAAGAACCCGGCAGACGAACATTGCTACAAAGCTTTGCCCTAAGTTGCCGCAGCTCACCCACTTAATCAAAGCTTGGGTAGTTTCTTTTTCCACTGCAGCTGAAATTATGTCATCGATTTGCTGCAGACAGCCGACTCGAAGCAGATAGATGGCCGAAAATGGCCATAGCTTGCGAATGGCGATCCGAAGCCGACCCACTCACACACAAAATTCCCTCCTCAAAGGTGACACATATGAATACGAAGACACTCTTACTTTGGGGAACAGGGATATTGATTATGATAACTTTAACTTAGAACTCTTAGTCTGTGCGCCACCAAGGGACTGACTCAATTTATTAAGCTCATTTCCACAGACTCCTTCGGCCCTCAAGATCATACATCCTGAAGCCCCAATTGGCTAAGCCGAGACGGCTTATGATTATCATTTTCACGGTGTTGGAACAGATCTCGCGTGTTCTTACCGTGAATCGGACCTATCTGGCAACCCTTGCAGGGGCAGATAGGAGGACATTGTCCCTTGGCGGTCCCGGGGCTACGTCACACAACCAGAGCTTACGTGACTTCGTACCACAACAATTTTAAGGCAATTTAATTATTAGTGGACAATTGACGAAATACCATGTTGTATGATGACCAACGAAGGTAGTGCAACGATTCAGTCTTGCGAAAGTGCCTTCCACAGTCATAGCAGACAATGTATATTCCTTCTTGTGAGGTAATACCATTGTTATTTGTACCGAGGGCCATGGTTGCCAGTTGGAATTTCTCACCCGAGATGATCGGCGCCGTGAGCTTAATACTACAGTCAGGCTGCCTTTCAAGCCTAACAAGATTTGTGATTATGGAATGTGTGAGTATGACTTCCCGTGCCTGAGTGGATACTGGACCCATCGAACCAGTGAAAAGGCCTGCCCACGAAGCAATCAATCACAATGCCAGTCAGAGCCTGTAGCCAAGGGTCTATCACGCGGTGCCTTGCCAAGGAAGGAAGGGCTGAAGTCGATCGCCATTTCATTGGAAGAGAGCGATGCCAGGACCACACCATTAGATTTTTATCTGATCCCACACTACGTTATCTGATCCGCGCTGCCATCGCCCATTCGTGCCAGTCAAGATGCATGATGCCTGGGTTCACCCAGAGATCTACATCGGGAAGCGCGCCTCGTGCAAAATGGATACACTACTCCTGCATGCGATGCTCCGATGCTCGCAGCCTGTCCGCTCCCTCGGAATGTTGAAAACCGCACTCATGGCCGCCTCGTCGTCGCACATTACCTGATCACGGAGGACTACGCACTGAGGACTATCAAACTACTCACATTCCTTACCTCTCTTTGATTTAGTGGTCACCAGCCATGAGTCCTACCCTCATCACTCGAGGCCGCAATGATGTGCAGCTAGCACAAAATGTGGCTGGTGCGGATTTCAAAGACTTCAGCTATGAGGTGGAAGTCACCTCTCCCAGCAACGGAGAGGGGAATCCTGATGAGATCACTCTTGAGGCCTGGCAAGCAGACGAGGCTCAAAAGTCGGCCAACGTGGTGACCCACGATGCACCTCGTGGTATGCAGCAGGCAGAGGCCGCAGCATTGGCTTGGAGTAAGAAGATGGCTTATCTTACTTATGCACTGTGAGTCTTCCCTCCCATAATGATATAACATATCTGACATGATGTGTTTCCGACCACAGGATCTGGCTTTCATTCTTTATGTTAGCGCTACAATCCTCGGTCAGCAGCAATGTGATCCAGAACGCCTACGCCAACTTTGAAGCTGCCCCTGAAGTGAGTACGGCAGGTATTGCAGCTAGCGTGATCAGTGGTGTCGTCCGACTTCCTGCAGCGAAGTTGTTGAACGTCTGGGGAAGAACGGAAGGATTCCTAGTCTTTGTCGGTGTTTACATCCTTGGACTTGTCATCCTTGCAGCATGCAACAACCCCAGCTCCTATGCGGCCGGTTATGTTCTGTACTGGGTCGGATATGATGCTGTCTATCTCATCCTCGATGTCTTCATGGCCGATACTGCCGGAATGCGTAACCGAGCTTTCGCCTTTGGTTTCGCCAGCACTCCTTTTATCTGCACTGCATTCACCGGCCCCTTGGCTGCCGAGTCAATCATTAAGAGAGCATCATGGCGCTGGGGATACGGTATCTTTGCTATTGTGATGCCGTTTGTATTCATTCCTCTGGCTGTGATATTCAAATTCTACCAACGAAAGGCGGAGAGCATGTATATCTACGGTCGGGAGCCAAGTGGCCGGACTTTCTGGGAATCAGTAGTCCACTACTTCCATGAATTCGACGGTAAGCACAATCCTCTTTGTTTCAATTGACATTTTTCTGACTCTCCTGTAGTGATTGGTGCATTCCTCTTGACCGCTGCCTTCCTCCTCCTACTACTCCCATTCAGTCTCGCGTCGTACGGACGCGCCGAGTATAAGAGTGCCGCTTTTATCTCCATGATCATCATTGGATTCGTGCTGTTCGTTTTGTTTGGTCTCTGGGAGCGATTCGGGGCGCGCAATCACTTTATCAAGTGGCGAGTTTTCAAGCAGCCCACGGTAATAGGGGCTTGCGGTCTTGCAGCGTGTCTCTTCTTCAGTTACTACACATGGGAGCTTTACTTCTACAACTTCTGCATGGTCGTTTATGGGCTGAGCATCGGCATGGCCGGCTATGTCGGGCAGATTTACAACGTTGGCTCGTGCTTCTGGTCTGCTGTGTTCGGCATAACGGTCTATGTCACCCGGCAGTTCAAGTATACCTGTTTAGGTTTTGGACTGCCCCTAGTCCTCCTTGGAGCAGGGTTGATGATCCACTTTCGATCGGCCGGTGGAGGCATCGGGTATATTGTGATGTGCCAGATATTCATTGCTTTTGGAGGTGGCACCCTGGTTATTGGTGAAGATATGGCTGTTATGGCTGCCTCTGATCGTGAGGGAGTCCCCATGATGCTCTCCCTGATTGGTCTCTTCTCGAGTCTGGGCGGTGCAGTAGGCTATGCAGTTGCCGCTGCCATCTACACCAACACCTTCCCTGGTGCACTAAGGGATGCATTACCCGAGGGCAGCAAGGACAAAGCGATGGAGATCTATGTGGGCGGGTACCTCACGCAGCTCGAGTATCCCGTTGGTTCCGCTATTCGTGATGCGATCAATGCGGCCTATGGCGTCTACATGAAGTATGCGTGTATTGCGGCCGTAGTGGCGATGGCGATGGGGATTCCTTGCGTGGCCATATGGAAGAACTTCAGGCTGAACAAGCCACAACAGAACAAGGGCCAGGTGATTTGAGGATGTGTGTATAGAGGTTTTGTAGAGTAGGATACAAGATACCATGATAGTCATTGCTTCCATAATAGTCATTGCTTCCATGATAGTCATTGCTCCATAATAGTCATTGTTTTTAGAGTAGTCATTGCATCTGTTGTAGTTATTGCGTCCATAATAGTCATTGCTTCCATGATGGTCAGGCTACTACGCTGATTTATTTCTCAAAGATTCTCCGGAATAGCTCCGCCATAACGTAACGGTAGAAGATGATAGATCAAACTCCGAATACCCTCGTTAAGGAAAAGCCCTCCGAGACCCGAGTGGGATCACTTTGCTGCCCATCACAAGCGTCCCAGAAGCCATTCTATCTTGGCAGCAGCCATCAGAAGAAGAGAACCAGCCGACGACAAGCGCACCAGCCCAATCATAGGCAACCATGACCGCCGAACCCACCCGAGACACGCACGGTGAGCAGACTATGAACGCGCTAACACGCAGAAAATGGCTCAGGTGGAGCCGTGCGATGGCCTTGCCTTACTCAATGTGGAGATGATGAGGCCGATCCGCGTCGGTGATAAGATTGATAAATGCTGGGCGATGTCGGAACTTGTGCGCCCCTGGCCCTACCTCGCTCAAGACATCCGGGAAGTGACGCACAACGTCCATTCTATGTGGGCTGGTGGGGTTCCAGACCCGTGGTTCCAGCGCTATACTCGCTTCCCTCTTACTCGCGTGCGGACTATTGTCCACTATCATCTACTTGCACCAGGCTGCCGGTGTCACCCCGGACATAAACCCCCTCTTGCCCCAAGCACGTCGACTGGCCAGTGCAGCGTCTCTATCCGACCTCGACTATGCACGAAACAATACGCCCACGACAATGTCTTCCAGCTCCCAGCACGCCAGGAAATGGTCGACGATGCCGATCGACACGAATGCGGCCCCGTTCTTGAGCCTCGACTATGAGGATGAGGTTGTTTACGAGGACGAGCAACGCCAAACCATCAAACACGCCTCCATCTGTGGGCTGGTTGAGCAACTGACACGCCATGATCGGCTAGATGTCTCGTTCAACGAGACCTTCCTCATGACCTACCCGACCTTCGTCTGTGGCAGAGAACTCTTTGAGATTCTCCTCCAGCGACTGAACATGCCCCCACCTCCAGGGCTCAGCGACTCTGACCTCTCACGTTGGACCGAACAGAAGCAGAAGACCGTCCGCTTCCGCGTTATCAACATCCTCAAGACCTGGCTGGAGCGGTACTGGATGGAACCACCCACTGAATCAACAATGGACTTCCTCCGACACATCCACGCCCACGTCCAACCTCTCGCCAACGTTCCCACTGCCTCGCAACTCATCACCATCATCGAGCAGCGCTTGAAGGGTCAAGACATCCTCAAACGTTACATGACTCCCCCAAACAGCACAGTGCCAAAACCACTCACTCCGAGGAAAATGAAGAAGCTCAAGTTCCTCGACCTCGACCCGGTGGAGATTGCTCGCCAACTCACCATCATCGAATCACGTCTCTTCGCTCGGATCAAACCTACCGAGTGTCTCAACAAGTCATGGCAGAAGAAAGATACCGATAGACCACCATCTATTCCTCCCTCACGCCGCACCAGCACCAGCACAATCAGCAGCACCAGTTCTATCGAACGCACCACCGGTGTCAACGCCACGATTCTACATTCGAACCAGCTCGCCAACTGGGTGGGAGAGATGATCCTGGCCCACGATGAGATGAAGAAGCGTGTCTCGCTGATCAAGCAGTTTGTCAACATTGCCGACGTATGCTCCCCCCCCCTAATCTAACACTCTCACCCCACATGCTGACACACTATGCTATCAATAGAACTGCCGCTCCCTCAACAACTTCGCAACCATGATGTCCCTAATCTCCGGCCTCGCCACAAGCCCAATCTACCGTCTCCACCGCACCTGGACACAAGTGAGCCCCAAAACGCGCAAACTCCTCGAAGTCATGCAGAGCCTCATGTCCAGCGACAAGAACTTCATCAAGTACCGTGAAAAGCTCCGCGCAGCAGGCCCACCACGCATTCCCTTCCTCGGTATGTATCCTAACATCCCCCGCCTTCTTTCCAACTAAATCATACCATACTAACACCTACTCATAATAAAGGAACCTACCTAACCGACCTCACCTTCATCGAAGACGGCATCCCAAGTCATACCCCGCCCCCGAACGTGATGATAAATTTCAGCAAGCGGATCAAAGTCGCTGACATCCTGCGCGAGATTGAAAGCTGTCAGGCTGTCGGGTACAATTTGCTTCCTGTGCCTGAGATACAGGAGTTTATTGTCCGGAACGTGCAGGCTGCAGGAGGTGATGTCGAGGGCAAGTATGAGAGGAGTTTGGCGTTGGAGCCGCGGATGGCTGGTGAGGAGAAGATGAATATGGGGCAGCTGGAGGTGGGTATGGTAGGGATGAATATGGGAAGGGGAGGGTATATATCTACGGGCAGTCATATGAGTTCGGTGGTTATTGCCAGTATGGCTTTGCGGTAGTTGGGGGTAGGAAAAGGGTGGCTGGCTTATGAGGTATGATGTTATGAAGTTATTGATATGGTTTGGTTTGGAGTACTAGGTGTTTTAGGGGTCTTTCTTTTTGTATCGAGTTTACTGTTTGAGGTGGCTTCTTCGGTTCTTTATGATATAGCATGTTGTAATCAATAGAAGATAGACTTCCGCATTACGTTCATTGCAAACATTGTTCTAAAGAAAGCCTCCAGACAGTAACTGGTGTTAATTAATATTGTCTCTCTGACTCAAAGCCCCCGTTGAACCACATGAAATGCACAGCATATCCATTCAGTCAGACATAAGTCGAAATCCCCACAGCAGGTACATCAACAAAAAATACAGAACCAAAGCAATAAATCTAAACAACACTCCCCATCCCGACAGGGAGCAACACCCTTCAAACCAATAAACCATACATAATACACAAGAACGAAATCAAAAACCCGAAATCCCAATCCCAATCCACAAAAACTTCCTACTCAACCGCAATCCTCACCTGATCAAAATCAACGACAGCCCTGAACTCCCTAAACTTCACATAAACAGTAACAACAACACCCCGCCCATTATACTCCGCCTCTCCCGGAGGCACTTTAACGGCAAAGGACGAAGTCTTGGGACCGGGGAACCGTTCCCGGAATGCCTCCATGTTGGCGAAGCGAATAGCCACGGCGTCAACATATGCCTTATCGGTCTCGAAGTCAACGGCGACGGAGGTTATGTTGGGGTTCTCTCGTGGTGGGGCAGGGAGGATGAAGTGCACGGCGCCCTGCTTTGCATCGGGTCTGGATGGCTGCACGATGGCGCCGCCTCTGTCCGGGCGGATTTTGAGGGCCGGGTCGGCGATGGCGCCGGAGCCGGGGCCTTGGAGCCAGATAGCCATTTTGGTTGTGTGTGGCTTTGGGTGTTGTTAGTTGGGGGGATGTTGTTTGCTGGTGAGGGTATGGATGGTACTCACAGATTGATGGAATGTAAGGAGAATGATCTTGGGTTGTCTTGAAGTAGTAAAAGATGTTGTTTGATCGCTAAGTGCTATCTGGGATAAGACCAGATGGGGCAGGGACTTAAATAAGTGTTTGGAAAGAATGTTCAGTTAGCATCATTGGCCATTGGTCGTTGTATGAAGATACCCAAGAGAGTCGAGGCTCCAGGAAGGCGACGTTGTCCACTTCCATTAGCTGGGGAATCAGCTTGCAGTGTGTTGTAGAGTGGGCATTGGTGAGCAATATTGGAACGAGGCGACCAATTGATGTGAACACATTGTGATGCTAAGGGCTTAGTTTATCTTGTCATCCAAGAAGTTTCTGTACGTGGTGAGAAGGAGAAACAAATTATGAAGAAGGCGAATGCATATGGGATAGTTTGTTCCGTGAGGCAAAGTATGGACAGCCTCCTCTTCACTACAGCATTAACAGAGCTATTATAGACACGTGACTACTTGTCCCTGAGCTATAGTGCTAAAGTCAGCCAAAAACCCCGGTCGCACGTACTAAATCGGACATTATAACCTACAAAGAGGCGTAGATCGACAGGAGAAGGTAAGGCCTGCCTGGTAGCAATATTCGCGTTCCATAATGGTTGGGTAGAAATGCGGCCTTACGATGAAATGTGGTCTCCATGAACAGACACAACGACACGTGCAAGTCCCCATTCCCACCCAATGTATGAGGCAGTGGGCACATATAATTAGCTCGCGAATGCTGATCCGGGTGCGCTGTTCAGCAAGGCTGAGGGTCCAGTTGTGGGTATCCCTCGGCCAAGTGTCGGTGAAGCTGACAAAGCGGGTAGCGAGGGCAAAGAATTGAGGAATTTGAAATAAACAAATGGCCTTGATCAGTAGCACTATGTGGGCACCCAATGGTGAGTCAGATTGAATGTTATGCCATAGTGCCCATAATCGTCTTTCTGTTGTTCAAAACATGTTGGAATGCTATAGGAAATCGAGAACATCTATCCTTACATTGCGGTTAAGAGAGTCCTCGACACCGACCAGTTCACAGGATCAGAAGACAAAATTACAGAATTGATTTGTGTATAATTCTATTTGTATGTATAAATCTAGCATAAAGATTGCAGCCCAATATACAAACCTAACTCAATATACACTCGCGCATATGCGCCATACTATATGGCGGTGACTTCAAAGTCATAATACATGGGTATCTTGAGCAATGACTCCAGTAAGCAATATCAACAAGAAGGGGAGACCTGTAAAGCTCTCAGGGGAATAGACATCTACAAATGCCTAAATGAGGAAGGAGACGTCACGATTGGGTGAGCTGCCTCTGGCTCCGACGAGCCTTTTCAATAGCGCAGTGGCCAAGTCGGATCAATTCGGCCACGAAATCCGTGACTGTTTGCATATGTGCAATCTCTACTTCCGACGTGCGTCGTCGTCGCACGTCCCTGACAAGGTCCGGGACCACCTTCAGTAGATGTAGGTCTTCTTCAACATATGGATCAAGTGGGTTCGCTAGAATGCTGCAAAATATGGTGAGGATGGCGGACATGGGATAGAAGATAATCATCCTAGGTGCCATATTAGTACGAATAGACCGGGTCAAGAGAGATCATGCGAGAACACACCAAAAAGCCTCAGGACGCACTGAGCCAATGACCGTACGAAGAAAATGCAGCGAGGACCGACTAGCCTCCACGGCTAGGAGCATGCTTGAATTCACACCCTCCATCATTCCGTTCTGGCAACTTCTCCATTGTTGACCCCAGGCTTCACATCGACCACTGGCGCGATGGATGGTGCACATCATATAATGATATTCCAGTCGGATGACAATCGGTTGCATGCGATATATTGGTATCGGATGCTGTTCCTGGAAAGTCCCGAGGGTTGGACGGTGCCCGGGTGGTACATTTAGGCGCCATTGTTCAAGTTCGTCGTCAAGCTCGCGGATATCTTGTAGCAGTTGGGCGTCGGACTTGCGCAGCGCTTTAGCAGAGTAGAGTGTCCGGTAGGTTTTAGACTTGAGCATCGTCAGTCGTAGATCCCCCGGAAAGATGGGTATGGTCATGTCGTCGTAGCGGATGGGATTGCCCTCCGTGCTGGGGTATTGAATTTCGGTATAGTTCGGTGGAAGTGTGAGATCGCAGTATTCATCGTGGATAACTGGCGGTTGGCCGGACCGGAAACATATCTCCTTGTCGAAGCCATAACAGAGCCAGAATAAGCGACGAAGCATTCGTTGAGATCGCCATTTCCGGTCCTGGGGATCTTTTGAGGACTCTCGGAACGCGTCTACCGTCTCGCTTGTCTCTCCACCAAGCATGAACATGACCCGACATGCCATGGAATGAAATTGGTTGGCTAATTGTAGTTCGCCTGTGAATGTTCGGTAGATAGCCTGGTGTCGCAATCAATGAGATGGGCGCTTGGCTGTCAGTGGGTGGGGTCAGTTCTCACCTGCATGACCATGGTCTGTAACGTAGGTACACTGACATCGTGCAGAATATACGGGAGGAGGCTTTGCGCCTTGGCAGCGTAGACCGGAGGGTCGACCGGGGAAAGACTTGGGGCAGGATCAAGCTCGGCAATGAATGAAAGGAATGCAAGGATACATGCTCTAGACCGGGTATATTCCACAGGCGGAGGCCCATGACATGGTCGATACGCGAGCTCCACGGTATCCCGAAAAAGAACTTCATCCACCACAGGAAAGACCATGCGTTCACCAGAAGTGAAGAAGTGGCTCACATACTGTTCCACCAACGACCGGTCTGGAAGGTCCGGTGTGACAGAGTGGTTGTAACCATTCTGCGGATGGGGAGTCGTCAGGTGAGGGACCTGGTTTGGGTATTTGTGCGACCAGACATCCTCGAATGTGCCAGGCTCGCCCGTACAGGATCGCACCCACTCCTGGCCGGACTGCGAGAAGCAAGGGATACCACTGTATGTCCGAACCTCACCCAGATAGTGACCGGCAAAGTGGATCTTCCCGAACAGTAGGCCACTACTGGGAGCCGGATTATCCGTCTGAACAAGAAGCTCCGTCGATTCAGCCAAGCTCGGAGACTGCTCAGCATCCAGATGGCCTTTCTCCAATAAGGAAAGACAATTCCTGGGGTGCTGCGTAGTCGAGATCGACCGTGTGAGAAGCTCCTCAAGCTTCCGCACCCTGTCCTCCAGGTCTTCCTGGTGAGGTCGTCTCAAGGGTCTGAGGAGTTAGTGGAATGCCACATGGAACAAAACATACAATCTCACCTTGGATTGGCGGGTTGAGTGGTCTTCTTTCGTTTGTTCCCGCCAACAGGCCTATCAAAGGTACAATCCAGGTTATGGTGGCGGCACCAATTACAGGGGACAGATGTATCACATTGGATCTGACCCGCGGGAAAGGTCAATAGACTATTGCGAATTGGACTGAAAGTGGACACCCGAAGCGCAACCTACTTTTCTCCGATGGCACGAGTCACAGGCCCGAGCAGTACGCCGAAGGGGCACATACCGATCCCCCTCGGGGTTAGGGCTGGACTCCGGCACGCGCGCCTGCATGTTACAATGTCGATCCAAGGGATCCCAGGGACAAAAGCGCGAGTGGGGACCAATCAGCAAAAATGACAGCAGGTGCTATGGACCGCCTAAGGCAAGAGCTAAACCGAGCAATGGGATGTCAATGGGGCTGCGCGCATATCCGCACAGCAGAACATGACAATCCCTTTGAGGTTTGACGCGCCACCGAGACATCCGGCTCGGTCCTGCCGCTTAGTCATCGGTACCGGCCACGGGCTCTCCGGTAACCCAATTGGGATATCCTTTCAATATATGCCATATCATGATGATACGAAAAATAATTGAGAAAGATAGAGGATTGTACTGGACATATGTACGTTCAGTTTCCCGGCACAGGTTTTTTTTTTTTTTTTCTTTCTTTTTAGCTCATGAAAATCTCGTTGGCATCGTTGCACTGCCATCATCTCTTTTCGGCAATATCGGGTTCAACCGCCAAAAAGAGGGCCTTGAGCCGCGGCTATTTTAGTGATTTCCGCATTGGGTTTACCGTTAATCAAAGTGCCTCGGAGTGTCTCAGCTACACACATATTATTTGCTGCGTGGCCTGATTGTTAACTCCGAGCTGTCAGTGGGCCTGACAGGGTCACATTTATGCACCTGAAATGAAGGGCTCGAGGAAAGGTCATAATTATGCAGACATATGCTATGATATGTTGTCCACCCGGAGGACCACGTTAAGCCATTGCTATGGTTATGAATGAGGCAGCTATCGTATGTCTACGACCTACTCTCCCATCGGATACCTTATTCTGCACCACCATTTATCCTTCACTTCTGAAGACAATCATCCTGCCATCGGTATTTCTGCTCAAAGCCCAACAACTCCTTCATCTTTCTATTAGTCACTGGGGCCTCCTTCTCCCCCATCTCCCTCGTAATCGGAACAGTGGGACACATCTTCTGCAAAAACTCCGCCGTGCTTGAAGTATTCGTAATCTCATCATTCACCGCATTAAAGACCTGGAACCCCAATCCATCCGTAACAATGCCCCGCTCAAACATCAGCCCGATATCTCTGGCATCCGTATACGCCCATCCATGCACCTTATACTGCTCCGGCGAATGCACGTACTCCTCAAACCGACTCCGCATTTCCTCCGGCGCGACAATAGCGCCCAGTCGCATGACATAGATATCGGTCCCGAATCGCCGAGCAAAGCTCCGTGCTGTACGTTCCCCAATCACTTTAGTTAGACCATACACGTCCATCGGGTTGGTATCTACCTCCTCGTCAACCGGAAACGAAGGATAATCGACATCCCCTTCTGCAAAAGCAACCCCGTACGCGCAGAGTGAACTGGCACTTATGATCTTCGGTACGCCCATCCGACATGCAGCTTCCAGCACATTGTAGGTGGAGAAAGTATTGCCTCGGAAGGTCTCGTTATCAGGAACGATCATGTTCCGTGCATACCCGGCTAGATGAATGACAGCATCGGGGACCTGGCGGAGGGGTTCACGGAAGGGTTCGGTGAGATGGAAATGGGAGTGCAGGGCGCCATGGACTTGGCCGTTGTCGGTGAGATCAACTTTGAGGGTATGGACTTTGTTACTGAGGGGAGCGGGAAGTGGGTTCAGGTCCAGGTTGAGGATGTCGTAGTTCTGGGCGAGGAGGTGGGCAATGATGAATTGGCCGGCTTTGCCGGAGCCACCGGTGATGATGATGCGTTTGGACATAGTGGTGGATGTAAAGGGGTGATCTTTAGAAGTTGAAGGGTAGTTTGGGACATGTTGTGACCAGGAACTGCTGCTGCCTTGGTCTCAGTGGTTTTGTTGCTGGTGCGGGGGTTCGTGGGGTGTCGGGGAATGTCCGGGGAAAGGGCTTTTGGAGTGGTTTATTGGATTTCTGGTTCGCGGTGGGACCATCATTGCCCATTGTAGATTATACCACAGTGTAGTACTCCATAGTCCGTAACAATATTATTTTGTAGTTGTATACCAGGAAAGACATATCTTCAACTGACAGAAGGATCCGATCGCCATGCAGGATTTATCCAGAAAAGATACTCCGGCGCCAATAAGAATGTTTGGCCCCCGAAACTTGCAGCTAAAATCTCACATGACCATCCATGCCCCTCGCGATCCCTCACCGTCTCGCAAGTCGCCTCAACTCATCTCAACTCGCAAACTCTAGCATCGCAAGTTCTATTTTGTCGCTGCTTATATTGGGAGACAGACTATATTCTCCCAACCTCCCACCCTAATACTCCTCACTCTACACCACCTTCAGAATGTTCCCTCCCGAACCCCGCCCCCGCATCGCCTGCTTCCACGGCGGTGGCTCCAAAGGCGAAATCTACAAGATTCAATGTTCGCGCCTCGCCAGCTTGCTCGAAAACGACTTTGAATTCGTCTTTTTCGACGGTCCCTATACTCGCGACGCCGGTCCCGGCGTCCTCCCCGCCTTCCGCGGCTACGAGCCATACAAATCGTGGGTGACGAATGACAGCGACGGCAAAGAACTGGTGGATGGAAGTGGGTATGACGATGTTGGCCGGGACGGGATCGAGAGGGTTCTGAAGCTAATGGTACAAAACGATCGGGAGCAAGATGAGCCAGCCGGTCCGTGGGTGGGTGCCATGGGATTCAGTCAAGGAACCAGAGTGGTGGGGGGATTGTTGTTGGATCAGCAACGCAGAGCTGCCTCGGGCTGGGATGCGAATGAGGGAATCCAGTTGAAATTCGGAGTTTGCTGCATGGGGGCCGGGGCACCGCTGGAATCGGAGGTTTCGAAACGTACGTTTGCTTATTATTCCTATCTGTTAACGTTTCTTCACGGAGTAATGATCGCCTGTGAGAAGTGCTGCCTTCTTCCTGCCCAACCTTGGCAGCTTTTGTCATGAACATACTGACATGTTGCAGACTTCAACTTTGAAGATAACACAGTCTCGCTGCCTACATTGCATGTCCACGGGCTCAAGGACTGGGTACTGCCGCTCAGCCGACTCCAGTATGCGAAATACTATGACTCGAAAACCAAGAAATTGTACGAGGTCGATTACCATCACGCCATGCCTTGGAACACGCACGAGGTACAGAAATTGGCGGATCTAATACGGCAGATATATAAGGAGAATGCCTGAAACTGCGTGTGCCAGTGCTACTAAGCTCGGGAGGAATTGTCTTGTGGATATGGCAGTGGAGATGGAGGTCGGATAATGAAATATTATTCAACACGGGATCATGGATTTTGCGAACAGATTTCAAGTTGAACTCATATAATAAAGATAGACATTGATTAGTATTTAAGACGCACTTTCCAAGCTGTTATCAGCTGTCAACTGGCAGACCAGATTGGCAAATCGGAATGGCACAGGAACCATTTTCCCGCTGTCTCCGTAGTCTTGATCACAGTGCAAACCGCCATCATGGTGCCTGCAACCACATGGTCCACGCGAGTTGAAAACAATGAAAACATTACTGAAAACATTGAAAACAAGGTTGAAAACACTGAAAACAATGAAAACAGGGGATAGGGCCACGACCCTAGTCACAACACAAGGGATAACTATTTAAATGCGATCGTAAAATAGAATGCAGCTCTTGCAACTATCACAGCTGGACATCCTGGAATGGTTTTATACTCCCTACACGAGTAGCCATCGTTGTCAAGATCAGCGAACGGCAAGATAACCCCAACTTCATATAAAAAGAAGCACTTTGCTCAAGGAAACTCAAAACTTCCTTAGGAAGGTTCCTGCTTCCCTGTTTTCAGCCAGAAACCAGGGAAGCCACCCGACTGGTCGGTATGTCACTATTCGCCTCCCCCTCTCCATGATCAACACCATTACAGTCCTATGATGTCCGACATCCCTTACTTAAATATTGTTCACTTTTTTCTCTGTGGTGAAAAAGAATTGTACCTATTCAAGACGGGTCTCTGACAGGCTTCTACCATTCACATTATGTCACATTATCATGTTGTCTCAACTGCAGCAGCTAACATCAATGCTTGCTAGGAATCATCCCGTCCCGTCCACATCTACCAGTAAAGATAGGAATCTGATGCGATCGCAAATTCTCACTAGCGAAATATCAATTAAATGCACAAATCGAATTTGTTCTCAAAGTATCCGATTACTAGATCCCACAATCAGCACAGTAATAAAATTAAAACTCCCACCGCAACATCCTCTCATTTTCCAAGACCCTCTCCCCATCTTCATCCCCCTTCACAGCAACATCCACCAACACCTTTGCCAAATCATCCACCCAAATCGACGGGCCCATTCCAAAGAACAATGTCCTAAGACTCATTCCCCGTGCAAGCACCATGCCAGGTCGGGCAATATACACTTCTACACTGCTGTTATCCTTTTCGTAGTTGGTTAATTCGTTCTCAACTTGTCCCTGTGCATATCCGTCATTAGTACCATGCCCTTCATCCCAACGTAAAGCATAAAAACACCCAAAAATATCTCGTATGAATAATCAATAAAAGAGAAGGGAAATACCCTAATCTTCCTCGTCTCCCCCGCCATCCACAACGACCTACTCTGATCCCTCTCCGACATCCCCCCGCTCAGATAAACGAAGCGAAACTTCTTCCCCCCTTCCTCAACCGAGGAGGACAAATGCGTGCCAAAGGCCCTCATCGCAGCCATCGTGTACTCGACATTGATTCTCCGAGCTGTTTCGGTATCTTGGGTTCTGTTCACCCCGATCGCCCTGTTTCGGTATCCTTTCATTAGCTTCACGGATATACTTACTATAGTTGTGAAGGTGATGGGTTGAAAAAGTATACCAAATACACACCTCCGCCCCCTTCAACTCCTGTAATAAACTCTCAGGGTAGGTGAGGAAATCTTCCACCGGTCTGACCGTGAGTTTGGGGTTATTGGTAGGGAGCGGGCGCCGGGACAGCGCAATGATGGATGTGATGTGCGGGTTTCGGAGACATTGGGTGAGGATTTCCTGGCCGATGAAGCCGGTGCTGCCGGTGAGAATTATTTTCATTATAATGCAGCTACACTAGAGTGGGTGAGGGTGTGATCTAGTCTGATGACACGGTGCTTATTGTATTGAATGGGCGTTGTTTGGTATAGATATAATGGTAGGTTGTCGGAGATAACGGGGTTAGCTGGACACTGCCACTTTGATCATCATCAGGCTGAATGGTTAAAGCTACTAAGGCGTGGAAGGATTCTCGTAGTATCTTATGTGCATGGGGTTTACAAAGTGAAGATGGACATGAATGACACGAGTAGAACTCTATGATTAAAGACGTTGTTGTCAATCGTGATTCGTTATCTTGAGTGGTTTAACAATAGGGCGTCTAATCAGGTTTTCGCTGGAAAAAGCAGATATAAGGATATGTTGCGGGCGCATCTTTTCAATTGCAGCTGAAAGGCTACTACTGATGACCTGGGTGATACTGGGGACCAGGCTGGTATGGCGCACCCGGTTGCTGATATTGAGGATTCGACTGATTTGGGGCACCATGTTGGTGCTGCGGATCACCCTGATACTGGTATTGCGGACCAGGACCTTGTTGAGCTCCCTGTTGATACTGAGGCCCAGACTGGTACTGGGGACCAGGTTGATACTGCGGACCAGGACCAGACTCGGGCCTAGGCGGATATTGAGGACCTGGTTGATATGGTGCTCCCTCGCCTGGAGCCGCCCCAGTATGAACCATCTGAGTATGCTGAAGATCCTCAGGTGCATAATCACTAGGACTCGGTCCCATGGGCGCTTGCACTCCAGCAGGAGCCTGGTCAAAGTTGGCATCACCCTGCGCGGAACGAATGGTGTGCGTCAACATTCGCACGGACGGGTTATCCGTGCGTACGTGACCCGTCAGGATCTCCTTGACAGGAATCTTCCGACCGTAGAACCTCTCGTTCTCGTCGTTGCGCTCAATGACAATTGTTCCATCGATCTGCACCCCCGCGTAGAAACCCCTACTCTTGACATAGCACCAAATCGGCGCCCGGCGCTTGTGCACTTCCGACTCCAATACCCCGCCCATGCCGATCGGGCCCGCAGCAACAGTGATCTCGCTGCCCAGCGTCACTCTAACCTTGGTGAATGCTTCCAGCGCCTCGTAGGTATTGATAACCATCACGCAGTCGTAGATATCCGCACCAACAAGGAATCCCAAACCAGCCGTATGCAACAAGATCCCCGACGGGGCACTCCACTCCCCGGTCTCCGGTACCCGGGCAATCAGAATACCACTTCCACCAGCTCCACTGAACCACAACCCCGTTCTCATGGCCGTGAACACGACTATTCCCTTTGCCTGCCGGATCACCTCGGATGGGATCTTTTTCAACACCTTTTGCTTTCCGCGCGGCTTGTCAATTTTCTGTTTCGATGATGATGCGTCGTTGCTGTTGACAGGAGGCGCAGTGTCCGCAGCTGGCTCGTCCACGTAGACTCCATCTTTGCAGAAACTGCGGAGAATACGGGCGACCTTTTCGCTTTCTTTGTCGAGGGTCATGGGCCAGAAAGCTTCGGCACCCAGCTTGTTGCTGAGTCGGTTGACGGGGGCGCCTAGCTTGTCGAGGGCACCCCAGGCTTTGTCGAAGCCCATTTTTCCGTAGGTTTTGGTTTTATCCCACATTTTGTGGCTGTTTGTGTTGGTGGGTGGTTGTGACATTGTGAGGGTGTTGGGAGGGTAGGCGGTGATAGGAGGGTATCTTGAGGAAGAGGTGAACTATAGAGGGAGACGGGTATATTTATGTGTGATACTTGACAGGTAGAGAGGAAACAGGATCCTAAACCTGACAATAGTGATGACTGACGTAGGGCGACGGAAGACTCAAAAATGAAGGCATCAACAATGGCGGGGCATCTGCGACCCGCGGGTCCCGCTATTTTGAGTGGCTAAGCCTTCGGAATGTCGTAATCGTATTTGCTTGCTTATTATTGTTGTACTAGGCTGCTACATTCAAGGACGGAGATGGCATTTGTGGCTGAAGGGGCTGTGTCAGTCAACAATGATTCCATGGACGAGAAGACCCCTGAAACGCGATACCTGAATATTTGTTTCTGCCTGAGGAAGGCCTCTCCTGTGCACTTTCGATTTCTATCCTTGTTTGTCGCTGAAAGCCTTTGATGTTCGTTTTCATGCGCGCACCACTACTAAGATTGACCCTCTCTGGCCTTCCCTCTGCATGCGAGTTGCGATGGCTATATATTCCGCACTCTTATTCTACTTTCCTCATCGTGTCTTCAGCTCTAGACTCAATTTCAACATCTGGTCTCTTTCTGGATTCCATTATTTTTCCTTTCTTCTTTATCCTTATCGTTGTATTCCTGCTTCTCGATCTTCATTTCATATGTATCTTCCATTATGTCTTAGACGACATTATGCTCTGTTTGTGAAACCGGCACTGTAATAATTTCCATATGTTTGCTACTCACGATCATGAGTTACTTTGTATATCCAGTACTGGTACTATTGAACATACACAAAAAGGATTATTTACCCCAAGCGCACTTTTATCTGTCGTAGATACGGTTACTTGGCTAAGATAGTATAATGGGTGTCTTACAGCCTGGAATAGGCAAAAGATGATCTTTCAAGGCTGCTCTGATCAGAAGCGTAAAAGCCTAGACTTGCTATCTAGCTGTGTATGTCACAATTCTGTCTGATGTAAGCGCTAACATGGGAGAACAAGCATCGTGATGTGTGGACCAACCGGGAGATCTTCCTTTCCCGGCCAAACCACCATGTGAAGTCTGACGGGAGCAAAGCTACACCCACCTGACTTGACCTCAAAAATGCATAGTAAGCCTTCTATCGTAGTTAGACGCTATTTATCTATATCTAAGAGGTGTTTTCGATATCTTAGTGTCGAGGTGGTTACCGTATTTGGATATAACAGCGCCAGAGGCATTGCCCCGAAGAATGCTTATCTTCAAGACTGTCAAATGAGGCACGGTCTATCTTTCTTGCCATAAAACTAACCCTATCAATAGCCCTACCATTGGTCAGCCTCATCAGGAACATCAGGCACACAAACAAGCCTTGATCCTTGCCGTGGTGGCAAGCTTGCCGTGGGGTATTTTTCTTCTTAGAAATCATGGCAAGGCGACTGCTCTCTTGGTTGCATGATACATAGGGCCGAGTTCATGATGTATCTGAACTTTCCAGCTGGTACAGTAGGTTACCAAGATGAATACTAGTTGGGAGATCCCCTGGGCGTTCTAATCACTTCAACAGCTGGATACAGTGTCTAGCACAACTAGAATCTATAGAGGTACAGGGACCGAAAATCAGAAATTGACCAATACGTATGAACTCCGATCGCCCCCGGAATTCCCTGGAGATTGGTAACCGTAAGTAGCAAGTAACTGCTAGGCAGCCGAATTGTTTGTCTAGTATCCCTGTAAGTACATTATCAGCGAGCTAATAGAAGCAGTCCGCAATATTGCCAACGAGAATGGGCCAGCCGCCATTGGAAGGAAGTGGAGTGAGACTATTAGACCAAATACGGAGCTGGGATAAGCTACACATGGACGAAATTGGGGCCAATTCCAGTAGAAAATCACTCATACAAGAATGGTCTACCTGCGAAGACAGGTTTGATACTGCATATCTTTATGAGATACATCCGACATGAGCATATAGCTCACTTATTCTATGTTCAAGTCTAGTCGGTCATCCAATGGGAGTCACGTATGGACCTGATAAGGAAACAAACTGTGTGCGAAGAAGCAGTAGTTGTTAAGGGACCAGCCAACTGGATGGAATTTCTCTCTCACGTGTAAAAGTACCTACTGTAAATATTAGGCGTCCACAGTCTTCCTTCTGTCCCAAGACATGATAGCAAATGAGCGACTAGCTCAAATAATCTTTCTTCCATCGTACCAGTGTCTATGGGATCACAAAAGGTATAAATAAGCCAGAGGCTAGGAAACCTCTCCAGCTCATCAGACTTCATATCTAATATCACCTTCAACATGGCTGGCAACCCCCAATTTATCTTGAAATGGCTTAGCCTATTCGCCATGGTGCTGGGAGCATTCAGTGGCGCGACTGATGAGCTATTTCTGGACCTTGATGTTGATCAAGTTGCAAACGGAACGGCAGGTTCGTGGATTCAAGCCCCGTAGGGTGAATCATATGTGTCTGCCGTACGTGAAAGTCGTTACGGCGATGCCGTGTGGGCGCGGTATCATATGGATGGTCGAGCTGTGGGCAACATCATCGAGGCAGACAACACTACTGTGACAAAGGAGCTGCTTGACGATGCCACGGGCTACAGGCTCGGCAATCCGGAACTCTACAACCAAGTGGCCACCAGATACAACACCACTAGCTCGAACGACGGACATCGGGAACTTGTCGACATTATCATCGGTGTTCTAGATGAAGACCTCAAGGCTCTTGAAAAGCGGGATGTGACATACACTATCAAGTGCAGCAGCTCAAATCTAGCCCCACGTAGTTCTTGCTACGAGTTGCTTCAGGACATGAACCAGTACCAAACAGACCTTGGCTCAACACGTACGATTGACTACTATGGTGGTTGCTGGTTCAGGGTCGGGCCTCATGGCAGTGGGGCCGATCTTACGTGGTATAAAGCACATGCGGTTGGAAAACTTATATACGATGATTGCCCACGAACCAAAGCTTGTTGCTCAACCGTATATGTTTCGGGTTACTCGCCTAAGAACTCGGGGCACCGCAAGCTGTGTTTGAGCTCGAAGTCCACTGGTTGCTAGTGATTCGGCTTTTTCGGTCTAAAGATATCTGCTTTGCAGGCAAGAATCACCGTGTCATTTCTCAGACTTTTCTAAAAGCCACATGCCCATCTAAATATTTGACCATTAAGATGAACTGACGTTCTGGATAGGAAGTCTGGACCTGAATAAGGCCGGTCCCTCGCCAATGACCCTTGGACCACTTGACAATCGAAGGAATATGAACGCGCACCAGTAGGTGTTACTTGAAGGTTGTTTGGTATATTGCAACATTGTACTTATCGAAGATGTTGTCACTTCAGAGGTTGATAGCAGGAAAGAGTGTAGCGAGAGTACAGCGAGATGAGCCAAGTGCATATCTTTTATTATTCCACATTTCTTAGTTTGAGGATGTAGACAAAACATTCATAAGTCGAAGCTAAACCCCCTCTATACATCTTAATACTAGTAAGACCTCCTTTGTGCTATCTAACCCTATCGATACGCTAAAAAGGGGGAAGACGGGGACGTATTGGCCACTCAGGATCAGTGTGCCGGTAAGCATTGTTAGTGCCTAATCCCACCCCATCTTATATTTTGCTCTCACTCATACAGATCGTGAGAACTGGAAGAAAATGAAGCTCAAGGTGGCACATAACTTGTCCGTTCACCGGTCATTGTCAGAGAGGTGTCGAGATTGAGGAGTGCAGCGCGCAGGAGGGTCTAGGCAGAGGCGCTTATCAGGCACCAATCGAATAAGCGGGTGTACGTATTAATCTGCGGAAACATAAATGCCTTCTTGTTCCCACCCTCAATGCATTTACTTGCACTGGCTGCTACACAGCGTCATCTTTGGCCCAAGATTTCTTAGTTACTTTCTTATTCCTTTCAAACACCACAAGAGTACTATATTCTGAAAAGCTCCTAAGTGGCTATGGAATCATCCCTACCTGAACAGATATTCCTCGATATTCCCATCGCAGACGTCATCAACAAAACAACGAAAAGACAACTAGTCGAGCCATGGGCATCCCGGTACTGCACAGCCATTGCTGAAAAACGCTATGGTGATGCGATTTGGGCGCGATACCATATAGATGGACGCGCCAAAGATGGTATTTATACCAATCTGCGCGATAACGGTGATGGGCCATTTGAACTACACGAAACTAGTGTTTACGATGTGATTATGGAAGATGCCCGAGAACTTGCGCAAAGTGATCCGGAACTTTATAGCGAGACACTTCGATTCTATCGCGATTCTAGTCCAAGTGACGGTCGACGGGATATTATTGATGGACTCTTCAGGATAGGATCGTCTTGTCTAGCTAGTGGGTGAGGTGAGTGGGGGTCAACGTGCTGCTGCAGATAAACCGTAAGTCTCCCGGCTACAGTAGTTGTTGTCAATTTCAAGTCTACCTACTGATCCCGGCCTGCTTGATACTTTAGTTTTTATATGAATCGTCCACTTTTGCCTTTTAGTGCTAAATCCTGTTGTCTGAAATGAATGAGTTCCTATAGACATCTTAAAGTAAAAGCAACTAAGCTATGGCCAATTAATTTTAGGCAGCCTATGGCTGCTCCTTTTCCTGTAATACACGATAGCATAATACACGCGTAGATCCTCACTTAGTCCCTCGGGCTCCGGATCGGGTCCTTCTCCCCACTCTCCACACTCTTAAGGAACTCCCTGGCAGCATCCGGATCATCCTTGAACACATGCTCCGCCACCATTCGTTGTGGCGTCTCTCCCATCCACTGGAACAACGAAAAGTCGCGGAACCGGTCCGCCCGGAAGATCTCCAACACCTCGACCTCCTCGTCATCACTGAGGTTCTCAATGAAATGACCCATGTTGCGAGGAACAATGCCCACATCTCCTGCTACATAATCAAACGTACGAGCGTTACCTTCAGCAGCGAAGATGGTCACTCGCGCCCGACCGCGCTTGAAGTAGGACCATTCATCTGCATTGGGATGCCAGTGCATCTCCCGGATAGCTCCCGGGTGGATGGTCAGATGGGCGGCCGCGACGGTCTTGGAGATGGGAAAGTTGGACGAATCAGTGATGCGCACCTCTCCGCCCGAGGTATGCTCTGGTTTTTGTGCGAGCATCTTGTGCGTGAAGCGCTGCTTGGATGCTTTGAAATTGCGGGGGAGCTCTTTGGGGATAGAGTCTGGGACAGAGCCCTGGAAGATGTACTTTTCAGATTGCGGAATATTCTTGAATGTTTGCGGGCGCATGCGGAAATTGCCAGCGAGGACGGACTTGGGTGTATGTGCTGTTGTGTAGCATTGTCAGTATTCATTGGGGAGGTTGTACAGCAGCAAGCACGGTGGACATACCCATCCAGTCGGTCAACAAGAACGTGGACTCTTCGGAAAAGTTCCCATCATCGAAGATCAGTAAAAACTCGGTGCCATTGGGACCGAGACCCTGGAGGGAATGGGGATGGCCCGATGGGAAGTACCAGAGGTCACCTTCTTCCAGGTCATCGATGAAGCTGCCTCCCTCCAGATCAAGGCCGGTGACTCGTACACGTCCGGCCAGCACATACGCCCACTCTGCTTCCCGATGCCAGTGCAGCTCGCGGATGACACCCTCATCCAGGCGCATGTTCACTCCAGCAAGCTCCTTGCTGGTTGGCAACTCGCGTACAGTAGTCTGACGTGTCCAGCCGCCCTCCTGCAATGCATTAGCCTTATCGCTTCTCATACAGAGACACACAAATGACCTACCTCGATGCGGATATGAGAGTCTGCAAAGCTCCACCGCATGTTGGGCATGTTGCCATGGTCTGTGCTCGGGGGACGGAGCATGTCGGGGTTCTGGCGCTCTCGGTCCTTGTTGCGGGGTCCCATGATGGTGGCTCCGTCTCCCATGCGCCAGGGCAAGGGTTCATGGCCTTCCCCGATCGCATCTACCTTGTGGTCATAGGGGTCGCGATGATCGGGGGTGAATGGCTTGTCCTGGAAGAAAATGGATGGGGATGAAGCGGGAATCTGCAATAGTTGCTGGTATGCTTCGTTAGGGACCGGGCCTCCATGACTGGGATGGAGGAGGGCGGCCACGGTCGCGAAACTCAGCAACAGCTGACGTGGTGACAGGGGTAGCTGCATCTTTGCAATCTACTAGGAATGCTTGATCTCCAGATCTCTGTCTCTGCCTTTGCGACCGTGGAAACCGACCATTCTTATATTCCTTGGCTGAGGGGGTGGGTCAGAGCAAGCTTGATATCAATGGCAATTCTCTCATATCCGACTCTTCCGGGCGACCAGTGACGTGGATTCCAGAAAGCAAGAAACAGACGCAAGGGTGGAACCTCGTCTGGGGTCAAAAAGCCCGAACAAAGCTTGGTAGCAATGCTTGTTTGGGGAGAAGGGGGAGTCCATTGGCCCCAACCATTCAGCCCTACAGGGCCGGGCACTCAACGTCATTGGATCTGCGCCGATGTCACGCGCGATGGATCACAGTCTCGCTCTTTCTTTTTCCACTCATCTCCAACTCTTTCCCCCCCCCCCCCCCCCTTCATCTCCCACTGCCGTCTTAACCGTGGACGAACTATTAAGTCCCTGCTAGCTGTCGCTATTCACATCGCTATTTGAGACACTCATTTGGAATATTACTTGCTGCCTAGTTTGCGCGCTCGGGCATTCCCAGGCCCCCCAATTCTTCCCTTCCCCTCTCGTGTTTCCCACACACACAGAGAGACCATCCACCAACCTTCACTCTCGACCATGGCGCACGTAACCGCGCACTACCAGGAATTTCCCGCCCATGAGAACGATCCTCTCCTGGGACACCGGGGACCTGGCCCCAAACCTTTCCCCCTGAGCCAACTGCGCCGCCATCTCCGCACCGAAGTCGACCCGCACCGAGCAGACCTTCTCCTCATTTTCTGCTACGTCATCACGGGTCTCCTGGACAGTTCTGCCGTGTTTATCTGGGGCTCCTTTGTGAGCATGCAGACCGGCAACACGGTATACTTTGGACTAGGGCTGGCCGGGGCGGATGAGAGTCAACGGTGGCTTAAATCGCTCATCTCGATCGGCAGTTTCTGCATCGGCTCCTTTTTCTTCGCCGTGTTACACCGCCTGTTTCACACACCGCGCCAACGGTCCGCCCTGACTCTGTCCTTCTCCCTGCAGATGGTTTGTGTCGCTGTCGCTGCGAGTATTGTCACCGTGCAGCACACCGGCAAGACTGATCCTCTGACGTGGAAGATTGGTGTGCCGTTGGCGTTGGTCGCGTTCCAGAGTAGTGGTCAGGCTGTGTCGAGTCGCGTGTTGAAGTGTAGTAGTTTGACGAGTGTTGTCCTTACTAGTATCTATTGTGATTTGTTCTCGTCACCGGCACTGACCTCTTGCAGTGTGCTTAAGGCGCCTGATGAGTGGAGGCGGTTGGGGGCTGTGGTGGGGATGTTGATTGGAATTGTGGCGGGTGGCTTGTGGGCGAGGAGTGAGGTTGGATTGCCGGGCGCACTTTGGACTGCTGTAGTGTTGAAGGGGATGATTGCAGCTGCATGGATGTTGTGGAAGACGAAGGAGGTTGATGATGAGTAGGCTGCTTGATACTGGGGGGGACATATTACTAGTAGTATTGTGGTCTAGTCATTTGGCGCTAGAAATCGCGCGTGGGGCAACGCACAGCATCCAGCAGGCAGTTATTTCTATACATAGTGCTTTACTTCCTATAATAGGCTGAGATATAGACTGGGAGCGATAACAGTAGTTATGGCTCTAGTACACGGGATGTTGACGCACAGCTGATGTAGTCGCTTAATTCCACTAAACTATAGCGTCCATTGACCTGTCCTATCGCCAGCTTGATTACACAGCAGCACCTCAATAAACACCCTCAACGCACCTCTCCAGACGGGGATAAATCAGGAATTAATGAGTCAAATACTTTGTTAGCCATCGCGGAGAAATTCCCGCCCGGGACAATGCAAGGAATTTTCAATTATAGGGCAGTCTTTGTCGGTTCAAGTTGTCTCCCCTCAATTAGTTAACTGGGATAGAGTTAAACCCCTCATTCCCCGCACGAAGCCATCCACCCAATCTCAACTAATAGTAAAACTCGCCATCCAGGCCGACACACTGCGCGATAAATATCCCTGATAAGCGGATCGCGCTATCTTGATGCATCCTTTATCGCCCAGCTTGCTTGGATAACGCGACAAAAAATGTACTCGGGCGAGAGGGCCGACATCTCGGAGGACAAGGCCGAGCTGCTATGCGGGCAGGGCTTAAGAACATTTACTATTTAGCTTTAGAACATGTCATTAGAAATAGACATCTGACCTGTGGCATTATCCCAAATTTCTTAATTGTTCATCGAGAATTTGACATAATGACAACTCAAACCAGCACAATCACACAGACGGGAACCACTCCCCCTTCCTTCTTCGAGACAGCCCCATTCATTCCTCCCGATGCCATCTTTGCTCTAACTGCGGAGTACAATGCCGACACGTCCTCCCAGAAAGTAAATCTCGGGCAAGGAACCTACCGCGACGAGAATGGACAGCCCTGGGTTCTGCCTTCGGTGCGGAAGAGTCGCGAGATGCTCGTGGGACAGGGTCTGAATCATGAGTATCTGCCGATCTTGGGTCTTCAAGCTTTTCGCCAGGAGGCAAGTAAGATGGCATTAGGCTCGGGATTGTACGAGAGGATCCAATCTAGGGTAGGTCCCAGTCACGGAGACTCGCATATCCATCTCACCTATCGCACTCTCTGACTTGATAATCGAAGCTCGCAACCTGTCAAGGCCTCTCCGGCACCGGATCCCTTCATCTAGCAGGCCTACTACTCCGAAGCTGTCGTGCCCCCTTACCGAAGATCTACATCCCCAGTCCCACGTGGTCGAACCATCACCAAGTCTTCTCCTCTCTCGGGTTCACCTGTGAATCCTTCGGATACTACGACGACGCCCAGAAGAATCTAGATATCGACAGCTACTACTCTGCCCTGAAACGGGCAGAACCAGGCTCGGTCGTTATTCTTCACGCGTGCGCGCATAATCCGACCGGCTGCGATCCTAGCAGAGAGCAATGGAAGGAAGTCGGTCGTATCGTCAAGGAAAAGGGACTATTCCCTCTCTTTGATGCAGCATACCTTGGTTTCAACTCGGGAAATATCGATGATGACGCTTTTGCGATTCGGAATTTTGTTGACGAATTGGACCTGGAAGCGGGCGTATGTTTGTCGTTTGCGAAGAATATGGGGTTGTATGGTGAGATTGTTCTACCTTTCGTGACGTTGTCGTTGGTTCCTTGGCTAATGGTTCGCTAGGAGAGCGCACGGGTTGTCTATTCTTCGTAGCTCAGACAGACAAAGCTGCTACCAATACACAGTCGGTGCTGGAGATGCTGCAGCGGTCTGAAGTCTCGAATCCACCTGCTTATGGCGCCAAAATTGCTGCAACAATCTTGTCGGACCCGGAGCTCAAGGCGCTCTGGTACAAGGACCTCGAGATCATGAGTGGCCGGATCCGGGCGATGCGGAGGGTTCTGTATGGCTCCTTGAATAACAATGGTGAGTCGAGACTTGATCTGTATTCAGGCCAGTTTCTGATAAATGTGCAGGTGCACCTGGTAACTGGGATCATTTGATCCGCCAGTCGGGAATGTTTGGGTTCTTGGGTCTTTCACCGGATGTTGTTCAGGAGCTGAAGGGTACGTTCTATAGAATTGACCCTCTTGATACCTTACTAACCCCATTCCATGCAGTGCAATACCATATCTACATGGCAAGCAACTCGCGAGTCTCGATCGCCGGGCTCAATGATAAGAATGTGGAATACGTTGGTCGCTCGATTGCCGAATGTCTGAAGAGCAAGTGAAAGAAGGAGTGTGCTACATAGTAAAATAAGCACTATCTTTTAAAGCAGTCTTGAAAAACCATTCCATGATATAAATTCATCAATTCCCCATTAATCTACCCAGACATTTCCAACCCACCAACCACCTAAGCCAGCACCTTCCTCACCAATTCCACCCTACACGCCACACATATCAGCACACAATAAACAAACCAGAAGACAAAGTGAGAAGAACTTACATTGCAAACGTCCCCGCCGAAACGGGCATCGCCCTCGCCAACGCGGGCCCAATCCCGAAGAACAACCCTCCCACCCCCTCTCCTCTCCAAGTCATCCTCACAGCCTCCCTAAATCCCTTAAATCTCTGGTCTTTCCTAAACCCATCACTCTGCATCTTACTCTTAATCACATCCACCGGATGACTCAACAACCACAACATCTCCCCCGCCAACCCCCCCCACACGGCAATCTGCCAACTCGGCAACTCGTCCCTCCTTTTCCCCTGTCTCTGCGCCGCAAGGCCTAAGAACCCCTCGTAGGACGCGAACCAGACTCCGATGCCGTGGCCTTCGCGGATAAGGGTTGCCACTTGTCCTCGGTATAACCCGTGGAGAATCCCCGCTTGGGAGATTATCTTGCGTGCGCAGTCAAAAGGACCGGTGTAGAGGGCGAGGGCGCCGTGGGGTTGGGTTTGTAGGCGGATGCGGATGTGTTCGATGGGACCGGAGATGAGGCTGTTGGTTAGGCCGGCGAAGCAGCCCGCGAGGTAGTATTGGGGGAGGGTAGGGGTGGTAGGTAGGGTTGGGTGCGTTTGGTGGTTGTGGTGCTCAATGAGCTGGCGGAAGTAGTGGAAAGCGCCGAATTGGATACTTACCTGTTTTTTTTTTATCGTTCAGTAGGTGAGGGTTAATCATGATTTTGTGGGAGGGCGGGGGAAAGGACAAGACTTACGCAGGCGCCGACGCCTAGTAAGGGGACGAGTGAGCCCTGGAGTAGGGGATGGTTAGGATAGTTATAGCTGATTTGCGGTGAGCAACGCACCTTGTAGAATGATAACGGGCCTTCGCGCTTCCATATTTGCTGAGTTAGGGAGAGCGCATTCGTGTTTGTGCCTCCTTGGGTTTGGAGGCGGACTTTGACGAGGTCTAGATATTGTTCAGCTCTCTGGAACAACAGCTATGGCGATGAGGTGAAGCCCATCCGTCATGCGTACGGTGGCACTTACCAAATGGTTGTCCTGTTATCCCGTAAGTACAAGCACAAGCACTCAACCCTCTTCAAGATAATTAACAGAGTATACCACTCACCTATAACCACCTGCGCAACACCCCCCGCCGCTCCTGCGACCAGATCCTTGACAGTATCTCTCCATTTCGAGATATACACCGGTGCTATGCTCGATTCCTCAGCAGATGACATGATGACCGTGCAAGACCAAGCAATCGTATGACTTGCACCTTGCACCTTCGAAGAATGTCATAGCTTGCAATACTCAGTGCGGGGTGTATTCAGATATCGTGAGTTGGCCATAACTAGGGCAATCAGTGATGTTGTTTCGGGTGTCGCACCGATGCCAGTATGCTATCTCGGTATTGTTCCCCGAGGGTGTTCGGCCCGCTCGGCTGCATGGTGGCCCACATGGTAGCTTATTTCTTCGTTTGAGGTGATGGTAGCCGCCGTTTGGGTTATCTTGCTTGTTAAATGTGTGGATTCGTATTTGAGGCGGGGTATATATGTATCTAATGTACTTAGTCATTTTGTGTGAGTTGTGTGGCCTATGGTTGGTCGTGATACTGAGCATAACAAGTACTTCCAATATAGTCCCGTGATTACCATCTCCAGGCCGCGAGCTCTGTCTTGGAGTCAAATGTCTGTGCAGGGATCAAAGCGGTGAAGCGTTTCCAGAATGATGGTAGATTAATGGTATTAATAGAATCTACAAGGCTGGCCACTGACTAGTTGAGCTTCTGGCATGTGGGAAAACCTCATGGGGAATATCTTGTAGGCTATACCACTGCGCCTCAAAAGTTTTTGCGTTGGGATCGGGGCTCATCCATGTGGCTAATTGGTTAATAGACAGAAGGCGGAGCAAGTAGTATATTGACGTAGAGATCTAGCATAGTGCTTGGGCACATCGTCGGAATGATGTATGGCATTCTTTCATTTCTCGATCTTGTCAGCCCTATTGAAGCTGCAAGCAGAGTACTATTATGTTTTCGCGACATTTTCACGGCCGTACTTGACCAATAAAATTACAATATCGTAGTATGTCTCCGCATAATCCATGGTCATATCACTCTGTCAAACAAGTGCAGGTCTGTCAGCGGGATAGAGATATTCCGCGCTGACAGCAGTAGGCATCATTGAAATGTCTTACGTAGGACACAGTGACGTGGACCAATAGCTCCTACCTGAAGCAGTTAGCAGGAGGCATAATCCCTGCCAAGAAGGACCAACTGATCCTGCACAGTCTGTCACAATCCCTCATTCAATTTCCGTGTGATAGCAAGGCTGAAGCATGGAATTTGTTGACAAGACATCGCGAGAAAGAAAAATACTCCAACCGCTTCAAAGACTGATGTCCAACCCCTGAATAACCCCAATGAATTTGATGATTGTGCAGAATCGAGATTTTCATGTTGTGGCAGAATAAGCATAAATGCCGACACTATTGCACAGGCTAATCCGAGACTATTTGCTGACTTCCTGCTAGCGTGCCGGGAAATTTCCGTCAGAACGCAGTGGCCAATCCTGCACCAGATATTAGATTATGTAAGCGGTAGTAAGGATTTGCTACTATCACGTGATAATGACCCTGGATCAGCCGCTTGGCCCATGATCAACAGAAGAAGGGTGTGCCAAGCCACACAAGGCTGGTCCCTCGTCCCCAATACCGTCCTGTGCTCTTCAGTCCCTCTGTCACTGCGGATCTCAATTCATATTTTCGGTCTTCCCAACACACATCTTGCAATTGCATCTAACGTGAGAGAGAACAGGCATATGCGTTTCAAGGAGATTTAATTTGATCCCTTCAACACAGCCCTAAGTCACAGCCTTGCACTGAAGATCACTCACAGTCAGGATTCAGGATTTCTTTCATCAGGCTGTGAATTGGTTATTAAAAGATACCAACTATGCCACACAGGGTTAGTATGTCTTGTATAAGGTTTAGCGTAACCTCGCATGCTCTTCCCGATCGGGGAAACTCTTGCTCAGCCCTTTGTACCCCTTGACCTGAGCTGCACGGATACAACCCTTCGGAACGTCAAATTGACGCAGGGGGAACCTTGAAACATACCAGTGATGTGGCAGAGAGGTTTTTATTTGCTGCGCCAGGATTTAATGGATGGGGTTTCGAAGGTAGCAGCCTAGGACTGCTGCTTTTGTAACAGGGGGTTCGTATTCGTATCTATGCTCCAACGGGTGTTGTGGGTGTTGGGGGCTGGTTTGTCGGGCGTGCTTTCCACCGCGGCCGTCTCCAAGGGCTTGTTATTGCTGAATGATTGTCGTAGAAAGGCAATGACATTCACAATTGAAATAGATGGCTAGTCAATGCTTTTGCCTGCCATCAGATCACTGAGAAAGTAACGAAGATCAATGTTTCGATCATGTAGTATGGCTTCATACCTTCCCAGGGGGGGAAGCGGTAGCCCCAAAATTATGGCGGATCCTATTGTGGGCCACATCACAATCTTTTCGACATGTAACCAACTACTTTGTACTAGTGTACTCCATACATGTGAACTGTTTTTTTGAAAAAGCACAAAAAGTGTAATTCGGAACTTTCCAAGGCTTCTTCTTCTGGCTGCGCCTGGCTACCGTCACGTGGGGCTGAGCCCCTTTTCCCCCTCATCAATCCTACATATCTCTCTCATCTGTCTTCCGGAGGATGAAAATGCTGTGATAAACTTACGGTATGGCACCTACTCGGTTGCGGCGTTTGGCCATCGTCGCCCTTATCGGCGCGGTGTTGATGATTTGCATCTGCCAGCAACGTACCAAGTTCGATACTAGGCCGATAGATCTCGAGGATCAGTACCCACTACTGTATCGCCATGTCCACACACACAATACCGAGGGAGGAGGTAGGCGATCATTCACAATTCTGTAGACACAACTGACTGACTGACCTAATTGTTCTCTTACAGCATGGTATATCCCGCCAAAATGGACCAGCGCATCTAAACCACCCCCGAAGAATATTGTCGAAGCGGCCGAGCTAGCTCTTAGCGCCGCCCGAGCTTCCCCAGACGGGTACCTTCCTCACTCAACAATTCCCATGATCGTACATCAAACCTGGAAAAACACAAGAATCGACGCCTGGCCCCAAATCATCCGTCACAGTGCCGAGCGATGGCTTCGGAATGCCGAAGGCGAGATGGCCTACTTTTTGTGGACGGACGAGGGAATGGAACAATTTATTCACCACTTTGAGCCGGACCTGGAGAGCCACTATGCGCATCTGGCGCGCAATGTTGAGCGATCAGATGTGTTTCGCATCGTGATTTCCAAATGGATTGGAGGCGTGGTAGGTGCAGGAATAACTTTGAGGGTCGGAACATCGTTCTAATCAGAACAGTATGGCGATATCGATACCGAACCGCTTCGCAAACCTGCCGAATGGATTACTCCGACCGATCTGCATGCCTGGAACGATACACGAGCCGGCACATCCTATAACTCGACCGCTCCGGTACGCGCGATTGTCGGCCTCGAGGCTGATTGCCCTGAGGGGTCCGATACGTACTGGCGCATGGGCTACTCGCAGCCCGTGCAGCTTACGCAGTGGGCGTTTGCCTGGGCCCCGGGTCATCCTATCCTGCAGACATTCATCGACCGGCTATCAGCAACGATAGGAGATATCTCCGACCGCTACGGTGGATCACTCCAATCACGAGCTGCTCGACAAGAGCTTATGAATCTGGATCCGCTCACACTTACCGGTCCTGCTGCCTTCACCGACGTCGTGCGGAGTAGACTGGAAGAGGTGGCTGGTTTACGCTGGCATGCACTGTCAGGTCTGAAGGACGGAGGGAAGAGCAAGCTGGTTGATGATGTGCTTATTCTCCCAATTACTGGATTCAGGTATGATGAGCTCAGACATTGATCGATGATAGAAACAAAGAACTGACACGATGATATAGTCCGGGACGCGGCAAATATGGCAATATGGGCTCCAAGCCAATCACTGACCCTTCCGCGCGCCTGAGGCACCTGGCACAGGGATCGTGGAGGGCCTTCGACGTGAAAGTTGAGTACGGCAAATTCTGTCGGACTGTTCTGGGAATGTGTCGCGACTGGTCAAAAGTGCCTACTGTTGCTGTTCAATGATTTGGTATCTTTTGGTTTACGAACATTCACGGCGTTTTTGGGGTTGAGGGAATCAGGATAACTCGCGAGTATAATATTATAAACGGCTTATAAGATACCCAATCAGATATTCATGAACATCTGCATAAATTCATCTGGAAACAGCATAAATATCCCAGTCTCGACATTAAGAACGCAAAAGATCAACGGGGGCCGACGAGCCCGCGAGTCATTTGCGGTACATAACGAGCGGAGCAGCTACCGAGTATTTGCCAAAATATCTCCGACCGAGCTGGCCGTCTCATGTCGCCGCGCTCCGCAAAGATTGAGTATATTCGAACCCATGGCGTCTTTGTCATCTTGGTATAAGTAATAATGAGATATGAAAGAAATATAGTGATTGTATGCTATGTATAATTTACATACTACCACCAGAACGCTTTCTACGGTCTGTCTTGGCGCTTTGGAGTTGCAGACGCGATAGTCAGTTACTTATCCCATTGAGGAGTCATTCCTCTACAACATCATGTACCATCTTAATTCTAGAATTTAAAAAAGTATTTATTTTCCACCTTTTCAAGTTTTTACTTAACATAGACTGACATTCAGTTTGACGTCACGCACGGACTTGGAGCCCTGGAGTTGCGCCCTATGGATATATATATATATATATATTTGGCACGAGCATATCCGAAAATATTACTACTACACCTTAAGTTCCAGAGACTTTAACTTGACGAGAATGATGATATTCCCTATAAAGAAAAGGTTCAATCTAGTTTTTATGCAATATATCATATTCTTTAGGATATGATACTGTGTGAATTGGTTATCATCTCTAATGCCAAATCCACTACTAGTATCAAGCAGTAGCGACTGAGGAGCGATAAGATAGTTCTAGAAACAACCCCAAGTCTTCTACGAGGGGTTTTTCTCTACATAATAATTATATTTCCAATGCCTAGCTACCTTGTATCGAATTAACCTTTTACTCACAGTATCTCTACGTTACCAAAAATACATCACAGTTCATCACATTCACCGACAATAGTTAAGAATATTGTCCTCAGGCTACGAGCACCAGTCCACAAAGGTGTTGATAGGTTCCTTAATACCAAAGATGTAGGTTCAGGCATCAAAATTTAGATACTTACAGACTCGGTCTATTGATAGACATGGGCGAGCCTAGGAATCCCGCAGGTATCTACCATGATGACGTATTTAATTGGAGAGCTCTGATATAGTTGATGTGGATGTTGGGTAGTGAAATACTCTGCTCAAACGCTTTAGAAAATGATGACCTGGACGCACCGGAGACTCTGTTATAAGGCGCCGACTTGACGCGGAGTTGATCCGAACTATAATGTTTCTGCCCTCTGGACCATAAGCAAGCTGATTTGATCAGCTTCTATGGCATGATTGTTCCTTGGCTTCCCATATAGCCAACAACGGGGGAGGATAATGATTGGTGCACAGCTTGAACTTGATCCTGTCGGGCTATTCCTTCGAAGGATCGGGCAGGAGAGAGCCCAGCCAAAGGGATCAAGACGCTCAGATCGAGGTTACTGGCTCGCGACTACCAGACTAAACAGTAAGGAACAGACAGGATTATGGCTGAGTCTGTTTCATCGAGATGGTGGATATTTCTGTTGGTAATTCTGGATGATACTCCAGACCCTCAACTGGTGAGCGATCTTCCGATTTTTATGCACACTGTACTATAGCATTTTTGTATATAGTATTCTGAGCATGATGAAAGCTCTGTCTTGCGTGCATTTTGGTTCAAAGGCAAGACAGATATTGGTCCTTGATTGAGAGCTTCAGTACCTGACAGTGCCTGCATGTGGCTTTGCTTACTTTTCGATGCACAGGTGTCAGCATTACTCCTATGCAGGCCAAGAAGAAGCATATCCTGTTTAGGTAAGAGGGTGCAAGACTACCTATGGAATGTTTCGGTAAGTGCAGCCTGCAATCTCCGCTTACGCACGGTTCAGGTACCCGGGCAAGCCAATCATCCGCTCAGGAACATCCAGCTATACAGCCTAAATAAGTTAGCTTCCTTCCTGGCTGCAGGGTTGTGGGGCGAGGAAGAGATCCTGAAGAATCCTTTCGGGCTTCATCATTCATCATATGCCGAAAATGGGGCCGACAAGATTTAGTAGCCTTGCCCGATTACATGTGTTATGCTGCCTAAACTGCAGCATCGAATTGCAGTCTGTTGCCTTTATTCTCGTCAAGGAACAATAAAACATGCTTTCTCTAGGTGTTGTTGTGTCATGTACTGTGCTGAGCTTTGAAACCATTGCGATTGTACTGTCCCTAGGAAATATACTGTGGCACTGTTTTAAAGTCTGAAACTCGTTCTCCAAGAGCCAGGGGATGTGGATGTGGCGCGTCGGCCCGTCATCGAGTGACACATGAAAAGTTGGAATGCGCTGAGATTCATGTTAGCCCTCTTTGGATAATAAGAGCAGCACATTTACTCAATGCAGTAAAGGCCTTGCGACACAAGGCTCTCATCTATGCTTCAAAGTTTCTAGATTCAGGTACCCGGCTGCATTGATGAGCTGACTTTGTGGGGGTGCTTCATCTCTCGATGGCAGGTCTCTGGCCCTCCACACTCCACGAAGAGAATCACTTGGGGCGGAGTGCCTTGGCAGATGTCAATGACAGGGAAGAAGACCAAAGGAATCCTGATGTTACATCTTGGCTGGTTGGTCTATTCATGCTGCGCCATCACAGACCAGGGTTGTGGGGCAGATGCTGGGGCCGGATGATGGAGGCCAGACGAGGAGACCAGTAAAAGATGCCTCTCGGTAGCTATCATACAGTTCATCCACATGTTCCAGGCTCACAAGGCAGAAATTGGCCCCAGAGTAAAGGCATATTGTTGGTTTTTGTATATGTTGTAGAGTTGGGAGAGTCTTGGAGTCTTGAGATAGAAGTCCCAGGAAAAGGTATAAGTACAGCGTCCTGGCATGGTGTATCCTGCTCATCATCAACAACAACAAACAGCTTCTCTAAGAACAGCTTTCCAACAACAATCCTCTCTATCTATCCATACTTTCAATACTATCTCGTCTATCCAAATTATTCAAAATGCAATTCACTACTACCATCCTGATGCTCGCCACCGCCATCACCGGCGCCATTGCCGCTCCCGGCGCTCTCGAGCAGAGACAAGACACCATCGAGATCAAGGCCTGCGATGGACAGAACTTGGGAGGAACCTGCACCAAGATTTCCATCAAGACCCAGCATGACTGCTGTATGTGACAATTACCCAACCCCTTCTTTTCTCTTTTCCGCTTTCATAGCTGATCTTTTGATTGCATCTAGTCAACCTGGAAGACAAGCCAGTCAACGACAATGTCCACTCGGTCTCCATCCCCCGGGGATACCGTTGCCGCTTTTGGGAGTATGTTCTTCTTCCTTTGTATTATGATGCTGACATCCCTGGCTGACTTGTGCTTCTTTCTTGCTCTGTAGAACCGACCGCTGCAACGGCGGTGGCACTGGCGACATCCAGTCCCCTGGAAGCGACAGCATCTCCTCCAACCGTGTCCAGTCTGTCAAGTGCTACATTAACTGAGCCACGGTCTGTCAGCAATAGGCAATGGATGAGTAACGGGTTTGGCGATTGCAGGTCTGGTACTCTTGGCTTATTGATGATAGCCAGCTATTCAGACGTTTGGAACAGTTGCTAAGATAAGGCCGGTATTTCGGATTGTGCAAATATGTATTACTTAGGTTTCTGTTTCTAGATTATTATCAATTTATTATATCCATATGAAGCGCAAACCTGACACCCGTTGTAATCCTTCTGAACTAGCATTATTTTCTTCACAGTTCTTGACGTGCTGGATGAGCCAATGACACGCTTATTTTGAAAACACAAACATGAAGAAGCATTATGGGAGCAATCCTTAGAAGGCAACGTTTATCGATATTGAATTATTCTGATCTAGCAAAGTCGGTTTGGCTCTGAAGTTATATGATGTCAGGGCTACCTAACACTGAGCTTTACATTATATGCAATTGTGCAGTACCTTGCGAATCTGGTATATAAGAAACGCTGATGGCCTCTTCTACCTCTATTTTAATCTTTATTCCTGTTTCTTTCGAATACTTGTTTTTACAAGCCAATTTTATCCCTACTTTATCTTTACTTATATTTTTTAAATACTTGCTTTCATAAAGCCCTTCTATTTTACCTTTCGACGCAATTATAGCGACTCTGCCGCTCGCGTTACCAAATCCGATGATACCATCTTTAACCGTTGAGGAACTAGGTTGATAATTGGGAGGGAGCCATGGATCTCTTTGACCTTGAATAGTGACCCATCGATCTGCTCCCAGAGATACCACTATCCCTTTTGTGGAGGAGTTTGATAAAAGTCTTTGTAGCAAATATGGATATCAAAAGAGCCTATGTTGGTAGTCAATAGCGGCAGGTGCTCAGAAAACTCAATGTTAGTGACAAAACCATCAGTTCTCAAGACGTGCTTGAGAGTGGCGCCACAGGCACTCCACAGCTTGATAGTGTTATCAATGAAGCCTGATGCCAGAGGCTGGCCATTACCTCAGAAGGCGACTGACCAAACCCAGCCAGGATGACCCTCCAGTGGAGTGCCTGTAGCAGTATCCCACACAATGCAATGGTTCCCGTGGTGAAGTCATACTGGTCGGGACTGCCTTTGATGTTATGGTCCACATAGCTGGTGTTGACTTCAGTAAGACCCAGGAGCAGAGGAACCAGCAGAGCAGCAGCCGCAGCTAGAGCAGTAGCAGCCATAGGGCGAGACATCGAATGCACCGTGTTTGAGCCTGGTCTGTCGGGGCATCTCTTGAGGGAAGGTCATGAAGCCACCCAAGTCCGAAAATGGTAACTGAGATTTTGATCTAACCAGTAGGGAACCAAGCAGCATCTATTGAAGCACATTCGCTGTCTCTCCTCTCAGCAGCTCACCCCGAACAGCCACTACATCCTCCACTGCCTCCAAGTTCAACACTGTTTCCTCTATCTTCCTCTGCCTCTACTGTGGGATCACTCCTTTTGTAACAGCCCGCCACTTTTCTAGCACCTCTTCGTTTGATAATCCAGGATGCACCCCTCTTGGTGCCTTTAACATAAGTCTCCAGTATCTCTCCATCTTCAAAGGTAATCCTCACCCGCTGTGCCCATGAATGATCAAAATCTTTAACCTCTCGACACTCTATCATCTCCATCACCTTCCACAACTCCTCACGATTCAACTTTCCTGGTGCAAATTGCGCTGGTACAACCTCCCAATCCACTACCTGCAATGCCACTGCATATGGCACACACATCTGTGCTCCTGTCACATTAGCTGGCTTCTCCGGTGTCCAGCCACCCTTCTTCATGGCTGCTCTGGCCATTTCCGCTTCAATCTTTACCATCTTCTTCCACTCTTTCATCTTCGCGGGATACTTGGCCTGCAAATCCCTAACACAATCCACCGTACAATGCGAACCCGCCATTAATGGATACGGCTTCTGCCGTGTCTTTGCTGAATGCCATACTTCTCCAAGCCCCTTACATACCTCTTCTGGGAAGAACTTAGGCTCGGATTCCGCTCCATGTGAAAATGTCTTTAAAAAGCCACCAGATGAAGAATCAAAAATATCCTTAGTCCCAGTAACTCCCTGCTTTGCTAAATATGTAGCCAGCACACCACTCCGCGATGCAAATCCATGCTGCATGCGTTTGACCATACTCTCAAACTGCGCAGACATAAGTTCACAGGCCTGTGTGCATGCTATGCCTAATGCATCTTCAATTTGGGCAGCGGAGAGACCGAGAATCTTGGAGACAGCAGCTACAGATGCAGCAGGGCCAAAGATTGCGCCGGAATGCCAGCCGATTGTAAGCATGTGCGATCCACCTAGGGCATGCCCTACGCGAGGACCGGTTTCGTAGCCGGCTACTAAGGCGGTTATCAAGGCACTGCCACTGACGGGGGTATTTGAGCTGTGCTCTTGTTCTGCAGCAGCGAGGACAGCAGGTAGGACGACGGAGCAAGTATGAATGGGGGCTTCGACGTGTACATCATCTATTTCGAAGCCTTGGAGGAAGGTGCTGTTGAGAAGGGCGGCAGCACTGGGTGTCAGGGTCTATTGTCATTATAATTGTTAGTAACTTAGCTTTGTCGATGCCCACTGATACTTGGCGTTGGGAATCATTGGAGGGATTAAAGGTATACCTCATTTCATCCAAAAACGGTACATTTGCCGCGTCCTTCGATGGCAGTGATAGCGTTGTGTGCTTTCACAGACCAAGGAAGTCGCGCGCCCAGAAGGGCGCAGGCTAAGCCATCGAGGATTTGGTATTTGGCTCGTGTACGAATCTCGATAGGGATGGAGTCCGGGGTGAGTTCTTCAAGCCAAGTGGAAAGGGTGCGGGTCACGGAGCTACCGGTGGAAGTAGCGGGAGAAGCTGTGTGAGTGGCCATGTTGATGGTTTGGATAGATGCTTGGTCCTGACCCGTGGTAGGCCTTGGGAAGAGAAGGGTAGAGAAGATGATGAGAGAGATGATTAGTGCTGCATCGCGGGGGAAGGGGGAGTCATTTATAGCTACTATCCAATAAAAGAAAAAGCAATACTTGATAGAATCGGAAATACCGACCGATACCTCACTTCTTCGCTGATTTATGCTATAAGTAAATTCTATGGCCTCCTAAAATTGCAGTCCAGCTCGGAACGGAGTTCAGAGACGGCGCAGAAATGCCCCGGGTCGACTGGAACAGCTTGTCGGTAACTAATTCCGATTCCATTGTCTTCTAAAAGAAGGAATCATGGAGCCTGGGATATAATTGGTAGATAGTTAATCTAAATGATATGCACGATTGAGGATTTACGGAATGACTTATTGTGCCGATCTTTAACTATTGTATTCCGGCTTGCCGATCGCAGCAGCCCTACACAGACTGGCAAATAATATCAACATACATATGTCACAAGCTCGCAGACCGCTGTTTCGTGCACTTTTTACACTTTTCTTTTTCCTTTTCTGAGGTCAATTAGGCCTTACTACTTATGGGTAGATTCTTCTATCTTGGCCTGTCTAGACATGGCAGGGCTCGTCCGGGCCCCCTCGAAATCGGCTCAGGTTCGGGCTTAATTAGTAGACAAGACCTGCGAGCCTGAAGTTACTAGGAGGGACCCCTTTGAATTCCCGATCAAGCTGCCAAGTACTCCTATTGGTATTCTAAAGCCCCCCTTGAATCTGGTTCAACCCTAATCCACTGGGGCTGGTCATGATGCACTGCATGTGCGGCGGCATTGGACTTGGCAGATTTGTATGGGCTGAGTTTCTTGGTATTGAATAGAGTATAAGTAATTCTCGGGATATAGTGCCTTTGCACTCTGAATCTTAGATATAATTAAAACTTAGAGAATCAATAAAGAGGGTAGTTGAAAGAACAGGCCGGCTGTGCTAGTATTAGGGTAATCCGAACATACATACCTACATACATACTACATAAGAAATGCTGATTGTGTAGAGTGAAAGGGAGATGAGTAGATTGCTATTGCTGGACTCTCGCAGGACCAAGTTCAAAGCCCTTCGTTACATGGACACCGATATACCGACGAGATCAGTTAGTATCCCAAACCTATCCCAGACTCGCGTTGACCATAGGAATGATGCCATTATCAATTGCCTCGGTTGATCGCCAACCAGACCACGTATGATCTAGAAGACCTGGTTATGATAGTTAGTCACCTAACGCGGACTGCTGACAGCAAGGATAAGAAACGGTAAACTTACCCCATGTCTCATCATAATCCTGTAATCCCTGTCGGACATAATAACTGCCCGAAAGCACCCAAATCATCCACCCGGCATGAACGCTAGGTAACCATTCCCTCAGGCATGAGGCATATACTTCCGTATAGGTGGAATCATCTTGCTCGTACCCGAACTCTGTCATCACGACCGGAAGCACATTTACGATGCTCGAGTCGTCCGTCTCTAGGGCATCGAAGCCATCGCTCAACAAGCTAGACGATAGACTACTGCAGCTTGTAGCAGATGAGTCATAGTTGTGAAGCTCTAGTACGATTTTATCTTCAAAGTCAAAATCGCTCTTCTTGAAGACGGTGCCGTCACCGAGGTCTGAGGCCGTCGGTATCGGTGAGAGTGTGACATCGTAGTTGAGACCGGAGAAGAAGAGGAGTAGGTCTGAATTGACGGAATGAACTTGGTTTGCGTTCTCGACCATGTTGCTGTACCATGTTTCCCAGTTGTAGGTGTCGTCTGCAAGTGTCGTGTTGTCGTCAGGGCTGCGAAGTTCGTTCCGCATGCCGATGCTTTTTACGGCGGGCAGGGATTTGACCTGTATCGGACTTGCGTTAGGCTTGAAGGCCGATGATGGGAAGGGTATGTAGCTTACGTGCTCGGCCATATATTTCCAACCTCTGTGCCAGTTGCTTACGTTGAAGTAGGTATCTCCGAACCAGGCATTTCCGTCAGTGGTCGAGCAACACCAACTGGCTTTGGAGACATGGTTGTCCAAATGCACGTAGATTCCTTGGTTGTAGCATTCATTAGCTACTGCATCGTAGACCTAGACACAGTTAACATCATGATATAATGCGTTTTAACAGAAACGCCTTACCTCCAATCGAGTAGTATTCTCCCCAAACTGTGGGTTGTTACTGACGATATCGTCGTAGATCTTGGTTCCGTTTGTTTCGCCCAGAGCGTTGATCAAGGACGTTTTGATCGGTACGTCCGCTCCGGACTCGTAGATGTCATCGATCATTTCGATAGCAAAGGTAAGGCGAATGACGTTCATGCCTAGATCCTTGATCTTGCTGACGATGTACTCGATGGATTGATACTGCAGCCCTTCAGGTAACATGGCCACCTCAGCACCGGGCCAGTTGACCCCCGCATAGGTGACATTGTTCCCGTCCGTGTCGACAATCCATCGACCTGAGGTAGATAGAGGAGAAGAAGAAATCGAGGCGGCGAGGCCTGGTGCTGCGAGGCAGAGCAGTCTCAAGCTGTTGCCAAGATGCATTGTACTAGGTGCTGCTTGAAGTTAGCTCGATTTGTCCCCTCAGGGTGTTCTGCATGGACCCTTTATATAAACGCTTTACATGCGACTTCCCGGAATTCTGCATAGTGAGTGCACATCCCCGAAGCCCCTGATGATGACCGCATGATCAAAGCCAGTTCCTGAGGATGTCGCCAATAAGAACGGTAGCGCAAAGCCTTTTCCGGACCGGTTGTCTGCAATTCGCGGACATGTCCGTGGATAAGCCTTGATTGACAGGTTCTTCAGGCGGGGAAATGCAAGACAAACATGTGTCGGTCTACGCAACACGCTTTGCAATATAACCGACTGGGGAGGAGTGCCTGAGCGATATTTGCGGGGAGAAATTATCCGCCTATGGATCTTAGAGTTTCTCCTGTCTTGGATTACTTCAGCATAAACTGCTGATCACAACGATCTTGTACGCTCTAGTAGCTACTTACTGGCTAAATCCGTTTGCCTCCGAGACTATCTTGTTAACCGAAGACAGTGCACACAATATTCTATGACTGCTGGCCGGCTAACTACTCACCCGACAACAGATATTAATTCATTGATAGGGTGATTGGTAAAGAAAATAGAAGAATCAGGTCACTGCAGAGTGTTCTCCGAGCGGGGGCTGTATCTGCTGATCTTCTCTTCGTGCAATGACGTGGGCGGTCGTGCTGAAGCTACTTACTAGGGTGCATGCATGCCCCGCCCTGGCGGGTAAGCCATTAGAGGAAATTAACCGACGGAGCTGGCCATTGCTGCAGTAGGGTGGACGCTTTGAAGAGGAAGGGATCTTGCGAGGAAAGGGTTAAGGCATAGCATGGGCTCTTCGCATTTCCATGTTCATTCTGCTCGATAATAGTTCATTTTGTGCTCACCTGACTGCCTTCTTATAACCTCACCAATAAAGGAAGGTGAAATGGAGATTCAACGATCCTGCAGATCTGCAGAGAGACTGAACATATTGCCCTTTTTATTTATATCATAGTCACGAGCGACTGGATAATAAATGAAAAATTCGAGCTGGGTAAGAACATCATCGCATGTACTACTGAGTAAACGGTAGGTTGGGTAAAGGCCAGAAACTAGGGCTTGACACTGAAAACAACTTCTCTCAATGATGGACAGGCCCAATAACCTTATTACATCCAGATTTAATATGGTGATTGATTAAGTAGTAACCTAGATCAGAAGATGACTTGAGATGTCCCCAGTACATACCTGCTCCCTGTTGTAAGGTGAGTGAGTATTTCAAAGGCTCACTCCCTGAGACCTCACGGATTTTCCTCTTGATGGAAGTTCATGTGCGCCTCGGGAAATCTTTCGCCCTGAAATAAAATTACAACGTCAAACTTATAGATGCATATATTTATTCGAAGAAACATGAGGGATGAGAGAAAGAAAGTAGAAGCGCAAGGCATCCATAAGGCATCGAACAGGCCGAATCGGGCCATCCCACCCATTCCTGCCCCCAAACCGGCATCCCATCGACTCGCTCCTTTTTAATTAATCTTCTCCTATTATCCATCTACTTCACTAGCATCCGAGTATATGTAATTATCACGATTGTCATCGCTTAGCTACAGGTACTTGCGCGGGTGTTCCTTCCACCCTTCTGAAACTTCTTCTCTCCGTCTGACACCCCGCGTCCAAAGCCAGTCTTGGTGGGGGACCGGTTAGTGTCAGCCGAGAACCTGCAGTTGCTGACAGCATGATATCTCACTCCCCTGGTCGTACCTGCACAATTTAGCTCTAATCTAATCGATAATAGATGCTGCGTCTAGTCTAGATCGTGGCATGGTAGTCATTGGACTCGTGTTCGGACCTCAATATGGGTTGCCTTATGACGTCCCTCTGACCGAGATCGACAACCCTTGCTACAATACAACCCCACAATATCAGTCTAAACGCTATGTTCTTTGTCGACTTGACGTAGAAACGCTGGAAAGAGGCGCCAAGAGTGATGGATATTCTGTCACTTCTCAGTAAGCTTACGGCTTAGCAAGGCAAGCTGACGTGGGTCTTGGCCCCCAAGCTTACCAAGCTGCTGGAGGGGTCTGCCTACATCTACATCCATGTCGACCCTCGTACCCCTCCATCGAATGAACTACCACTTATCAACTTATCTTGGAGGTTGTGCAGCCACCGCATGACCATGTCCGACCACGTCCTGTCTCAAATTCCAGTTCTCCAAGGCGCCGTGGCCGCCGACTGTGAGATTTTGCACGACCCGAATGATGCACGGTTTCAGCAACGCTTAGCTCGATGGACTGATATCGACCGGAAAGTTCCGGCTGCCATTGTTCTTCCTCGCACAGAGGATGACTGTTTGAAGACGGTAAGATGAGCCTTGCAAGTACACGGACGTTGATATCAGCCATTAACACTGGGCATAGGTGCAATGGGCTCTCAAGTCAAACATTCCATTCGTGCCGAAAAGCGGCGGTCATAGTCCCTGGTCAACCATTGGTTCAGAGGGAATCATTATTGATCTCAGTTTGCATTCTGAAGTTCGTGTCGATGCGGATGCGCAAACAGCAACCGTGATTGGAGGTGTTCTGGCCAAGGAAGTGTCTGTGCGTCTAGCAGAAGCGGGTTTTTTCACCGGTATAAATGAACCTCTATTATTGCTCGCTCCGACATATTTGACGTCTATCCTAACACGGTCAATTCACACAGCACTTGGGAATGGCAACAGCGTTGGTGCCATCCCGTACCTGCTTGGTGGCGGGGGCTCGATCACCAATTCCATCACCGGCTTCGGATCGGATCAGATTTTGGCGGCGCGTGTAATCACAGCAAAGGGGGAGCTGATCGAAGTTACAGAGGGGACGCACCCGGATCTGCTCTGGGCATTGAAAGGAGCTGGTCAATTCTTCGGCCTGGTCACTCAGCTCACGGTTCGTGCGCACTCTTTGTCGCTACTGCGGAAACGACAGGGCTTGATATGGGTGGGGGCCTTTATCTTTCCACTTGATCGGGCGGTGGAGGTGGCTCGAGTCATGAAGCAAATCATGAATGATCCCCAACACGCGACGGCGGGCCTCATGATGATCATTGCCCCGCCTCCCGCGCGTGTTCCATCCCTGGTGATTTCCGCCCGTTATACCGGCGATGAGGCCCCGGAAGTGCCGTTCAAAGCTTTGTATGACATTCAGCCAGCCGCTACAATGGGCAGAGATCTACCTATCCAGAACGTCAATGATGAGCGAGAAGCGCTATGCGCCAAAGGTGACTTCAAGAGGTTCGGGATCGTAGGGCTGCATGAATATCGTATCGACGGATTCATGCAGGCCATCGAAGTCTGGAAGAAATTGACCCATGAGTGTCCTGATGCCATAAATTCAGCCTTCAACTTACAGTGGGACTCGCGACCGGTTAAGGCGCCCGAGAAGGAGTCGGCCATGTCGTCGCATGATATCCGCTACTGGCAGTAGGTTTTCTTGGCTCCTTTTGTAGTTGCGACGCTAATTGTGAGTGTATTCAAGGGTCAACATTATCTGGCATACAGATGAGAAGAACAGACGCAAGGTCGACCAATACAACGATGAGTGCGTTGCTCTGATGCGGGGCCCGGACGAAACACGGTACATCGACTTCCAGAATGCGACTCGGACGGGACCAATCCAGCGACGGTATCGGGGAGAGGCTCGGCTGAAAAAGCTTCGACAGCTCAAGAGAGAATGGGATCCTCAGGGTGTGTTTACCAGGCAATTGCTGGATATTGATTGAGTGCAAACGATACAACGATGTAGACTGGTGATAAAGACAGGCCGTTGTGTCTAGAATCGAGGCTTCATGAGACTCAGAGACAATTACACTGCACTGGGGTTAACCCTCCAGAGTTTTTCATTCGTCGGCGTAGCCGTGGGTGACACAAGAATGAGAGATATCGCAAGTCTCAGACACGCATACTGTCGGTCTCGCGTGTCTCGTAGCCACGGCCGTTTTATCCGCGGCGACCCACGTATCCGCTAGGCATCTAACAAGTTCAACAAGCGATCTTGGAAAGACCTCAGCAATGTGTGAGATTAGCCTTTCAGGCAATGAAAGACTCACCAGCCCAGTCAGATAGGTGAGCGATTAGGACCACAGAGAACAAGAAATAGAAATCAGCTGGCCGGCGGAAGCGCGGTGGCATCCGGCGAAGGCTTATCACGGCAGCTCAGTCGGTTCTCCGATGCTCCCCCGGTGGCCCTAATCTTTCATTGACGAATAGCTGCCAACCTCGCCCGGCTAGTGCCCGATAACACCAGGACTAACCGACGCGACGGCATTAGTTCCTCGGTAGCGTGGGAAGACCATGGAGAGACGCAGCCGATAAGTTGCAGAGGAGCTTTCCGTGGGCTGACCAGTGCCTATCAGCAACTGGAGACGCGGTGGACACCCCCGCAATCGCAAGACCGCCTCGACACCGTCCATCCAGGCACCATCGCAACGGCAAACTTGCCTCTCCTCCAATGAAACCATGGACGATATATTGCTAGCGGCGGTGAGAACAGCAGGTCGGATGTCGCAATTAATTCTCGCATCGTCCCTCACTGCAAGGGGCCCACTTCCGGAGCTCTGCGGCGTTGTTATTTAAATCTGCCGTCGCGACCTGTCGGCCATCAGCCATTGTGTCTGGTTACAATTGCGCACATTCAATCTCAGCATGTTGGTCCGTCAGCTTGCCCTGGCTTTGGCCATTGCGGTCTTGTCCGATGCCATTCCGACGTCCATCAAGCATGTTCTGCACGAGAAACGTCACAAGCCCGCATCCGATTGGGTGAAGGGTGCGCGCGTTAAGAGCGATGCGGTCCTGCCTGTGCGCATTGGCCTTGCCCAGAACAACTTGGACAAGGGTTACGATTTTCTGATGGAAGTGTGAGTCTCGACTGACATTCCATTCTGTCATTGTGGTCTTGAAATCGATGAAGAATTGTGAAGAATGAAGCTTACTTTTATAATTGTTGCACAGCTCGGACCCCAAGTCTTCCAAGTACGGTCAGTACTGGTCGGCAGACGAGGTGCACGACATCTTTCAGCCATCCGAAGAGGCTGTCGAGGCTGTGAGAGAATGGCTCGTCGCCTCTGGTATTCATCCGTCACGGGTGGTGCACTCCGACAACAAGGGCTGGCTCGCCTTTGACGCCTACGCCCATGAAGCCGAGAGGCTATTCATGACGGAATTTCACGAGCACGAGAGTGACCGAAGTGCTAAGATCAGAGTCGGATGCGACCAGTAAGCTGAATTCCTTGCCACTTGTTCAAGCAATTGTTAATTAGGATCTAGATACCACGTGCCCGAACACATCCAGAAACACATCGACTACGTCACCCCTGGAGTGAAGCTCACCCAAGTCGTGAAGAGGACCAAGAAAGTCAAGCGTGCCTCCCAACTATCTCACTCCTCCAAGGCCAAGTCTGCTGCTCAAGGCTCGCAGACACTTCCTAGCAAGGCCAAGTTCCTGCCTGAAGACCTCCGCGGCTGTGGTTACAACATTACCCCTTCATGCATCAAGGCCTTGTACCAGATCCCCGACGCTAAGACAGCGACCCCGAACAACAGCCTCGGTCTGTACGAGCAGGGTGACTACTTTGCCAAGTCTGACCTCGACCTCTTCTACAAGGAGTATGCGCCCTGGGTTCCCCAGGGTACCTATCCCATTCCGGCCCTGATCGATGGCGCCAATTACTCGGTGCCTTCATGGAGCTCCCTGAACACAGGTGAATCCGACATTGATATCGACATGGCGTGAGTTAGCCCCACATTATACTATCAGCCCCTTACTGATATTGTGAAGCTACTCCCTCCTCTATCCTCAACAAGTTACCCTCTACCAGGTTGACGACCAACTCTACGAACCGGTCGAGGTCGACACAACCAACCTATTCAACACCTTCCTCGATGCTCTCGACGGTGTAAGTCCACACCCAATCTCCAGCCTCACGCCGCTAACAGCTCCAGTCCTACTGCACTTACAGTGCCTACGGCGAGACCGGCGATGACCCGTCGATCGACCCCGTATACCCCGACCCCCGCCCCGGCGGCTACAAAGGTACCATCCTACACCACCTTTTCCCTCAAACAAAACCCACCCTAACCCACGACAGGAAAACTCCAATGCGGCGTCTACAAGCCCACGAACGTAATCAGCGCCTCCTACGGCCAATCCGAAGCCGACCTCCCCGTCAGCTACACCAAGCGGCAATGCAACGAGTTCATGAAACTCGGTCTACAGGGCCACTCCATCCTCTTCGCGTCGGGCGACTACGGCGTCGCATCTTTCGCCGGCGACGGCGACGAGAACGGCTGTCTCGGCCCAGAGGGCAAGATCTTCAACCCTCAGTACCCCTCCAACTGTCCCTACGTTACCTCCGTCGGCGGCACCATGCTGTACGGCTACCAGACCGTCAACGACAGCGAGAGCGTTATGCACGTCAACCTCGGCGGGACCGCAAGTAACTTCAGCACCTCCGGTGGATTTTCGAACTACTTCCCCCAGCCCGCGTATCAGTATGCTGCTGTGGAGCAGTACTTCCAGACTGCAAATTTGTCGTACCCTTACTATTCGGAGTTTGAGGTCGATGTTAACACGACCAAGGGCCTCTATAATCGTCTTGGTCGCGCTTATCCGGATGTTTCGGCCAATGGAGCCCATTTCAGAGCTTATATGGATGGGTACGATTATCATTGGTATGGGTCGAGTTTGGCGTCGCCTTTGTTTGCGTCAGTTCTTACTTTGGTACGTTTACTATTTTTATTGGTTGGGGGTTAATCTGGGGATGATGATGCTGACAACTGTTTGCAGCTTAACGAGGAACGCTTCGCCATCGGCAAGGGGCCCATCGGATTTGTGAACCCCGTGCTTTATGCCTATCCGCAGGTGCTGAATGATATCACTAATGGTACTAATGCTGGATGTGGAACGTATGGGTTTAGTGCTATTCAGGGGTAAGTGCTGAGTATTTGATTGTGGTAAAATTAGTGTGCTAATTTATGACTACAGATGGGATCCCGCTAGTGGTTTGGGTACGCCCAATTACCCCTTGATGAGGGAGCTGTTCCTCTCTTTGCCTTAGACTCCATGGTGCTTTGTTGGTTGAAAGGTGGTCAATGGGTGTATATGTCTCATGTGGAAATAGTTACGATGCTAGGATAATGTGTAGACGAGTATGAATGGTTATTTATCCCATTGGTCACTATTTTTAGGATACTCATGTTCTGTGTATATGTTGAACTACAAAAAAACGTTCAAGAAATTTGTCAGAAATTGACTATTCGCTGTCTATTTATAGTCTCATGTATCAACATTATCAAAAAGCCTAGCCCAAGGGATATCAAAAAAAAGACATATGAAAACACTAAACTGATACTCTATAACCAACCAAGAAATATTTATGAATGTATTAAAACCGCTCGTACCTCCCATCCATCTCGACCAAATGCACCGCACTGGTCGAATCCCGCTCCGATCGTGTCGTGTAATCGACGGAGATATTGACTGACTTGGAGATCTTGCTGTTCGTTACCCCCGAGGAGGCACCCCCGTTGTGATAGAGTGAGTTGGTTCGGTCGTAGGTCCGTCGCTGTGTGCTGCCGGGAAGACCTGGAACGTAGTGGTTTATGAAAGCGCGGGCGGCGGGTAGACAGGTCGTCATGATCGCGATTTGGGATTCGATGACGGACCAGTGGATGAGGGGTTGGAGACCAGCTGTATAGAATTGAGTTAGTGGAGTGGGGTGGGGGATGATTGAGAGTTGAGAGGCCGTACCGGTCAAGTTGGTAGTCCAACGGTTTTCCCAGAATACGACCACACGGATGATGGCGATGATGGTTAGGCTTAGAGTCTTATTAGTAAGGCGAAAACGCAGTGCATGAATAGGTTGTGCTTACATGAGACCCATCATGAACATCAGTGCCACAGTGATCTTCTTCATCCATGGCAGCTGCAGCTTGCTCACTTCGTAGATCGGTAGGAGGACGATGACGACGTCGACGAAAATGTTGACAAGGCAGTGGACTAAAATTGCCGCGATGAAATTAATGCATGTGCCGACCCCTTCATATTCCCCGGTCCAAGAGTCCCAGTCCAGATGGACTGGCATGCATCGAAGCAAATCCACGAGGGCGAACGTGATACCGATGGCGGCGTTAATGCCGATGAGGATGTATGCGCATATGCGGAAAACACGGGACTGGAAGATTCGCAGCAGGAAGAGTAGGACGGATATCTTGCAGAGCGAGATTTGGATCTTGTACATCATCGCCAATCCTTCGAAATACTGGAAGACTAATGTGACGTGGTGGAAGGGTAAGATATCCCAGGTGTTCATTCCGAATCCATATTTGATCACTGTTTTGTTAGATCATGCCTCATGCCAGTGTGTGGAAAGATGGTGACTTACTGTATGTATTGACGACAAATAAGCCAACTCCCAGTACCTACTAGCTGTTAGAATCATAACGGTGCCAGGTACTGCAAGATTGCTTACCCATGCGATCGTGACAGTATAGTCGTCAAGTCCCCAACCACCAGCGAGATTTGCGACCTTCGCCGCTATCCGGATGAAGAAGAATATCGTGGCAAGGATAGCAGGTGCAAGGGTGGAGGGATCAACGAGAGGGGGCCCCTTCTTGATGGGTTGGTCGCATTCCAATTCATACAAATGCCTCGTGACTGCGAAATGTTAGGCATGCATGAACGACAGTGTGAGTAAAGTGTAGCTGGATGCTCACTATAGTATTCCAGTGCACTGCAGTTAGACAATGCGCAAGTCACTAGCGATGACTTGCTGGCATCGCCGGTGCATACACATGAAGCATCGGTTATGGTGCAATTTGGAGATTCTTGGTGCAAGCAAGACACCTGGGGACTTGGTCAATGAAAGCGGAACCCCCGAGAGAGAATCCCACTTACCGCACACTCTGGAAATTCTGTGCCATTCGACGACACGGCGAACACAGACACCGTCAATGCTGCCAATATCGTGAATAACAACTGATGTATCTTCATTATGATGTGGGATGTAACTCAGAGGAGTAACATCCCAGGACAGAGGCAACAGGCAAACGGGGAAGCCAGTCGGCGGAAAAGGGATTTCTCCCGGTCACCCTTTATAATCAATCTCCCTCGGCATCTACGCCATGTGGATTTCGAAACACCAGTCGATATTCGTCAGGAGCAAGCTTTTTTTTCACACGGGGGCGTGCTTGGCCCGAGTTCCCTTCCCAGTATATGTGTGGTCCAGACTCCCGGTTCGTCCAGCGATCGTTGTGATGGAGAACTCTGAGCGTATCGATTAAATGGACGAGTTGGGTTTGCGTCCCGAAGTGACGCAGCTTGATTTTGTGGATGAACATGCCTTGCACTGGCGGAAGTGTGCGCGATCCATTTTGCATTAGGACCGTGGGTTCAGTGAGACACGGGCGTTTCCACGAGGAGGGGACCAATCCGAGGGGGCATGGCTGGCTGGGCGATCGGATGCAGGACTGCATCCGTCCGGTAGAAACTTAGATTAGAGTGGATCCTACTGCCCGGTCCACTTGAAGCCGGATCTGAGACACCAGTTGGGAATCATCTGCCGATGCCCACCACTCCTCTCCAATCACCTAGCGACGGAGAATTTGGAATGCCGCTTCTCCTGACTCAGAGGAGCCGACGACCCTGTGCGTCTCCCGCGCCCAGCTTGACGCCATGTCGCTTAGAGCCTTGGAGGGACGAAGATGGGGTTCTCATCTTAGCTGGAAGGGGTTTTCTCGTGGCTACGGAGGCGAGAAGTCCTGACTCGTTTTGAGTTCTAGGCGCCATCTCGCCTGGATGTAGTTGGTTGCAGTGAAAGCACTAACGTGCAAGTGACTTTGGTGGTGAAACGGAACCCTATTCATGGGTTGTGGGTGAACTCAAGGAAGGCACGTGGACCGCCTTCCAAGAACTTTCAAGAAAAAGCTCCGAGCCTCGGTCCTAGTCCGTAGAGACGTTGTAATCCCTGGATTTAGGGCACAGAGAGGCGGTTGTGCGTGCCAAAAAATGGGGAAATAATATCATTTTAAGCTCAAGCGCCAAGTGGCTCGTCGTTTGATATTGATGTGTTTTTGAACACCGCTTGCTTTTCTAGGATTAGCGTCAGTCAGTATCTTTGCGCTAACCTAGACCGGACTGGTTTCCACGTGGGGAGCCTCACTGCCTGAGAATCTCTCTCCCCATTACTCAGCATCGCAAGTGGCTGAGTGACGCGGTCATTGATCTATCAGAAACATCATCTCTTCAATGTTTACCCACAAACCTCTCGCTGTTCGAGTTCTAATCTGCGAAATACCTAACATATCTGCCAAACACCTTGCTTGGCTCAATGACTAGACTTCTCTGATCTCTAATCTCCGTGCATCTCATACCAGATTAGGTCTCATATTAAATATGTGTCGATCAACCAAAAATAACTGCGCCGGAGTACTCCGTTAATATATATCTGTTCCGCGAAAGTCGATATAGTCTGCCTAGTCGTTTCTCTTCACTACCACTAGGACTATACTAGAAGGACTTGCAATTTATTTCATGATACCCCTGAAAGGTGCACGAGCAAGCTCAATTAGGGGGTTCGTTCAACTGGTACCAGTCTTGTCATGTCAATAAATTCTCCGTGGCACTATGCACCTACCAGGGAATCTCGATCAGATCTCCTTTGATCTTACGGGATCTCATCGGATCTTGTCTATACAGCTTTACATACATGCATTTAGTCAACTGTTGATATGATCAATTTGCCTCCTAAGTGACAACCGTCCAGCGTCGTCGTCATAGCTGGACCCGCTTTATATGACCGGTGGACGTTAAATTCCCCGGACAATTACCCGCCGTTGCCACTAACAGCAACTAGAACAAGTTTAAATTTTTGTCTTTGACCGGCTTTTCCTCGTCCCTCTGTGAGACGAGCATATTGAAGAGTACCATGGTGCGCAGCCATGTGGCATTTATTTCCGAGGGCCCATATCCTATCGTGTATCCAGATGGAAGCCGTCTGGGAAGCGGGAAGCCCGCCAGCTTATGCTTATTATCATACTTAAATTTCCAGAAGATTAAATTATATTACTTACTCCATAGAATGCTTGGTTCGCGTCTGTTCATATCCCCCTGTGGCTTGAGATTCACGGCTATTGATTTCAATACTCCTTCATTGACCGGGATTTACCATGGTACTGTGTAAATAGGTCCCGGCCAACAAGAGACATAGAATCGGATTCACCATGTCTTTGATGAAAAACTCATGATATATAGGACCCACAAACCTTGTCCTACATCAACAAATTTTTGATGGTGTTGACCGAGGTGTTCATATTAGATCACAACTCCGCCCACTGCATTTACCGAAGACTGGATCCACTTGATGTCGCTCCAAAACACTGTACCGACTATATAATGCCTCTTCCCTCTCTCTGAACTCACTCGACATGATTTCACGGTTCCTGCAGGATGAGCGGATCCTTGCAAGCTGCAAGAAATAATATATTGACATCAGAATACTTAACTAATAACCTAACCACACCCCGATCGGGTCAGCTTACTAAGTGACTCCTTATCGCTATCGGTCGATCAGCTGATTTCAGCTTCCAATTCGAACCAATTCCCTCGCGACTGTCTGACCTTCTCTCGTCAACAATCGCAATCCAGCAATGCAATATCCACCACTGACATGAGCGACCTGCTAAAGTCTCGCTGGGCTCCCAGCCCAAGCGAGATTCAAGCCCGACCCGCCGTTCCTCCCATCACCACCCTAGCAATTCCCCGGAAAACCACACCGAAACCCACCACCAAACGCACGCCATCCCCCGTCAAGCAACCCTCTCGTCAATCCTCCCCACGACCCTCCCCCTCGAGGCACCTTTCCCGCTTCATGAAAATCGTCGAGCGACTAAAATGGAAACTCCCATATCTGGCCTACGGCTACCGCCTCGCGACCATCGACCCTGCCAGTAGCGACTTCGACGTCTCCCACGCCGAGATCATGTTCAAGCTCGATTTCCACGAATACTACTCTCTCCTCGAGCGTGCAATTGTCCATCTCCTCAGCGTCTTTGGTGTCTCTGTGTCTTCTGCTTTTGCGCGCAATCACCTCGCCGCGTACGGCTCCGCTCCGCTCTCGACCCACCGATACCATGCGAACGTGTTGGAAGCGCTGCAGGATGAAAACAGTCCCTTGCATACTGTGCTGGGACAGGGCGAGACTCACGAACAATTGCAGAGGGCGAAGGAGCTGCGGAATCGGTGGAAGACGGCGGATTTGACCAAGGAAGAACTGGAGATGGAGGATAAGTGGGCTGCGAGGCGGAAGGGCAAGGCCATGCCGTTGGCGAGCTATGATATCGAGAAGATCCTCTCGGATATCTTCCAGGGCTTCGATGATGCGTATTTGCTTGCGCAGGAGCATGTGGTTGCGTCTGATGGGGCGGATAAGATGGATGGGTTGTTGCAGGGAGAGTCGGATGCCGATTGGGACTTCATTGTCGATGCTATGGATTGGGAGGCTGTTTGAGCGGTCTGGGTGGCTGTCTGTTTTTGTTAGCGATGTTTTGGGTTAGAATTGCATGGTCGGAGTTCTGATTTTGGGGGCTATCCATTTTCCCCTCTGCTGCTTTGGTTGTAACCATGTGCAGGTCTTGTATAGTGGACTGTCGGGAGTTTAGTTGATGGATGTACAGGCTAGGTCTATCTTAGGAGCAGACTCGCACTTTATTGGCTATTTTGGAATAGGTATCAATATATCCCACCACTTGTACGCTTGCAACATTCCGCTGCCAATCTTCAGTTGGATTTGCGACTACCTGAGGATTACTGCTGCAGTCAGTCTAGTCAGGAATGTATACCGGTATCCCCACCCAATCCGAGTATTATCATAACGTATATCATCAACACATTGAGCAACAGTCTATTTAGGCTGGAGGGTAGGCGTAGCAAGAGGCTTGCGACTCGTTGCAGGATTTCCCCTGAAACCCAGGAGATCTATGCGACGTGATGCAACAAAATTCAATTCTGAGAATGCCCCCAGATAGGATTGCGAGTCATCTTTGGAGGAGGAAACAGAAAAATCAAAATCAGAAGGCAGAAAAGAAGAGTACGTCAAATGCAAAATAATGGGGGTATATCAGGCTCCGTCGTCAAAGTTGGTTGTAGCATCGTTACAATTAAGCGTTGTGTTCTCCTGCAGTCTCATAATTGCAGTAGCAGCTGATGAGCTTCACAGACAGGCTCATCCCAATACATTGACCATGCGTCTTTTCTCTGAAGGTGATTTGCTCACATGTCGGCCATTTCCTCTAAGGCCCACAATCCTGCTACTACGAGTACTCTATCCCAATACGGAGTATAACTACCGGGCCTGATTGCTCTTGTGGAAACTGGATATTCATACCGCACCCCTTGCCAATAAACTGAGTTATGCGCATATTACTAGCCTATGGACACAATGTGGCAGGAGCCCACCTCAACTACTGAGCCTAAGATAGTGACCACCTTCTGTTGTCTTCCACCACTAAAACTACTTGAAAAAGAAAGGAAAAACACGATCTGCAACTAATGATAAGCTCGTCACTGCTTCAAGGTAAGGACGCCCGGCTTCCATGGCAAGAGGTTGTAGTCACCACTGCTGTTGGGGTCATGGCCCTGATAGAGCAACTGGAGGTTGCAAGGATCGACAGTCATGGTTTGATCAGGGTTGTTGCGAACCAAGTCACCATGGCTAATGTCTTCGGTCCAGGTGGCGCCACTGTTGGCTTTGCCTGCGAAGGGTTTATCCTCACTTGCCGCCTGGGCTGTCCATTCTCCACCGAGACTGCTGGCCGTGAAGGAGCGGAAATAACGATGTCCGGTGGACCCGATCGCCTCGACGATCATGAGGTACTTGCTGTCGCCCTCACCGCCGTCGACGGTGTATACTTGGACCGCCTCGAATAGATCGTTGCGGGCGCCACTCAGGATCACCTCGTACTGGCTGCCGAAGCTTCCGGGGAAGTCATTGATGGACATGCTGGATCGGTAGATCTTGCCGTTGTCGCCGGCGAAGAAGAGATACATATTCGTATCATCGCCAATCACCGTCTGGTCAATGGCATTGGTGCTTGAGTCGCTGACTTTGCCGGTGAAAAGCGCCTGCTCCGACGACCAGCCATTGACATTGGTGGGATCTTGGGAGGTGCGGTAGGTGAATGTGCTGGAGCCCCATTGGTAGGCCAGAACCCAGATACTTTTCGGCTTGAAGTAGAACAGGGTAGGAGCCACGGCATTGAAGGGGGTGGCTGTCTGGCTAGCGGATGCCATGTTCGACCACTCTGAGAAGGCGCCAAAGGTCATCGAGCCATAGTTTCCCGCTTCATCAGTAGTGGACGCATAGACAATATGTTTGCCGTCCGAAACAACATCAGTAAAGTCCTTCAGTGCGGTCCATCCTGACTTTGGAGTTGCGAGAGCATCGGTTGAACTCCAACTATAGGACGACGGAAGTGCACATTTGGCGTTGACAAAGGGGGTCAATGCAATGAGGTAGATGCCTGATGACAGCAAGCTGCCTTTGGCATTGAAGAACTTCATCTTCGAATGGGTTTATCCGCAGAAAAAGAAACAAAAGAGATCAATGGCTGAAATCGTTGGCCACGGAGAACGAATAACTTGGACGGAGGACCAGACCATGTTCAAATATATGTAGTTACGTTTATGACAATACTGATATGTGCAGAAAAACAATCGGGATTTATCCATACTGGATGACACCAGAAACGTTTCGGATAAAAGTAGGCTGCTTGGTTATTTCCCCCACTTTGGCTTAGAAAGAACATTCCTTTGCTCGAGCTCATTTTGGCGCACTATTCAGGCCCTTTCCCTTAGGGGAAGATGATCAGCATGCTGCCTAAACTACGGAGTACATTAGCCAGAAACGATCGTCCACCGGAGCGTTGCCGTGTTTAGAACGGCGTTCAAGACTACCCTACACAGTGGGTAATTCTATGATTACGCCACAATAGCTCTTCTTCGGCAGTAGACTCGGCGAAATAATTGCTGTGACAGGACGGATGACTCCCGGGCATCGAGGGTCTAGGCGTGGATCCTAATGGCGCTAAGCAAACTGGTTCTACTTTGACACATTGCCGCCCTGATAGTGTTTCACCTTAAAACACCACAACCTTCCGGTACTTTCGGCGGGTAGTTGACACCTATCGGCTGAAGAGATGATATTTTGGCTGTCACTGTACACACCTAAAGTATTCTAATCGATCAAACTAAATGTTTGTACTTTCAAAATGGTTGGACATACTACTTTTACGAGTTGGTGCTCTTTACTACCAAACTCCAGGGACTATTTGCAGACCTTCATCAGAGCATCTGCAGGCTCTCTACAAGTTACAACATCTAGTATGGATCGGGTGACCGGCTGTAGCCGGCTGCCATCTCTGCAGGGCTAAACTATTTTTGGGGCCGAGGCAGACGCTGGACCCTGATGGACGGACATTAGCAGGTTAATCGGACGACCGTGCAACAAGTGTCTCCACTCCTGCAATTCCTTCTTGTGTTCCTGGTGGGTAGATCGGCGTCTTCCAAATTACAACATTAACGTACGGTTGCTTCTCGACGTGTCGGCTAAGGACATAGCCTGTTCTAACCAAAGATGTCAAGAGCTCCGGATAGCCTGCCTAAACGCCATTATTCATCCCTTCAGGCTGATTATGGTTCCATCGAGTGCCATCCTCCCGGTTTGGGAAATTCGATAGACAGCTAGATGAGGCAGATGAAGTCAATCCTTTACTGTCTAGACATGCTCGAGCGGGACGTTTGGTTCCACGGTTGGTTGTGTTCCAGTTTCACATCCTCTTGGCCCAGAAATGTTGAGTCTCGTGGTATATAAATACTTCAATCCCTCTTCTCCCTTGTAGAATCTATCTTATAATCTGTCAATCCAACATCATTTTTATTTGGCTCTTTTAAGAAAAACGATCGCTTTTGTCCAACATGGTTCAGATCAAGGCAGCTGCACTGGCGATGCTTTTCGCTAGCCAAGTGCTTTCTGAACCTATTGAACCCCGTCAGGCTTCAGTGAGCATCGACACCAAGTTCAAGGCTCACGGAAAGAAGTATCTGGGAAACATCGGGGATCAGTACACCTTGACCAAGAACTCGAAGACTCCGGCAATCATCAAAGCCGATTTTGGCGCCTTGACCCCAGAGAACAGCATGAAGTGGGATGCCACTGAGCGTAAGTCCAATGTCCTCATCGTTATGGTTGTTATTCCGATCTAATTAGAATTATAGCCAGCCGTGGACAGTTCTCTTTCTCGGGATCGGATTACCTGGTACGTATAGAACTTCTCAACCCTCTACGATGATCGTACTCGAGGCTTACAAACCTAGGTCAACTTTGCCCAGTCTAACAACAAGCTGATCCGTGGACATACGCTGGGTAAGTTTTTGACTGACTGAACTGGAAACTATACCAAGACAGTGAAGCTAACTCAACCAGTGTGGCACTCCCAGCTCCCCTCTTGGGTTCAAGCCATCACGGACAAGAATACACTCATCGAGGTCATGAAGAATCACATCACCACGGTGATGCAACACTATAAGGGCAAAATCTACGCCTGGGTAAACTGAAAACCATCAATTTCACTGAGCCTCATCACTAATTATTGCAAGGACGTTGTCAATGAAATTTTCAACGAAGATGGCTCCCTCCGCGACAGCGTCTTCTACAAAGTCATCGGCGAGGACTACGTCCGGATTGCCTTCGAGACTGCGCGGGCTGCGGATCCCAACGCAAAGCTCTACATCAACGATTACAAGTAAGCTATGGCTGTCTGTTTTCTATTTCAGACTGGATTCTAACTTTCACCAAGCTTGGACTCCGCTTCCTATCCTAAGTTGACTGGCATGGTCAGCCATGTCAAGAAGTGGATCGCAGCCGGAATTCCTATCGATGGAATTGGTAAGGCCCCCGTGGTTAATGATATCCGGCTATAATGACTCACCATCTTCAAAGGCTCCCAAACCCATTTGAGCGCTGGTGGAGGTGCTGGAATTTCTGGATAAGTACCCCCTCCCCTTTATCCAACCTGACGATAGCTGACAGCCCCTTACAGCTCTTAATGCTCTCGCAGGTGCGGGCACCAAGGAGATTGCGGTCACCGAGCTCGACATCGCTGGCGCCAGCTCAACCGACTACGTCGAGGTAGGTCACGACAAGCCAAGTACATAGTGTGATTAACTGACACTAATCCCTACATACACAGGTCGTCGAAGCCTGCCTTGACCAGCCCAAGTGTATCGGTATCACCGTGTGGGGAGTCGCTGACCCGGTAAGTACCTCTGCAGTCCGGATGATAAGTCTTGCCTTAGAAGTTGAGCTAATTTCTTTCAGGACTCCTGGCGCTCCAGCTCCACTCCTCTGCTGTTTGACAGCAACTATAACCCGAAGCCTGCATATACTGCTATCGCAAATGCTCTCTAGATCCGGCAACCACTCTGATCGAATTGCCGGGAAGATATAGCCTTCCGAGGTAGAGACGCTCTGTTTTGCACTACCCGAAGAGAATTGTCTGCCGTTCCTCCGACAGTGTTCTTCTGTACTTCTTCCACCTGTATCCATCACAATCGTTCTTCTAAGTGTGCGCACTCACAGTAGATCTGAAGCATCCACCTCTAGTGTAGCTCAGCTTCGTATAATCCCTGTGGAGTAGTTTTTGCCGTGTACCCCACCAGTGGGGCCGTAGCATTAGTACTTTACTTTGTTAGTCTAGACCCTGATGTGCCGATGTAAAGCAAAAGCATCACACGAAATGAAGGACATGTCTCAGATGCCCCCCCCCCCAATAACCATAACAGCCATCTAACTCTTAAGGTCCTTGTGGCATGCAGTTGGATGGACGGGGCGGTCTGGCTAGTCTCTTTGCCTTTACTAATAACCCCCTTGGCATTGGCTGGACATTGGACTAGTCGTTCATGAAGTCCTCGCTTAGCATCCTGCAGAATTTAGTGCATGTAACAACGGCAATGCAGAGCGCCGACAACTGCCGAGATATGTACAATGGGTCCTGCACTATAGCCTGCCTTCGGGGTACTGAGTATTGTCTGCAGTCGTACTTTGCGCCATGTCCATTAATCTATTCCATGAAATTTAGCCGGATGCGATGAGAAGTGTTTAAAGTTCAGTCCCTCCTCCGGTTGAACTCTTGTGGCCCAACTGGACAAGGACTTGTTTCCACTAAAAGCTACTGGCTGGGGGTGATTTAGATCCCCATTTACTCTAATATGTAAGACGGGGCATATCATTCGGTCTGTCCTATTGTCTTTCTATCAAAGCAAGTCATTGGCGCCAGAGTGGGTGCCTTTTGATGTACTCAAATGCTGGATATTAGATAACCACTTCCATCTGTTAGCCGTATATACCGACAATAGGCCGCGTAGTGTCGTACGCGATCCTGAATACACTTATATAGGCAAAGAGTGACTAATGAGGCGACAAATAACGATATAATGAAAAGAACTGCTTATGAAGCCTAGGCAATTTCTTTGTAGATTGAACGATGACCTTCTCGAACATCACCCGCAACTGTGCGGAGTGGGAGAAAACGAGCCAGCTAGGGGCAGTGGTAGCTCGCGACTGCGTGTATGGGAATTGTGTCTGTTATCGTATGAGATTGGATAGCCGAAAGCGTAATAATAGATCAGAAAGATGGTGCACCGAAATGCTTCCCTGGCAGCCTTTTTCTATGAAGAGGGGACAACTTTTGACCATCTGCGGGCACTACTCCAATAAACATCTGACAAACGAGACGTGGAACATTAAAAACTGGTTGAGGGTACTTTTTCTTTTGTCAGACAAGACAGATTGAGATAGGTCACCAATGAACTTTTGCCCGAAACTTGATCATGTTTGACTTTAACACATCGGGCGCTCCTTCCATGGTGCATCTCCCAAACCCAAAGAAACATGACATAATCATGAGACTTATAAAAAGCCATACAGACATCTGGGGTTGAGTAGCAGTCGGTATTCAGTCTGGCTGATATTCACGGGCTAGTATAAGTACCAGTATGATCTGACATAAATGTCTCCAAAGTACTAGCCATCATGGTATCGTCAACTCGTAGCCAGCGCGTCCTTCTGACCGGGGCAAATGGGTTTGTAGCATCCCATATCCTCTCCATCCTCCTTGAGGTGAGTGAGTCCGAATTGCAAGCAACGTATAGTAGCTGACAACCTCAGCGTGGCTACACGGTAACCGCAACAGTGCGATCTCAGGCCAAAGCAGACGATGTGATTAACGCTCACCCTGAATGGAAAGGGAAGGTTGATTTCGTGATTGTGTCGGACTTCACCTCACAGAAACCATTCAGCACCTTGTCTGAGGAGACCGAAGCTCTCTTTGATTATGTTATCCATGCGGCATCGCCATTCAAGTTTGATTTTAAGGATTTTCAGAACAATCTGATAGATCCCGCAGTTAAGGGGTAAGTATGAACTGTGTGCGCAACCATGATGTAGCCGCTGATTTGCACTTGCAGAACGACTCAAATCCTGGAAAGCGCTCACCGACACGGTGGAAGCACGCTCAAACGCATTGTCCTTTTGGGTAGCGGTGTTTCCGTACTCGATTCCTTCGAGGACATGGGTCGAGAAGGACACCCATATACCGAGAAAAGCTGGAATCCAGTTCGTCTCAGATTGTGATCGGCAATTCCCCTGCTCATGAAACTCTAGGTAACTGCACAACAAGCAATTGACCGTAACGACCCTGCGTTGGGTTACAATGTATCCAAAATCCAAGCCGAGCGTAAAGTCTAGGATGTCATGCAGGCAAATAGTCCCAGTTTCGACCTCACTGTCATCAACCCTCTTATCGTCACCGGACCGATGATCCATCCAACCTCAGGGGAGGGATCAATCAACGAAAGCAATTATTTTGCGATTGCTAGTTTTATCGACGGGACTCATGTCAAAATTGAGGATGTGCAGTTGCCATACTATCACTTTGTCGACGTGCGCGACGTGGCTAGGAGCCATGTAGATGCTCTTACCAATCCCGCTGCTGGAGGGCAGCGTATCGTACTTGTCTCAGGGCTCATAACGCCACAGTTGGTCGTGAATACTATCCGAAAGCATTTCCCTCAACTGCGCAAAAAGGTTCCAGCTGGTACACCGGATAAAGTGCTGCCCAAGGGAATACATCCCACCGGTTGGGATACGCGAGTTAGCTTGGATATACTCTCGAAGGGAAAGGGTAGTCAGTGGGAATACATCGGTTTAGAGGAGAGTGTGAGGGACGCGGTGCAATCTATGATTCAGCACAACGTTTTGCCCGACTAATGTATCGTAGCCTTCAAGATCACTACCAACTTATCGATAAAATCAAATTGCTTTCTCATGTTGTGATGTATTCTGACATGCGGCACCCACGTGATTAATGGAAGCCACTCTGTCAACAAAGGGCCCGATCGCGCAGGTGATGAGTTTTCACATTTCTGCAGCAGAGCATCCTGCACAGTTCCTCAAGCCAAGTACCCAGAACATGACTTCTAAAACGGTGATGGAGGAGCGGTCTTGGGCTCAACAAACCGTCGACAGGTTCTTCGAAACTCGTCAATCCCCGACCCAGTTATACTGCGACGACCACGCTCGTAGGATCACAGGTGCTTCCACTGTTCGAGAAGTCGACATTCCGGGGTCGCTGAGCTACACAGTCCTTTGCACAGATAGCTCAGATGAGCGACCAGATATGATCGTGTCTTTCCGACAACCAGAGTCTGCCTTGGACCAAACAGTCATTGAGCTGGCAAGATTCATCCACGGCGATCAGGTACCAGAAGCTACTTTTCACGGCAAATTGCCAGGTTCAAATCCACCTTTGCTCGTTTATACGATGGCCTGTTTGTCAGGTAGTCCTTGTCTACAGTTATTCGACACCGAAACTGAGTTGAGACCCAAAGAAGAAGCCAGATACATGTGCTTTGTCAAGCATTTAGCCAGGTAGCTCCTCTCGTATTCCATTCCCTACGTCGATACTATGCCGCCATTCGAGGAAATGAGTCAAGCGACCACGATAGTAATGGTCTCTAGATACTTCGCTCGGTGTTGGTTAAATCCACAGCCAGTAGATCCTACGGTGTCGACAAGCTATGGGGACGCAATCTATCGCCGGCTTGGGAAAATAAGAAAGTCCTCACCTCTCATACTCCCCTCCACTACAATTTTGGAACTTGAACGCAGTCTTCCAAATCTGTTCAGTTAAGTATATGTGCAAGTCCTGACACACAACGACCTATCCCAAACAAACATTCTGATCAGCGAGGATAACTTTGAAATTACTGGTATTGTCGATTGGTCATTGGCTAAAGTACTGCCGTTTGGCATGGAACTGGACACTCTGCTACTATCCACTGGTTACATGGATCTCAGCGGCTGGCACAATTATACGTGCCGTGAACGCATGATCATTTACTTTTGGGATGAATTCTGGGCTCACAGTCGTGTTTTTGATGATGTACGTCAGCACGAGATTCGTACCATGGCGATGCAAGCCACCAAGATCGGCGCAGTGCTGCGCTACGCATTCCAGCGTAACACCGATGGTTCCCCATCCGAGGAATTAACAACGTCTAACTGGGCCTTGAAGACTCTCAAAACTCTGCTATGTTGCTAAATCTTTCAGAAGCTAGGAAGGTTAAATATAGACACCACGCAGCACAATATTGCACATCTCCATGAGTATTGCCCGACGGAGTTCGAGTATTTCGAAGAGAACGCCGGAATATATGAGAGCACGCCTCACCAGGAATACTCTGTTCCAACGCTCCATCCCGAGTTCTCGCCGAGACAAGTTCACGCTAAATTTTGGCCCTCCGGCTCACGGCAAATTCTCTGGAAACACTTATTCGATTTATAAAGTCGCGTTTGAGGCTGGTGCTTGGTATATTATGTAATTGTTGGTGCCTTAGGCCATATATGGAGCCGTATCTCCCTCAGCAAAACCCGATCTTTTCTTGACAGAAAAGCAGAAGGGATGTACCAGATCCTCCTAAACCGCATTAGCCTAGATAACCAAGAGCTTTTCGTATCTTTTGCTTACTTATGCGGCAACTCTATCTCTGCTGCCTTTCAAATTTGATTAGTCAATTTCAGCGTTGCCCATGTAGACAGTGGCATCAACATCCATGTACCTAGCTATTGATGTCTTCAACAATGGTTTCTCAACTACAGGTGGTGAACCACATGGAAGAGAATTATTGGTTAATGCGAAACAGTCCCTGTGGTAACTCAATCAAATTACTAAGCGCCCAGAAAGACTGATAACCTAGTAGGCTAGACATCAACCCGACATATGCATGCAGAATCAGCATGCATCATCATAGTCTTAAAACCGCCCGAAGCACGCACCTCTACAGACAATTGGGTATAGATTGTAGTGAGTCAAGCATATGTGAGTCCATGTGTGGTCTGCTGTGCTCCACATATTTGTGCACTGCGCCCCTTCTCTCCAAACCATATCCCGTAACCTGCAACATGTGTCAAAACCAATGTAACCGAGACCTAAAGCCAGTCACTCGTCACAAGACAAACCGATCTCACGAACACGTCAACAAGAATTTCAAAACCTGCCCTCGAAAATCGAGCCCCTCTATTGACCCGCGATCCTCCAATACGGAGTATCTATTCATCCATACCCAAACTGATTCTTGTCGGCGCACTAACCGCTAGACCAAAAACGATATATCGCGTCTAGTCAGACTAGCGACGGAGAGATTACTGTCCCAACAATTCTCAACGCGACGCTGCACGGTCCGTCCATCACACTCCCAACAAACACGTCCCAGCACATCTGAAGGTAATCATCCCGACTAAGTTGCTTTCCTTTCGCCTGGAACCTTTTGATACGAGCATCTAAAGCCCATACCATCGCTGACGCAGCCGCCATGGCATAATCCCATTCCAAGATTTCGGTCATTCCCCGCTCTATCACCATTATGAGTTTATCACCTACCTCCTCGCCAAATGAAAGACTCGCGCGCGGGATTGCACTGGGAATATAAGACGCAATCACAATAGCAACCGAGGTAATGTGGCATAGGTAAGAACACAGAAAACCAAATCGATACACGAGTTGCGTTCCGCGCCGGGCTGCGATTTTTGGGCCAAACTGGACATTCTGAAATCGACCAATCATGACGTAGTGTATGGACATTGTCACGGGCAAGTAGGATGGCCATCCGTGCCAGAAGTGGATAGCTTGTTGTTTGGTCTCTGGGGATATTATGGTCGGACAGGGAAGAGCCATTATCATGATTGGGAGGATATAGCTGATAGAAATTCCGGGGATTATGCTCTGGGCATATGCTGTGGGGCTTGGGCGACTGCTTCGATGTGACGTGAATGAAAAGCTAGACAGGGGAGTGCCTATCAGAGTGAAGCAGAGAGGTGTAAATACTCCAAAGCCGCAGACTAGGTGTGCGAGCCCGAAGAAAAAGATCCTAGGTGACACATGTTAGCTATTTTCTGTTGTTTGTCCTTGACGTGCTTGCTCTGGTGTTGTGTGCTTGCTTTATCACGCCGCGTGTGAATGAGTGCGTCTGGCATGTCTGTAATACTATGATGCAGAACATGGCTACGAAGCCCCCACTAATGCTGAAAGCGAGCAAAGACACTGTCATGGTATTTGCTTGGCAAATAGGCCACATGGTCATGATAGCTATCCCAAAGAACCTGTTCAGAAGGTCTATCCCCGTGTTTGTGGATACAAGAGGACTTCTTGGATACCCCGGTTACGTGACCAACTGCAACAGCTTCGAGGTAAGGTTCAAACAGGTCGTTTAGAAGGCAGAAATAGATTTTGTATACACTTAAGACGAACAAGGCATAGTGGAGTACTCTCGCTGTAGACAGCATATTCGAAGGCGCTGGAGGGATCGGTAAAAAAACACCCAATTATCGGATAATAAAGTGTCATAAAGGTGAGGGAAAGTTGCTCTGTATCAGGACCAAACATATATTGCCAGCTGGAGTGGGCCGGATACTATCCTCCATGACAATAGGAGGAGTAGAGTGCCGAAAGCATTGGCACACTAAGATCTTTTTAACTATCCCAGTAAACTTCGCAAGTGATTGCGGACAGGCAACAAGGTAGGTTCCTTTCGCAATGCACTTGCATGAGGCTAATGGTCTTCATATACATATGGTTTCTGGGCTATGCAGACCGCGTTCTGATAGTTTATGTTCTTAGAACCACCAATGATTTTGAAGTCTTATGTATGGTAGGGCACCTGCCTGTATATAGACGCCAGCTTTCAAGGATGTATGTAGTTCAATTTGTCTCGGTCAACTGCAGAATATCTTGATGTCCAGCCTGATCGCCACAAAAATTTCACGACAGAAAGCTCAGAATATCGTAGATCCCCTTTGACTGTCCCGCCTCATTTTCCAACTTCTTAACCATTTGATCCGCCTCTTCCAATAAGGAAGCGAGCCGTTCCCGGCAGTAGTCAAAACTCCCCGTCGAGTCGATATACTCAACAGCATACTTCTTCACCGAATCGTCCTCGCTCCGCTGCCGTAGTATATTCAGCAGATGGTGATTGTTCGGGTTACTGTTAATACTGTGGATAATCAGAAAGGAAAATTTGCCCTCCGTCAAATCCTCGCAAAATCCCTTGTTCTTGGTGTATAGTCCACTCTGTAAGTTTTGGTAATCATCCCGAATCTGAAAGATCACGCCCAGCAAGTCTGCTAGTTCGATGACATTGCTGCAAAAAGTCAGTCTGCAGTGTAACAAGAAGAGCTACAAGAGCTGTGATGGGTATATGTTTGTAATACGTGCCTTTTCGTTTCGCTTTCCAACTGCATAAGCTTAATCGCCAGTCGAAATAGGCCACCAGTCTTGTTGGCGATCATCTCAATATAGTCCTCCTCTGTGGGACAGGTTAGGCAGTCCCGCCAGTACAAGTCCATACCTTGACCGCGGTGCAGACGAAGCAGTTCCTCTGTGTATATTTCGTACGCTTCAGGATGATTCAGTTCGCGGAGCCTTTCCTGGGCTAGAAAGTACGCATAATTGGCAGAGTTGATTGTCTGCGCAATACCAAAAATGCTATGGGCCACTGGGAGGCCGCGTCGAAGCTTGGAATTGTCCTGAATGTCGTCGATTCTATTAAGGGGTCAGTGGGCTCTCAAGATACTGTTATCTTGGTTTAGGTGGAAGCTGAAGAGAACATACAGAAGGGAGGCCGTGTGAAGCAATCCAACAATTTCCGTGATAATATTCAACTTGTCCTCAGGAATGCGCAGCCATTCATTGAACGCGTGAATGAATTTCCGACGAATGTCTTTTCCAGGGGATTTGAGAAGATAATCAAGTGGCCCTCGAACAATCTGTTTCTGTGTATCAGACAGTGTTTTTTTCAAGAGCAGGAAACATCGGACCGACTTTCTCCTTATCCAAATAGCTTGCTTCCGACTGTTGGGAACTGGCAGCTTCGGCATCTACGTTGGTGGGCGATGAGGGTGCTGAGGCAGGAAATAACCCCGGTGTAACAAATGGAAAGTAAGGGGTACTCATCTTCCAGACATCAGGCGTAGCTGGGTTAAACATTGGGAATCCCAGCATATTTGCGCTTCTTAGAGGTCAAAGGCGCTAAATAGCTCAGGTCTTTATGAAGAAGAAGTTACCAGAAAGCTAAATACGAGCTCCCGAAAAACAGGCACTACTACTTCTATGTACTAACATTTAAGAGCACAAGTTTGTTGTGAGCCTCATGTGATACGGTTGTATGTCCTTTTGCTACGTGTTTTGCTGTCACCGCACGGCCCGGCATGGCTTTGCTGGTCCATAGTCATCAGCGAATTAGCAACTTAAAAAGCACGTCTAGTCAGCAAAACATCGCAAAGGACACCTCTTCATATGACGGGTTATCCAAAGAGCAGTAGGTACCATATCAGCTTTGCGAAAGCTAGTGGCAAACTGCTTCGCGTCCTTATGTCCCTCTTAGGTGGTTAACAGTATGTTTGCCAGTTCAAAACACGACCAGGTCGCTTGGGTGGTCGGAGAAAGTAAAAATTGTTTTGATAAGATTACTCCGTTCAGCTCCCTGACCCGTCTCCTTAGAACACGAAAATGGTCATTATGTCCAGCTACTTAGTGGGATAGCAAAATTTGAAATGGCCATACAGCACAACCTCGCATTGTTGTACATGCCTTATGCTTGTGCGCCAGTGCAAAGCTTATGTGAAGTAGCAATGGGAATTTCATAGAAGAAGAAGCAGGAGTTGGCCTCAAATCAGGAGTAATACAACAAATCCCGCCACTAGGTAACATATGCGTCTATCTGGATATCCGGTTATGCCTTCACACTTTTGACATCCATTTTCTCCTTCCGACCCCATACTTCCAGCCAGTCCTTCACAGAGGCACTCGATTTCTTCAAATCCCACAAACAGGCGCTACGCACGTCCTCTCTCTGGATGACCCGTAAAGCATTACGGATATTATAGGGTGAGCCGTATTCCAAGGCACGCGCTACCAGATAACCCTGAGGAGCGTCCATTGCCACCACTATAGGAAATGAGAGCTCGCCGTTGCGCAGGTCCTCTGCTAGTGCACCTTTTGCTTTCGCATAATCGGTCGAATACACATTCTTGCAATCATTTTGCAGCTGTGAGCACCACCTGTGTAGAAATTTCGTCAGCCAGGTCCCACTATTCGGGTATGTTTGCGCATACGCCACCGTAGTCATGGTAGCATCCATGGACTGATCCTCTAGTACCAGCTGACCAAGCAAGCGAAACAATGCACCTGTCTTCAGCGACGCCATTCTACGATATGCCTCATCCCGTTCCTTTGGAGCCACTGGAAAGCTGGCAAGGCCATCCCTTCGCCAAACAAGGGACATGTCTTGGCCTTCTAGGATCTCCTCCAGACACTGCATTAGAAAGGGTGCAAGACGAGGGAATTCGTGGACGGTTCGATTCAAAAGTTGCGTCACGCGGTAGTAGGCACGGTTCGCAGTCTCTGAAGGACCGTAAATCTTGTGCGCAGCGGGATGACCCTTGCGAAAGTTACTCCCGTCCGATATCTGATAGGGTGATTAGCTCTAAGTCCAGGTTTTTATTGGGGCCACTATACTTACATCATCAACCAAGATTAAGCAGAGGTGAATGCCGTCCATGATCTCGAGGATTATCTGGTACTTCGGCGGGTCATCCAACTTGAGATTGGGCGCCAGCTTGTCGACGAATGGGGCCCAGTGGTGTTTACCATAGATCTGACGGATATAGCTGTAGGGGCATTCTAAAGAAGTGATCCGAGATGGCTGCTTTTTGCCAACAAGCCAGGCCCGCTTTGTTGTTGGGAGTGGGTTCAATATGCGATCCCATAATAGCGCGGTTATCGGAACGGCCAGCAAGGCAAGAAAAACCAGCGAAGTTTGCGGAAGATGGTGCTGGAGGCGCTCCATGGTGATAGCCATATTGGAGGATGGGGAAGGCTCCATATAATTCAATTGACTAGATGGTATACGCTTGGGTATTAGAACTAGAATTATATGGTAGCCACGGGACGTACAGTGTAGATATATGAATGAAGTTATCCCTCGAGTGTAACTTGGCTGTTAGCTCGCTAAAAAGTCAAGAAGGTCCTTGTCTTCTAACAAACAAATCAGCAACTCCGCAGAGGCTAGGTACCCAAAAGACGCCCAATTAACTGGTTACATCGGGCTTATCATGAAAGTTGCTGCGCTTTGGCGGCTGCATTACATGTCCAGATTCACTTAGTGCAAATACAGCTTTTGACTACTGCCCCACTTCTATATGCGTCCTCGATAATTCAGTCCCTAGTGTTAATTATACGCTGCAGAGGCAATTATTAACCCGGGTAGGTTTCTTTGGCTTTATATCTTAGGTGTTTGATCTTAATCCACATCATGGTGATCGCACAATCAAATCACACAATACCAAAGCCATCGCTATCATTTTTTCCGATAGCGGCCCATTACTATGATTATTATGCCACTGTGTCTACCTTGTGCAATATTTACACTCCCCTTGTAGAGCTGAGGAAACTCCTGATGTAATTTTAGAATCCACGGAAGATTCCAAACAAAAGTCTTAACACGTGCCCCAGATGTAATTCCATCAACGTTTTGTGGCAGCTTTCAGGTAGCAACATATTTGTAAGATAGATACTTCAATGCAGCTTTCGTCATACGGCGCCGGCGAACGCCACATCATGAATGGCAGCAAACATGTTAGCCATCCGTATCCATGGCCAGCAGTATGTCGCCAGATTCCCAATCCGACTACGCACATATCCCAGAGCCTTCTGACCAAACGAAAATTTTGGCAGCTAGCACCGAGTAACAACGCTTTCATGAAAGATATGACGAGAGTACCCATCGCATGTGATGTGATCGTGCTTTCTACATCAGACATTGTAAGCCCTATGGAAATTCCACTTTACCTGCCTTAAACGTTTTTGGTGTAACTCGGGCGCTACTTGTAAGTACCACGGCGTACGGCTAGGAAATGCTTGATGAAGCGAGGCAATCTGCCCCCGGGGGAACCAAACTCCGACACTCTATCTTGCTACAAGTTAGTATATGGAGTGCGACAATCATTCCAATCAATCGAAGTAAAAGAAGCCCAACCGGCTCTGCTGATCTGGTTTGTTCTGATCCTGACCAATTCACACTAACATGGTAGGTTGGGCTTGTTAATATGATTAAATGCCCAACCACCGAAATCCGCACGGAAAATTAGGGATCGGATCTCCTCAGAGTTGGGTATCACCATGCACCCAGTGTTTTGTGTAGTTAGACTTATAGCAAATAGAGGTATCACTAGATCCGATATCTATCTCGTTATACTATGTCCTGCAGGTACATCAACCAGTATGCGTTTTGAATCCTAACACGCCTGCTCAGAGATGAGAACGCCAATCGGCCCAGTAAATACTAACTGTAAAACTTACTTTTGTAGCCAGACATCGCTTAGAAGCAATGCTCTTATCAGATTCTGAGTGGAAGCCGCGTGACTTACGAGATGCGATAATATTGGGTCTTCCAATTTACGGTTCTGACCCACTACTATTACGCATCATTATATTTCCCTTGATAATCCATGGACCCAGGCACAATATGTATTCACATCCCCACATCTAAAGCAAGGCAGGTGCACCACATCCCCAGCATCTATATTTTACTCATTATACTATTTGAGTAGTTCAGACATGACCGCTTCTCAATTCACGGTCATAATAGTGGGAGGGGGGATTGCCGGTCTCACGCTAGCTCATTGCCTCCGACGAGTGAACATTAACCACATCGTACTCGAGAAACGCAGCGACATATGCCCGCAGGAGGGTGCGTCAATCGGGATACTTCCCAACGGGGGTAGAATATTGAGTCAATTGTCTCTGTTCGAACATATTGAGCCCCTTATCGAACCCCTTTTTCGAACACACATCACCTTTCCTGATGGATTCTCGTTCTCGAGTACATTTCCGAAACTTCTCCATGATCAGTATGGCCCATTCCTCTTCCTTCTTCTTGAGATAGATAAGATTATCATGATCTAATCTGGTCGTTGATTGTAGATTCGGTTACCCTATTGCGTTCTTTGATCGCCAAAAGCTCCTCGAGATCATGCACACTCAGTACCCGGATCAATCTAAGATTCTCACAAATCAACGAGTTACCAAAATTCGGCCAGTAGGAAGCCGTGTCAACGTGATAACCGAAGCTGGCGTAACGTACACGGGTGACTTAGTGGTAGGCGCTGATGGCGTCCATAGCAAGGTGCGCTCGGAGATGTGGAGGATAGCAGATACGGTCCGGCCTGGGTTAGTTACCGAGCGTGAGAAGAGTAGTAGGTATCATTGGCCATAACCGTATAGGTCTTCGCTCATTCATTCCTAAGGTATGACAACCGAATACTGCTGTATATTTGGCATATCATCCTGTGTACCAGGTCTGGAGGTCGCAGATCAAATCAATGCGTTCCATGACAACCTCACCTTCATTATTCTCGTTGGGAAGAATAAGCGTGCTTTCTGGTTCGTCATGAAAAAGATGAAACAAAAATACACCTATCCCAACAACCCCCGCTTCAGTGTGGAGTACACAACGCGAGCATGTGAGGAACTGGCTCATCTCCATCTGACGCAAGGTCTTACCTTCCGTCAGGTGTGGGACACCCGAGTGCTCGCTACTATGACGCCGTTAGAGGAAAACGTCTTTCAAACCTGGTACCTTGACCGCATCGTTTGTATCGGCGATAGTGTTCATAAGGTATGTATGCACGTGGTACTCTTTACAGACTTCGATACTTGTGCTTATATCTTCATGGCAGATGACACCCAACATTGGACAAGGCGCCAATATGGCGATGGAAGATGCAGCAGTCCTAGCAAATTCTCTTCATGCAGCTCTACTCCAGACGAGACGACAGAGGCTCTCGGATTCGGAAGTGCAGGTACTCCTTCAAGAGTTTTACTCCAATCGCTATAGCCGTGCTAAGAGCATCTATACCACTTCACGATATATCACCCGCTTCCAAGCACGAGATGGGCTTGTCAATAGGGCGCTTGGGAGATATGTCGCCCCTTTTCTGGCGGATGTTCCGGCGCGGGTAGGAACCTCGACTATTCGGGGAAGTCCAGCAATCAATTTTCTGCCGTTGCCGGAAAAAGACGGGCCTGGATGGAAGACGAACAAGTCCGGTTCAGGGTTCCACTACGCCATGTTGTTCACTCTCTTGCTTACCGTTGCTATTTACTGGTTCTGGGGTGTATGATTACTGTATCTGTTTTTTTTTTTTTTTTTTTTTTTTTTTTTTTTTTTTTTTTGCTTGGCCATCGAGCGAGGTGTCTATTCATAGACATTCACATCTTGGAATGTATGTCCTAGTCTATGCATTTACTTTTACTATAAATTCATGAAACAAGACGTTTGATAATGTACGTCTACCTCGATGGTTGCAATTTATATTATCCAGTAATCATTCTAAATAAAATAAATTACAATAGACTCTCGAAGCGACATACAGCTATATGTTTACCCACAACTACATCAGTGTAGTCCAAAGCATCGCCATTGCCGTTCCGATCACCGGTAGCAACGACCACCGAATGCCTGCAGAAGCACCCCCGGTATATAGCGCACTAACTGCGCTTGCGCTTCTTGTCCTAGTAGCCACGGCCGTGCTCATGTCAGCTTGGTGACTGCTCTGGGGCCACACATATGCTGAAGAGGCGGGAGCAGTCTGGTTCCATCCTGACCCTGACCCTAAGTAAGGGGTGTACGAATACGGGGAGGCAGACACAGTGGGCTGAGCAAAATTGGAAGTCTGGGCCATTGTGATGGTAGTGCCGTATTCGGTACAGGTTCCGTCATTGGAGCATGATTCGACAGTAATTGTAGTGGTGTAGACTGCGTCTGTGTCTGCACCTGAACTGGCATTGGACACTGCGTTGGAATCTGCGGCAGAGTCCACCTCTGATTCCGCACCCGCGTCTGCACTTGAGACTGCACTTGAGCCTGTGCTTGAGTCTGCAGCTGAGTCCACATCTGATTCTACAGCCGATTCCGTAGCTGAGCCTTCACTTGATTCTGTACCCTGAGAGGTAGTCTCTCCAGCATACGTGGGCTGCGTTCCAGATGACACAGAATTAGGGGAGCTACCGGCTGAGTTGCTAGCTTGGTGGCTTGTAACAGAAGTCGTAGAAACAGTCACAGCATCAACTCCTTCGGCCGGAACGGATGCGTGATCTGGATATACGGTGTAGACGGTCGTTGCTACAACGAAGGTCTGCGACGTGACGTAACCGCCTCCGAGTGGAGAGCCACTGCAGTTATCTCCAGTGCAGCCCGCGACTGTTGCAATGCGGGTGCTCAATATGGTAGAAGTGGTGAGCGATGGTCCGACCTCGGATACTCCTGTGGCGGAAGGCAGAGAACCGTTCGCCTTGGTGCTTGTGATCTTGGGGACTGAGTACACAGTTGAGCCGACAACCAGCGTCTCCGTGCTCGCATACGTTGTCTTTGATCTCAAGGGACAATTCGTCACAGAAGAAGGACATGCAGTCACGGTAATGATACGAGTGCTCAAGATCGTCGAAGTGGTAATGTCAGAATCACCCATGCTACCCCCGCTCTTACCATCAGCCACGGTAGCCGAAGGAGGATGTGCGGTCTCGGTAATCATGGCGCCACTGCTACCAGTGCTGTCAGCTACGGGGCACACAGTGGTAGAGACTACCAAGGTCTCGGTAGTCACATAGGTTGTTTTCGACCTGAGCGGGCAGTTCGTTACCGAGGAAGGGCACGCAGTTACCGTAGCAGCGCGAGTGCTGAAAACCGTGGAGGTTGTGAAGTCCAATCCACCACTACCATGACCCTTGTTGGCAGCACTGTCCGTTACTGTCGGCGAGACAGAATCTGTCCGAGTCATCCCAGCGGCCTCGGTGACTGGGCATATTGTGGTAGACACCACAATGGTCTCCGTGGTCACAGAGATGGTTCTGGAGCGCGCAGGACAGTCCGGGAGTGTGGATGGGCATGCAGTAATTGTGGCCGTACGAGTAGAGAGAACTGCCGATGTGGTCCACTGCAGCATGGAAGAATTGGTGACAGGTGCAGCCGACAAGGACGTGGAAAGACTCATCTGGGGAAGTCTGGTCCAAACAGTAGTTGGCGCAGGGACTGCGCTGGATGTGCTCTGAGAGTATATGGAAACAGGGAGTGAAGAGCTCGTGATAGCTCCGGAATACGCCGAGCACTGGCTTCGCTGGGGCAAAGGCCGGGATACATAGCTCCAATGCGGGTGGGAAGCCGCCGAGCGACTTGGTACCGGCCTTGAACTGGGAGTTGGCGACTCCCTCACTGACGGAGCAGAGGGTGAGGGGACTGGACTCGACGAGGGCACCACGATGATTGATGGGGTGGGTGTTGCTGCCTTCGAAGAAGGAACAGAAGATGAAGAACTCTGTGTGCAAGGCCTGCGGCTGGGCAAGGACCTTGAGCTATAGGACCAGTGATGCTGCCTATGTGTGATAGCAGATGAAGTAGTGGTAGAAGTCACAGCTGCTGGCTCAACAGCCACTGTCATGGCGACGCTCGCTTGCAGCAATAACGAGGCGAGGATCCATCCTCGCACCAGCAGGTGACCCATCATGACAGCGATTGACTCAGTTCAGCAGTACTGAACGAGGAGAATTTAAACGAAAGTAGGATTAAGAAAATCGGTATTATTCAGGTATCATGAGACATAAATGAATGACTTGCGGTTGGAATCCGAGAATTGACTGTCAAAAGAGAGTGTGAGAAACCGAGCCCTGATCCTCTCTTGCAAGAGGCGGGTCACTGTATATAGATCACCTCAAGATACTATTTCGGTCGGACAATTGACAAAGAGACTACAAATAGGGAATACACACCCGACGGAGCTAAAACCTGGTTCCTGTCTCAGCCTTCGTATTCAGCTGCACTATTGACGCCCACTGGATCGTGGGTCTGTCAACGGCGGCGAAAATAGCCGACCCCAATTCCCACCCAGATTCAAGGACGGAGTACTTATTGCGAGGCACTCCGAACCTACCAGAGGTTCTGAGTGACTGCCATACACTTAAAGCTTATATTCTATCAACCCGTGAAAATGCCAATCCACGGATTTGTCGTCGCCGCGGGCTTTCTGCTCGGTCAGGTCGCAGCTATCACCCCCGCGGCCAGCTCCCCGGTGGCAAGCAGTCAGGCCTATGTGCCCTCGGTTTCGTGCCGTACGCAGCTGGGAACAAGCTCGTTGGCACTAGTTCCTACCACTATCATTACTCGCACTATTCATGACCCGACACCGGTTGTTGTCCTTTCGACGACGCAAGACACCGTCACTGTGACCCCTGACGCCTCCACTGTGACCGTCACAGACTATGAGACAACTACAGCCGTTTCAACGGCTGACACGGTCACTGATATTTTCTCGACGACCTCGACTGAGTATGACACTGCAACAGTGACTATCACTCCCGCTGCTGTCACTGCCATTGTACCTATCACCGTCTCGACCACGAGCACCAGCACGTCCACAGTAACTAGCTCTTCGGGCTTCTCTCCGATTGCGGAGACACTGCCTACAGCTACTGCTGCCAAGCGCTCCTTGATCGAGCAGGACGATTGTTCTTCTTGGTTGGACGACTATGAGTACCCTCAAGAGGTCGAGTGCCACCAGAAGATCATTGTCAAGACCACAAGTGTCTCCACGGTCACCGAACCCCCCGCGACTGCTACCGCAGTCACTCCTATCTCCACCGTTACTGTGACCAACACCATCACCAGTACTTCGATTGTGGTTCCTTCCGATGTTTCGACTACACTCAGCTACAGTACTACTTCTACAATCACCGAAACCACATCCGCAGCTGCCGAAACAACCACCGTGTTCTCAACTACCACCGCAGTGGCCGCAGTGGCCACTGCCACCTTTTACGAGGCGTGCGGGTCTAGCAACATCGCTGGCGACCCTCTCTCCTCAGAATTCGGCTCTTTCGCGGGTCAATACATGTACCTGATCGCCTTCACCAACGTCCCCGGTGAAAGCTTGACTGTTGGCGACACCAGTTCTGCATATGATTGCTGTGTCAGCTGCATGGAGAGCTCCACCTGCGCCATGTCCTACTACAACGCCGTTTCTTCCTCCATCAAATACTGCTATCTCATTCATACAACAACCTGCTCGCAGTCTTCTGTTTACGCCAGGGCGTCTACTCATGACACTTCAGCTACCATCCAGATGTCTAACGGAAATTGTGGTCGTGTTGTGGGCGTACAGGGATAAGGTTGTAGCAAATGTAGAAGGAATTGTACCATAAATAATAACTCGTCAGATTCTACCGCTTTCAAAATCCAGTTCTCTGTTGGAATACTCTCTTGATTGTCCTCAGTAGAAATTAGTCTTTATTCTTTCACCAGGTTGTGTAGACAGCTGACCCAACCCCTCTCTACGTCTCGAGTCAGTACCTCCCCACACATTATCCACACTAGTTGAAAATCTCGACCACATAACGCCGCTTTGCCACTCGTATCGCGGAAATTAAAGCGACATTAGCGTGTAGCCATCAAGGAAACTCACGAACCCGATCGGCACATTTTACCTTGGTAGCCATCGTGATCAGGTACCCGGTGGGTCTGATTGGCCGGGGGATTTTTAGCACCGTAAGGGATGGTCCAGACTGGAAGCTATTGCGCCACTGAGCCCTTTGGCATAGGAACAGCTCGGATATCTCCGAGTGCTAAGTTCGATGCCAAGCTGATGTCGTAGTTTTGTTCTATTGGCGGATATATATGCCAATGGTAAGTTGGGGACTCCAAACTTTGTGCTCGCAAAGTGTTGTTTGGACGATGAGAGCGGATGAATCCAAAGCTAAGATAGCCGATTCTGCTATTATTCTCTCGCCGAGTTATGAAGGTCGTGGACTTTCCCTGCTTCGAACCGCTAAACAGATAATAAAGTGCCTATGATAATGGGGGTTGCTGGGTAGGTATAAATGTCATCGTCTAGGTATAATACGCCATGCGCCTAGGCCTCTCAGGCTGGTAGCGGCCTACTCATGTCAGTCAGGCATGTACGTGTCGTTGAGTCATACTGTAAGTAGTCGCTCCGTCAATAGCCATGTGACTATCAGAAGAGATCCGTTGTGTTCAATTGGCCATGTCGTCTAAAATGCCATGGTATGAGTGGTTGCTGATTGGATAGATAAGGTAGCGCGATTTAAGGCCGCCCTAATCAACGACTGTTGAACGTCAATTAGCCGCTGCGTGCATAGCCCCTTCCACTGTCGCTTAGGCTGCAAAATTCGTGCAGAGTCCAGGTCCTGGCATCTATAAGGCTATTCTGTGAGTCACACAATGATTCTTCCAGCTTATTTCCCATTTTGCAACTCATGTATGACGCAATACATTTAACCCAGTGTCAACCGCCTATGGCAGGGAAGTCCTTACTTGGGATTTGATTTCCAATTCAAACACTGAACTTATCTTTTTGTGGAGATTGAATGGCGAAAACATCAATGATGAATGTTGTCTTCATTCCTATGTTATGAGTACTACATAATATTCCTTGCAGAGTGCAATTGTCGTACTAATGATCAGCAGTTCTTGGGGCTCTAAAGCCCTCGGTCAGCCATAAACAAGGGTCTCGCTTGCTAATTGTGGTCTATGTGTTAAGCCACATCATGCATTAGATCAACAGCGAGCCTCTCCTGAGTCACAACTAGGCTATAGCCTGCCGGCTAAGGTGTCTATGCCGTCATCCAAATTACAGATACCCAGTGTCTAGTCTGTTAACGTTATCCGAAACGCATGATCAAAATGCTGCTTTAGTCTTCTTCCTGTGAGGCTGCACATCAGTTGCCTTCGCATCATTGGCTGATACTACTCAATCACTCCACTTGAGGGCAATCTAGAACGCAAGAAAGGACATATTTGCTCTTATATGTCTTCTCCATCACATGCTTGTCTACCGGAATGTCGCTGCCTTTGGCAGCCAATATTGTTGCCTTGTAGCATATATACCTCACTTCAATATATCAGCCACATTTAAAATATAAAAGCCACCTCGTCGCGAGCAATTGTCTTCTCCATTCAGCATCGCTTCATCACAACGGTTCCACACAGATTCTACAGTCTCACTTTCCATCTCCTACAAAGAAGAATTTGATTTCAAATATCTACCTTCGGAATACATATAAGTTGCTTCATCTCGCGCAATTGTTTTTTTTTTCCTATCCAGCATTGCTTCATCCAACGCTCTCAATTCTTCTATGATCCCACTCCCCAGCTAGTACAAAGAGCAATATGAATTTGAAGTCGTCATTCAAACCACATTATCCAATCACCATGTCCCCCACAAATCGAGTGCCGTCTATGCGCATGAACCCTTCTGGAGCGCGCAATATTCCCACATTCATCGACGAACTTGCTAAAGATGAGGCGAAAAACCAACCTAAGGGCGACTCGGAGAGTACCTTTTCCGACGCTTCGACACTTCAAGGCAACGAGCAATCTTCGAAACTGAAACGCGGGCTTTTCAGTAAGATTCGTTCTTTTTCGCCATCCGGAAAACAAGATGCCGTCAAAAAGTAGATGAAGGGGGTGGTTTTTATTGGATACCGGAATCTGATTTGAGTCCTTTGAGAGGGCGGCTGCGGTTTCTCTGTGTCCTTTGCATAACGTGTGGTCTATTTTCATATTGTTCAGCCTATTGTCAGAGATGCGGTGTACGGTGTCTGGCAATTTTGTGTCTGTGCTAGTTGACATCCTTGGGCAGTGGGCGCATCATTTGGATGGGTGGTTGCTCAGTGGTTATTCGGAAAAGCACATTTTCATCATTTTATTCTAGTAAAATCCCAACTTTGAAAACCCAAGTCTCAAAACCACGGTCCTCTCCGTATGTTCCCTATTCTCACTCTTGCAAATTGACCGCTTTATCAATGGCGTCACTGTGCTCGAATGGCGCCTCGTATCAATACTCACTAAATTCCTCCGCTGCTGCTAAAAGCCTCCGAGCCTAGCTTTTATCTTGGTTGGAAGTGAACGACTTGCCATTCACCGCGATCCGAATAGTGCTTTCACATCCTTGAGAGCAATTCCTATCAGTCGCTCAGGTAGTTCTGCATGAGTAGCTGATTAGGTGAACTAGGAGGGGCAGGAATGACGCATGATGTGGTTCCATCTGAGAAGGGTTCAGTATACGCTGTATGGAGACAGCTTATGCTATTGGTGTGTTTTATGCAAGGGTGGGCTTGCGGGGTCATAATACTTGGTACTCTGTTTTCAAAGACCACGGAAGTCGTGGTGCACTGACCCCTTGGTTCTTGGACTCGCAAGGCTGCGTTGTAGGCGGCATTAACATGGGTGTAGAGGAAACCGGATAATACTTATCAGGATTGACAAGCAGTCCTGCTCATATACCAACAACGATTTCAGCTCTGCTGACCCAATTCGACTATCTTGCGAGTATTGAAGGACATCTGGAATGTTTGCTAAACTGTGAAAGCCTATCTGATGCAATTGGGAGATTACGGTTGTCATTAGAGAGTACTGACTCTGGCCGCCAATAGCTGGTGCACGGTCGTTTCACTGTGTCGTTGATCTAGGATTTGATTGGGTTACAATCCATGCTCCAAGGCAGACTATTCGGGTGGGGGTGCTGCTAGGCACAACATCAATTCAGCCTTTGCGGGACCGATGGGGTAACCCGCGAGGCTGAGACGCTTAACTTGCGGGAGTACGGACGGTCGACCTCAGAACAATTGAAGATGAATCTCATACCTTTTCCACGACATAGGGTCATGGTTTTGTAACTATACTGTAAAGAGGTAGGTGTTTGCATTTCGAGGAGTTGAAAGACAAGTTCACTCTGCATTCCTTGTAAGAAAACTGGTCCAATTGTACTATGAAAGGGTTAAAGATACCCAATGCAAGCTAATCAACGAATGCAAGGCTGGTTGGCGCAGCACATGCAGCACATCACATGGTAACCCCTCTCCTCAGCCCCCGGGGAGGAGTTATAAGGGCCATCCTCCTCGCATTTGTTTTCTGTTCCCCACCCATCCCTTACGAACTTGGCTACCGTTACAATCCTTTCTCGGCCATCCAAGATCAGTTCTAAAACTCACTCAAATCCGTCCTCAACTCCAGCAAGTCACTCAACTCCGGCACCATGCCTTCTCTCGCGGACAAAGTCCAAACCGCCCAACTCACGCTTGGGTACACCTTCGATAACCCGACTATTGGAATGGGGGCGCTAGTCACCCCTGGGGTTGCCCTGCCCGGGCTGCCAACCCGCATGGATGGCCACAAGGAGCTTGCCCATGTTGGAGATGCCGTTCTCAAGTTGGCACTTACTTTGGATGGATACGAAGCCAAAAGAAGCAGAGGTAAGCCTCTTCTCTCCTCTTCGCCCAGAAAAGTATGCTCATCCTTTACATCAGAATATACGAGCAACATTCTGCAAACCAGAGCCAGCAACGTCAACCTTGCACTGGTTGGGCGTAGAATGGGTCTCGACAAACTGGTCATTGTCAATCCATCCCAGGCAGGCATGGTGTCGGACAAAGTGATGGCCAACACCGTCGAGGCTCTCATCGGAGCTGTCTATATGGATAGTAACTCGATTGACGCTGTGCGGCCTGTCTTGGCTGCTATGGGCCTTGACGTTCCCGCTTGAGCTCCATGACTTCGCATGAACTACCTATGCAAAGTGAAGTGATCTGGAAGCTAGTTACTTACTAGTGGGTCGTACAGAGGCCCTTCTGCATCAGTACCAGACCCCTGCAATGATTAGCTCCCCCCCCCCCCCCCAACCACCACTACGGGATAGCGAAACTTGAGCCACGCTTGCTATTTTTCGCTGATCCTGTTGTGGTGGAGGGGGAGCTGATCATAGACGGACTCCGATGACGAGTAGTTGGGGCTTTGTACGACCAACTGGCTGGGAACGGCCTCGGGGCCACGAGACATTGTCTTATGTGGTTCGACATGAACAGACTTGGAATTATAGTCCAAGCTTCTCCGAAAGATGGGGAAGGGAATGGTGGAAGGTTTCGATACGATTGTCTTTTTGTGATTGTTTGATGAGACGGCTGTGCTCCCAAATTCGTCATTCGTTGTGCAGTAGCAGTCTCAATATGATAAGCTCTTGGTGGAACTACACCGGGATCATTTTGTCCAGCTGGTAGAATTGTGTAGACTTGTACCTCCTGCTTCTAGAATTTCCGGTGGCCTGGGTAGTTGCAGCCTTCTTATCTCTGCGGGGCGGGAAGACAGCAGGAAAAATAAAAAGAGACAAAAAGATGGTCCCAGAGGGGCTCGAACCCTCGACTTTGACGTTATTAGCGTCACGCTCTAACCAACTGAGCTATGGGACCCGGCTGTTCAAGAAGGCCTGTTAAATTAGCTAAATAAACCAATTATCGTTTTAGCAGAAAAATCTTGCTTTGGTTCACTCATCGACCACAACCCTCATGGTGAGGAACAGGCAGAGTTACACTTATATCCTATTGGAGCCATAAGTATTTATCAACCCATTCCGCTCTTGAGCGGTAGTATGATACATATTCTGTTCAGGTCACATAGTTCCTACTACTAAGAAAATGTTTCACGATTGGTTTCGAGGTTAGTGTGTGTGGTACTAATATATATTGTATCTTCCCCTGCACTGCAAAATGGAATTTCAAATCAAGGTAGCACGACTTCTGTGTGGATCTAAATATTCTAACAAGTAGTGTAAGGGGCAGTTCATGAATCCCCATAATACTATCAAGGTAATAAATACTCACTCCGATTGACCATATGAAAATATTTCCACCGAGAAGTGCTCAGTGTAGCCATGAATCAATCCTGTGGCACAGCGGCAGCGATCCGAGCCTTCCGAGCATCGCCTGCAGCGAGTCTCACCGCCGGCCGATCCTCGATCAGCAACTGTTCTTTCCTCGCATCCAAACAGGATCTTTAGTTAGAACGTTGGTTGCTCCACTCCACCGCGATCGGATCAGCGTCCCCCAATCCCCCGGTTTCAATGTGAGACATCCCGATGATCGAAATCACAGAAGGGTATATAGACTATTGACAGCCACAATTTCTTGTCTATTCTTACACCTACTTACATGTGCCACTACTTTCATACACACAATAATGATACGATAACTTATATAGTGAATCGGTAAAACTATGTATATTTCCACGAATCCACCATGATCCGATGTATATATACAACAGTATCAACAAAGATGGAAACAAAACAGACAAGAAGGTCAAGAGGTATCTACATCCACATCGACATCCAACAACCGAAGAGAAAGAACATCACGTCTAGCTATAATCCACCTCAACCGTCAAGCGCACCGCACCCGACGACAAAGTACCACCAATGCCATCCACCGACGCCTCGGAGGAAGTGTACGCATTCACCACCGTCTCGGCGTCAGTAGTGATATACGAGCACTGCTTATCAGAGTACTGGCAAATACGCATACCCTGGACCGTCTGATCGGCATTCTGAGCCTGAATTGCAGACACATCCCAACCAGACCAGCCGCTGTTATCGGTATCTCCGAAGTCGAACTCGCCCCAGGTGCAGGAGTAACCGCCATAGGCATCAGTAGGGAGACTGTCGCCCTCCGCGGCACCCCATCCACCCTGGCTGTTCTCGTCGAAGGCAACGTACTTGGTCTCGCCCGCGCCGAGAGTGAAGTTCAACGCCGAGTGTCCGTACCATCCGTCCATCTTTCCATCCGGTCCGATCTTGTTCCAGAAGCTGACGAACCAGTCCTTGGTGTTGCTGCCTTCCATGCGGATGACGTACTTGTATTGCCAGGCCTCGCTGGCGCTGACTTCCTGGATGTTGCTGCCCCAGGGGTTGCCCACGTTGCCGCTGTAGGTGACGCCGCTGCTGCTGCTGTTGGTGCGCTCGCCGAATCCGGCAGTCGAGAAGACGCCGTTGGTGGGGGTCGCGGTCCAGGCCTCGCTGGCGGAGCTGCCGGTGCTGGTGGCGGCGGCGGTGGTGCTAGCAGCTGTCTGGGATGCGGCGGTGTGGGTCTTGGTGTTGGTGTAAGTGCTGGTGTGGGTGGTAGTGCTGGTTTGGTCGTCGCCCAAGCCCAGGCCCAGGGAGAGAGAGAGTCCCAGGCTGGCGCTGATGGCGAGGTCCTCGTCCAAGTCGACTTCCACGAAGGCTCCGGCGGTGGCGGCGTCGGTGGTGGTGGTGGTGGCTGCTGCCTCAGTAATGGTGCTGCTGGTAGTAGCGGCCTCGGCAGCTTCAGTGGGCTGGCCGTAGACGGTGGTGGTGAGGGTGACGTGCTCGATGTTGACGACGGTGTGCACCTCGACTTCGACGTCACGGGCGGCCACATGAGCCTCCTGGGCGTGGCCGTGACCGTGTTGACGGCGCTGGTGGCCGTGGGTGCGAGCCAGGGCCGATTCGGCGATGGCGGCACACAGAAGGAGTGACTTCCACTGCATGGTGGAGAAATGTTATGGTTCAGACCAGTGAGTCAATCAGTGAAATCTGTATCCGCTGGATAAGGGGGAGAAGAGTGGTCGTCCCCGGAATGAAGGAGTTGGATGGGTATTTAGAGTGTCTTTCTAACACCGCTATAACCAGGGTCCAAAAAGGAGTGACTGAATATTGCAAAGCAACAGCAATAAGGAAGGTGCTATGAAGGGTATAAAAACGGGGAGGGGCTGCAATAGAGCCGGGGCGACTTGGGTAGGTATATAGACGGACTGCGCCCTAACCGGCCCCCCGTTCTAGGCTGACTGTCTTTTCTCTCTCTGGGGAGATGGTGGGTTTGATGGAGGCCTCGATCAAGAGGAAGTGGAGACAGGCAGCGCAAAAGGAATCGTCAGCATTGGGCCAAGGCAGGCGCCGCCATGGTGGGAAAATTGACGAGTGTACTGGACTAGTGCCAGCACCTGTGCGCGTGGACTGGGCCAACTAAAAGAGAGAGAAGCCGAAGGTCAATAGCCCCGTTTAGGGCAGTGAAACGGAGGGCGGCGATGGTCTGAAACGCAAGACAGCCATGGCGAGCGAACGAGGATGCGTCGAATGCGGCGCGATGGACACTCCGTTGGCGGATGGGGCTTTTTGTAGATTCCGCCAGCCAATGTTGTTATTGTTTTTTTTACCTATTTTTTCTTATTTTGTTGATGGGGGTGCTCCACCATCCAGGTACGGCTCTGGCATGCCATCCCATCCTATCCATCCCCTCCATCCCATTCATCCAATCCTCTGTTTCTGCTCCCCACGTAATCCGGCCCCCTTGCGTCGTCAACCCGTGGTGCAGCAAGAAACTGCAGCGGACGGGCAGCAAGACTGGAAGACTGGACCGTCAGCTGGGAGGGCGCCATGTGGTCTGGTGGGTGGTTGCTCGGACGAATGGTAGCATTCCGGTACCTGTTTGTTGTATTTGGGGAAGTTTAATCCTGAACGCCACGATAGTGGTTCTAGGCTGTGGGTCAAAAGCATATACTGTGTACTACGGAAATACTGCTGGACACCAATTGTTAGATCACAAATGTGACAAGCACAATGGGAGTGCAGAAAAAAGAGAAGAAATTGCCTCCAAAATTTGATTGATAGAGAGGTAGAGAGTGTGTGACTGGATGCCGGGATCCGAGCAACATAGACTTTAGTCTAGGCAGAGAAATAAAACCGCCTGGGAGTGGAGAGATGAAGACGCAAGAATTGGCGCCGGGCGGAGTTAAGCATCGACTAGCGTTGGCTTAGTAGCGCAACTCCTTTCTCTCTCTGTCCAGAAGATTGATCGATCCCTCCCCTCCACGTGTATTATCTCTAGTCTTTGATGGTCCGACCGAGAGAGTGCCGATCGAGAGGATGAACACACAATCCACCTCAGGCAGCATTTTAACACCAACCGTAGAGAGGAAACATGATCGTCAGAATTTATTGACACCATAAAACAGCCATCTCTCCTCAAGAAGAAAACAAAAACCACAACTTCGCAGCAATAGACGCCACTGGCTGGCGCCTCACCGTCGGAGTGGGGCATCACTTACGTATGCCCTCGGCCACCACCACCAGAAAAAGCTAACAACTCAACGGCAAAAAAAGAAAAAAAGTTGGTAATAGTCCATCCAGCCCTCTTTCCCTCGAATCAGTTTCTTTGGCATCATCCCATCGTAGCTGACGACTTCCCACGGTTCGTTTGATTTACCTTATTTCTTGCCGTGGCTTGGCCCATGGATGAACTTCCGTCGTGGATAACGGAACGGACATCTCCCGCTCAGGAACAGGAAGCCTACGTATGGTTGTTAAATAGTTTGCTTGGCGGTAGTGCTTGCATACGCAAGTCAACACGGATGGACGCTGGTCGTAGGACTGTTTAGGGCTAGTTAAGGGCTAGTCGAGGGCGAGGCTTTTGGGGAAAGGATTGTGTTGTGTGTAGAGAGCATTACTCAGCGGCATTCTCGGCGCGGAACTAATCACAAACTAACCCTGTTTAGTTTATTCAGTTTGGTGTTTTTACCGAGGAAGAGTCATGCTTAGCCCTTTCACACTTCTAGATCACGCTCCATTCTATCCATTCACTTCTCCATAGATAACCCTGTATCCACTATTCTGATCAAGATGATTGAGTGATAATTATGTTACTATCTATTGGCGCTACACACACTAACTGTGTACCGCACAATATAAACACCGTGATATGTGGATGTGGGTGTGGCTCATTTGCCACATACCACGGATCCGACCTGTCCACGGAACCAGACAACACTGTCGGATCTTCCTAAAAGTGTCATCCGGATAACTATTTGCCTTCCACCTGGAAGCATAGACGGTGGAGTACGGAATTGATCTTTAATTTCCCATCTGCAGTTCAGTGTTTCTTGATTGGTTCACGACTCGCAACATAACACCAACACACGCTTGCATGTAAGATAGCGGCTCGCTCCGAGGTGGGATTTCTAGGCTATCTACCGATTCGGTACATTGAGTGGACATGTCATTTCATCTGCCGAGTCGATTCCTCTCACTGTAGGAAGTCTGCTTTCAATCTTTTGGGGGCTATACCGTATTGTGTTAATGGCGAGTTATACAGAGTTCTTCTGTTGAGTGTTGAATGTTGCTATCGGAGGGATTTGGTGCTAGCATACGGAGTTGAACAGTGGCAAAGCCTGGCGTTGGTTGTTTGGACGGCGATTCCTCCCTGGGCTTCGGTAGGGGCTTCAGGAATGGGCGACGGTGTGGTGGGTGTAGTTGGGAACGGAATTCTGATTGGCTAATTGTTCTTCGATGTTTGCTGGCATGCAGGTACCAACAATCTGCAAAAAGAGCTACAACTTTCAAGCCCTAAAACCACGCCACATGCATAAGGTTCATGGACTCATCATCCGGACATCTACACCGGTAGTCATTTCTTACTCCTCCCCTGCAACTCCCCGCCCATGACAGCTCAACTCTCCCACAACCACAGGTCCGTCTGCGATCCCTCGCGCTCTGCATCCAGCACCAAATTATTCGTATTCAATTGGTCCGCCGCCGTCAGCATGCAGTCCAGCGACAGCCCCAATCCCCGCCAATCAAGGGGTATCTCGTCATCTTGCTCCGAGATCTCATGTGGGGGCGGAATCCCCGATCCCCCTATTTCCCCAAGCAGCCCTGACCCCGAGGGCTGAACTGACTCGGTGAGTCGCTCCCGACCTTGGCTGGTAGGCGTGGCCAGGTGCGGCCGCGCGGTGTTATCATTTTCGATGTCGGTGGATCGACCCTGCCGTCGCATCAACGGTGCAATCAGCTCTTCCAGCAGCTCAACTTCGGACTTGCGAAGCTGCGCCACGCGGTTTCCTCGCTCGATCATCGCGTCAAGGAGGCTGTAGCCCATATCGCGGTAGCTCGGGTCGGGAAGTGTATCGGGGAGGATGGCGGAGATTACGGAAAGAATAAAGAAGGAGGAAAAGAGGTTTTCAAGGTCGAAGGGGAGAAAGGTTTCTAGACATCTATGTCTCAGTATAGAATGTGACTTTACTTGGAGGGGTCCCAACCTAGCAGGTTTTGGTCGCGCAATGCGGTAAGTATCCGCAAGGATTTTGTCGCGGAGTCGATGCACGCCTGAAGCAATGCTTGCACGGGCGGAGATAGAGTGCGGAACTCGGTACCTGCCTCGTAGCAGCCGAGGCGCTCCCATAGCAGGCTCAGGACAAGGGGTCTCGTTGTGACAATGATGCACTATGCTATTAGTCGCGATACACACTATGATGAGGGTGGCGCTTACAAGATGACAGGATAGGGTCAGGCGTGTGGTAACCCCAGATAGTGAGTCGACTGAGTTCGCAAAGCGATGCGAGAAGACCTCATCAAGCTCTCGCGATAGGGTGGTCATTTCTTGCAAGACCGATCGCACCTTGCGAAGAAAGACTCCTCCCAGTGTGCCATCGGCACTGTAGACAGCTACTGGATGTCAGCACTGTGATTACTAGGCGCCAAGTGACTTACTGTTCAACACGCGCGTTATAACTTGTGTGATCTTGACATGGAGGCTCAGGGTAGCTTCGTTGCGAGAAGATGTGCGCGGATCCCATAAGAGCGTGGTGATTTCGTCGTCCCGCACGGAGTTTGGGGACCCTATCAGTGCCGCAAATTTGCGGTCCAGGATATACACTGTCCACCAAATGTTGCTGCAGCGTTCGACTAATCTTCGTCCTAGTTGATTGACTGGAAGCGCCCGGTGGAACCCTTCAACCAATGCCATGCGCATCGAATGGCCAATCTACACGATCAGTCAGGGCAACGAAACGCTGTGCGAATACTCACATAGCAATAGGCAGTATCCCTCATATCCACCGAGTGAAAGTACAGCCCAATGAGAGCCAGTACTTCGATTGCAAGGGTCGGGTCCTGCCATAACCCAGTGATGTCCGGCAGCAATGACATTGCCCTCGAGAAATACTTGGTCCAGCTCGCCGTGTTCGCGTGGTTCCGTACTGGGTCCAGGAAGGCCTCTCCGAAGGCTAGGATGATGAGAAACTGCACGTACCACAGACGGCATTCTTGCACCTTGGCTGCCGCATCGTCGTAAAACTCATACATATGCCGATAGAACTCATCCTCATCATATAACCGATACAGGTGGGTGAAATGAAATTGCACGGTGCTCACCATGTACAATGCATGCTCCAGCGAGGGTAGACCGCTAATGTCAGGGGCCTCCTCCGAACTGGCGTGACGCCACTGTATTTGATATGCATCGCCATCGACCGCGAGAGGAATCGCCCGTGGGCTCTCTGGCGAGATATGTGCCTGTACAATGGTAAGGATGCGGCGGCTGAATGACCAGGTCGAAGTCGGCCCAAGAAACACTGCGCAGCGGTCAGCAATTTCCATACTAGGGAAACCAGAAAACCTACGCCATATTCGCTGTCGACGTCCGGTATGTTTGAGGTAGCCCGGGTTGATAAAAGGGTTGGAGGTGAAATGGTCATCCATTCGATGGGACTCAGTTGGATCGAGTGATGCCTCTCGGGGCAACTCCGATGCTCGCTCTGCACTGATTAGATAAGGATATGCAGCGCATGAAACGATCTCTCCCTCACCATAACTGGATTCATTTGTACTGTCAGTTGTCAAGGCTCGCCGGCGTTTGACCACTGGGGAAGAGTCACCGCTTCCTTCCAAAGCCTCCACTTTTCGCTTGAGGGAAAGAAATAGCCTAGACATATTAGAACCTTTCCTTGAGTCACAGCGATCATGATTCTCACTCTTCAGACACTACAATCTTGCGATCATCCTCGAAGACACAATCTTCACGACGCTGACAGCACTTGTCGCAGGGATGGATGCCAGAACATTTGACCTTGCGTGAGCGACAGCGTTGACAGCTGGTGGGGTTAGTGGGCATGAACTACTAGTAGTCTCAAGATCCGGGGAAAGAGATGGCCTTACGCATTACTGGTCCGCTTGGGACGCTGGGAATGGTCCATTGTCTCTGACTGGAAGTTCTCACCGACGTCAATCTTCCTCCCTAAAATACTAGCCTATGATCATGGAGTTGCTGCAATCTTTTCACTGGACTTGACGATGGAGAGAATGAAGCAGCCGGAATATGCTGGGACAAGTCAATTTCCCCACCAAACGGAGGCTGAGTAAGCGACCCCGCCCGTTATCGGCAGATAATAATATTATCAATCTTGTCACGATAGGGCCAAAAGATCGTCAAAGGATATTCCTTCAATATCTCTTGATAATAAAATGAAGAAGGTATATCTCTCTGGCTTCGGTATTCTCCACATGAAGTATTACCCCAAGTTATGTCCAATCCAGGGACTAAACAAGCTTGCTTGACGGGAACAAATTTGTGTGAGATAAAACCATGCCCCAATGAACTCTTTCACTAAGCTTTTTGTTTTGCTTTAAACTAAGGTTGCGCAGAGCTACCACCATATTTGGCTGAGAGCATGAACCCATCTTTCTGAGATTTGGGCCAGATGGTAGCAAAGCCTCTCGGTGCGGTCCTTTCACGACTTTAGCCTCTACGCGAGGCAGTTAAACGTAGCTAAACATTATAGTCTGTCTCTGGAGTAAATTCGTCTAGGACGACTCAATTGAATGCAACTTTTTTGGATTCAACAGATGAATAGCCACAGATGAATAGCCGCTTACCGCCCAAAATTTTCCAGATCACTTGGGGCGCGGACTTTCAGGCATGCGATTCCATCTGGATGGTAAAATAGTCGCCCGGAATGATGACAATACCCGATCTATGGCATTGATTGATCGATATACTAATCATATATTCTATTGGCAAACTGTGTCTCGGTTTGATAATTCTTACGACTTATTGAGCAGATGGGTGCGCATACCGGAACTGTTACCGTGGGAGAACCGGATGATATTCACCTTTCTCAAACGACTCTCTAACAGCCTTAGCAGCAAGCTCCCTTGGCTACGACAGGGATTTTACCATGTCAACAACTGAGATTTGTTCTAGAAGATTATGCCAGTGACTCACTTTGAATCAACCCGCATTCCGTAAGCACACTAAGGGCCAACCCTTGCAGTCCACATCAGCGCAGCCCAAAAGCACACAATAATCCAGGCGCGCCCACAGCATCGGACCATCCGTCGGACTCCAGGTAAAAAGTGGAGCAGGAGTTGCTTTCTTCTTTCTAAGCCTTGTTAAGCTTTCCTTGGTCTTTGTCTGACCGTGTTTAGCATCCACCTCTACCCAAAGAAGAAATGAGGGGCACAGTAGCACTATACCTAGTCAAGAAGGTCTATGAATCCCTGCATCTCTCAACCAATGAGTCGAGCAGAGATATAGTGCTCCCTGAAACAAGTACTGACTAGTATGACAACTATCCCTGATGTAACTTCTTGTATTCTTGTCTGATTCTCAGGTCTTTGTTTCCGGGTTTTGGAAACAAACCAGGACACTTCTGGTCAATCACAACAATGGAATAGAGGAAGCCTGGCTCTACAAATAGGTACTTCCTGGCGCTTGGTGAGTGCGATGTGAAGGCTCATACTGCACTTGGTGTATTATCCAGGTCTCTCACCATATAAACTTTTTACAATAAACAGGTCCTTCTGCGTACGCATTTCATAAGTGTTCTGCATAGGGCGTACACATGGGTTCGGACTCCGGGTAAATCGGCAAATGACTACATACAAGCTTATTTTCTCTCGGATTATAGCATCCCTTGTCAATGTACACGACAGGGGTATGAGAGTATTTTACAATGTTTCCTTTTAAAACTCCACTTTGATGCCTTTTTCCGAGTGGTCAAGCCTTGGACCCTAGTCGACTGTGAGTCAAATGCAGTCCTAAAGGTCCTCAAGCATCAGGGAGTATATCATGCCCTTCATGAATTATTTTTTTGTCTTGTATCTATTCATTCAAATGTCACCATCATTTGCCCTTTGTACGCCACCCTCGATCGTTCTTCCACCATGGCTTATACACAGAGCACCAGCAGAGAAGATAGGGGTCACGAGCAGGACTCAATAGAACTAGTGACGGTGATGGAACCTTCCCCGGATACTGCTGTATGTAAGACCGAAGATAGCACCGATGATGCGGACCCAGAGCCATCGACTGCTCGCCTAGTATTGGTTCTGTCAGGTCTCTGGGTAAGCAGTTTCTGTACACGCCATGATGAACAAAAGATCTACCCACTGATTCTGAACCTCGTGTCATCAGGTTGGGGTCTTGCTCAGTGCGTTGGGTAAGTACAAAATCTTCTTTTTCGCGCAACTTGCTGGCGAACATGCAGGTTTCTGACAAAGGATAGACTCAACCATGCTTGCCACAATTATTGAGGATATATGTAATGAATACGATGCTTTTTAATCGTATTCCTGGGTCGCTACCACATACCCCATAGGTCTCTCCATCTCGCAGCCATTCAGCGGACAACTGACCAACCTGTTGGGCCGACGATATGGCCTTGTACTTTGTCTCTCAGTCTTAGCCGTAGGACAGCTTCTGTGCGGACTGGCGCCCCGTTTGTCAGTCTTCTTGCTTGGACGGATCGTTCAGGGTCTTGGTGCAGGCTGCATCGGCACCATCACTGCTTTTGTCGAAACCGATCTAGTTTCCATGAGAAAACGGGCGCTGATTGAAGGGATTGGCAACATTACCTATGGTGTTACATTGGCCCTGGGCGGCGTCTACGGGGGTGGCGTCGCCAACGCCATTGGATGGAATGGGCATTCCGTATCCAAGTGCCCTTCATCATTCTCGACATCGCGATGGTGGCATTCTATCTCAACATCTCTCAGGGTAAAAGCCGTCCTATCAGACGCCCAGTTGACTACGTCGGCATGGTCGCTCTTCTTGTCGTCATTATCCTCTTTCAGTTCGGCATGAATGCTGGTGGTTTGGTTTTTGCCTGGAACAGCGCAGCGGTGCTAACCACCTTAATCCTTGCCGCGGTAGGATTCCTAGCATTCCTCTTTTGGGAATTCTATAAAGTCAAGAACCCTCATATTCCAGTTCGAGCCCTACTACAACGCACTGTGGCCGCGTCGCAACTGAGCTCATTCTTCTCCAACTTCGGCAACACTAGCATAATGTACTACGTGCCCGTGTACCTGGAGGTTCTTGGCCACTCCCCAGGCCAGAGCGGCCTACGATTCATTCCCTTGGCTCTCTGCTTTGCTTTTGGATCTTTCGCCGCTGGGCTCTTCGTCAAGGTCACAGCCAAGTACTACTACATCAACTTCCCCGTCCAAGCCTGCTCCGTCCTGGGCGCTGTCATGTTTTGTACCATGACCCAGACAACACCTTCTTGGGCGCCTTTCGTTTATCTCGGCATTTACGGTGCCGGGTCCGGCGGGGCGTACGTGACCAGACTCATGGGTCTCCTCACCTCGGCCGATAAGCAACATCTCGCCGTGGTGCAATCCTGTTCCTTCACTGTCCGCAACACTGGCACCACCATAGGTCAGACCATCTCCGCTGCTATCTTTCAGAACTTGTCAGTCAATTCCCTACGATCTCTTTTTCGAGGCCAGCCTGGTTTGGCTGATCGAATCTCGCACAACTACAATCGGCTCGACCTGCTGAGTGGTTCGGAGAAGCAGACCGCAATCTTCATCTATCTCCGTGCCGCACGTGGAGTGTTTTTCCTTGCCATGTCGGTTCTGGTTGCCGCTGCGGTGTCGGCCTTTGTTATGCAAAATAATGAGCTGGTTGATAGTCCGAGGGAGAGGCGGAGTGCTGAGGAGAAGGGAGAATTGAAGGAATTGAAGAAGGCGAAAGATGAAGAAGAAGCGCCGAACTGATTTGTGGCCAGCAGGTGGCTTGGATATACAATACAGCCACCGAATTAAAGTGGCTCCTGCTTGATCCATCGCTAGTTGTTTTCATGTTCCCCCGATCACAGAGTTCTTCGATCGGGTCCATTTGGTTTTTGGGGTGGTGGCTATCATCCCTGGCTTTCTCATTACGAAGAGTGCTTACTGTATAGGCACCTCAGTGTAAATATATACCAGTACAGTACTAGCTGTGGATAAATTCGCCATGTCATTAATTGCAAAGCAGGCCGTACATAAGCGAGAAGGTTTCTATGATAAGATAAATTACGGGGGAAATGATATATGCTATGCTCAGAGTGTCAAAATTCCATCACTGATGAAATCCAAGCCAGCATCAGGTGGAAGGTGGATGGCCGATTAGGTATATTCAATGGCAGCCTTAATATAACACAAAATGGTTAATATTATTCATCCACGGCAAGATGGCCGAGTTGGTCCAAGGCGTCAGGTTAAGGTCCACCTTAATACCCAGCTTCACAGCTTCCTGATCATCGTAAGATGGCGTGGGTTCGAATCCCACTCTTGTCATTCCTTTTTTGCGCCTCCGCATATCATTGCAGACCTTTTCGTCGGTCCGCATTAAGTCCAACAACAAATCTTATTCTATTTTATTCTATCCTTTGCTTTTTTCTAGTTCTTTCGATCATTCACTACTCTCATGCTTTTGAATTATGCTCATCTTAACTTTCCCGTTTTCATCCTATCCCTTTGTGTTTCCAAACCAACTACTATAACCAAACCCAAATATCCTCATCCCCTGAGATAACCAACATGTGCGGAGTACAAACAACCTTGCCGGTCATGCTTCTACTTCTGGTCTATACATACACATGCTGAACGCTGACTCCCAATATCAAAGGTCTAACATCAGCACGCATCGGCAACGAGCTACATGTCTCACTTCAACATAAGTACTTCATGACGACATTTATCTCATCAAACCATCTAATTCCACCACTACACTGCAGAACAGCAAAAGAAATATATAATCCTGTATCAATCATAATCCGTATCTAGCACTCACTACCAATCGGTCCTATCCCCGAGATAAACATGGATTAGCCCCATCAATTGCCCATGACGTCGTCACCAACTCCATCCAAATCAATTAACAAACAACACACCCCGAAGATAGTCATTTCTCCGCCTTAGGCGGGTACTCTTTTCCATCGCGCACCACCTTCGGCGCACAAGTGCAGCGCTCACTCTCCGGAACCGAGTCCAGAACGGAGGGGATATGCGCGCCGCAGCCCCACCAGGTGGCTTTGTCTGAATGCATTCATTAGGATCATAACTTGGCGGCGATATGCGATGGAAGGGACGTGCAACATACTGCAGTTCGAGCAGTTCACTTTCATGCACATTTTGAGAGAAGGTCGTGGTCTTGTTCTTGAATATGAGGGGTTGCGAGGGTAAATGGAAGTTGATGGAAGGAGATAAACTCAAGATAGAGGCGGATTTATAGCTCCTCAGACCCTTGCTTAGTCATGATGAATCGCCGACCGGAGTGATCCCCGAGAAACCCGACCGGTCTCTTGCGGGGAAGTTGAGTTGCGTGGGGGTTCAATGATGCAAGTTTGGTGTTTGGGACGGAGTATACGTGAAGATAGCATCAGGAAGGTATGTATATAGGGCTAAGTGGAGGTAGTGTGACGGTGGAGGGACCTTGGGGGAATTGGTGTCATAGTTACTACTTATAGAGTAAACTCCCACTTTGTGCTTTGCTTTAAACATGATGAGCGTAAATTCAGTATTCTACTGGGTACTCGTTATAAACAGAAGCATCAAAAAGGCACTGTCATAGATCGTCATATCTCATGAATCGGTCGTCCATCTACAACTTTCCCATTCTCTCTGCTGGAGCACAGCACGTGGCTGCTGGCTCAGGATGCAACGTCGACTTGTTGAATGACTGCGTCGAAGGCGGCACGTCCAATGCGGGATTCTTGGTGAAGAATCCGTCGGGCTTTAGCATGACGCTGACGCGCTCGACGGGCATGACGGGGAAATCTTCAATGCGAGGGTTATGCGTCAGGCCGAAGGCTGTCATGTTAGTTTTAGCCCTGCTGCCGACCGGCAATACACAAGAGAAGGATCACTTACTATGCCACAACACAATATCCTCATTCTCAACAGGATCCTTCCGCTGCACCCACTTCTCCACCCCCTCGCTCTCCCGGCTCTGGTTGGTGAATTCACCCGCCGCATACAGCTCGTCGTCCCGGTACTTCGTAATCCAGATGGGTTTGGTCGCGAAGCCGGCACGCTTGGCGCCGTACGACTTCGGGCTCGAGAGAAGCATCTGACTGGGCGAGGTCTGAAGCTTATATGCTATGGGCTTGTAGGTGATGGGGTTAATGTGGGAGTCATTGCGGATTTTGAACACGCGGTGACGGTTGATATCGGTGTTTGCTGTGCCGCTGGTACGGAGCACTGTCTGCTCGGTCGTGTATCCCACCAGGTAGGGGTTGTTTTCATCCTCCGGTAGTGGCACGCTATCTTCGTAGTAGACAGTGTTATTGAATCCGTCCAAGGCCGGGTCCATCCGGAAAGAGAACATGTGCTGGTGGAAAGGCGCCATGACGCCAGGGCCGACGTTGGTGCCCCAGGGAACGGTGGTACCGGGCTTCTCGTTGTCGAAGGGGACGGTAGATAGAATACCGGTGGCTCTGACTTCGAGCTCAATGTTAGCGGCTTGATCAAAGATGAAGGCGAAGATGTATTCGTAATTTGCGACAGTACAGATCATCTGCACTACTAGTTGGCGGTTGCGGACGACCGTGGCGGCGTTATTGCGGTAGTTGGTATGTTTGTGCTGCAGACCGTTATCTTGCTCATGAAGACAGATAACATTCTTCAGCAAAACGGGGTTTCCCTTTGAATCAGCCCGGTAGCCATCAAAGTACTTGATGTGGCCTAGACAGTCGCAGCCTAGGGAGAGTTGGTTTGCTGTGACACCGAAGCCTACGTCTCCCACATCGAATGCCTGCTTGCGGTGATAGGGTGCACGAGGATCTATAGCGCAAGATCAGTATGAGACTGGTCTGCTGGGGGCAGCTAAAAATGAAATAGTATAACTCTAGACTTACCACCGTACGGCACAGTCATCTCCGACATGGACAATCTGTAGAAGACATTCCGCTTATCATAAGTGAGATTGTAGATAACGAGACCCTCGCGGCTATTGAACCCAACGCGGAATCTCCACTTTTGCCACGAGACCACATTTCCGTCGACATTGAATGATGGGCCCTGGGGCTGTTGGACGATATAAGGCTTGAGGTCAGTGCGCAAGGGTTCCTGCAGCAGGTCATGCGCGTATTGGATGGTCTCAACCGGCTTCCAGGGCTGCGTTTCGGCGGTCTGCATATCAACTCCACCTGGCAGGTAGTCCATACGGACCAGCTCGCGCTTGTGAACGTCGAAGACAGGGGAGAACTTGCAAGGTACAGAGTAGTGGTTGTTCTCGGGATGGTCTGTAGCAACAATGTACATGTAGCACTGGAACAAGCGACGCGTCTCATTGGGATCATCAGTGCCGTAGATCCAGGGGTCATTGCAGACGGTGACACCTGGAGGCAGCTTCAATTTGGCGACCTCGGCCTGTACCGCGGGGTGAGAAAGACAGAGTTGCTCGACCTCTCCTAGTTCGTCCGGATCACCAGGTCCCTGTTGTGGTCAGAGACAATGTGAGGTAACGTAGATGAACGCCATGAGTCATACCTGAACATGCTTGGGCAGTTCCTTGGCCGAGATTATTGATCGGGAGTCGGCATTCAACAATGCTCTGCAGAAGGCCAGGGTGTCCATGCGGTGAAAAAGAACCAGCAGCAACCGAGTGGGCTTTGCGGGCAGGGGCTTGCCCAGCCGTTCTGCTTCAATGAACGGAACCACTTCACTCTTGATGGGTTCCTGGATATCAATCTTCTTGTACCGTAGAGGGACCCCGGGGAAGGCCGCCGCCAGAATCTTGGTGGCCAGGACGATTTCCGCCGGGGTGATAGAGTCGAAAGGGTGTGGTGAGACTGCCATGGTGTCTATATCCGGGGATCTGCCAAATAATCGAGACACTGCTGAAGTTGAAGGGAGGAATGAGGGACAGCAGAAGCTAGCAGCTATATAACTTTTTCCTCCCCGCCCAGATTGCCCAGATTACCCCGATTGGAGACACAGGCGGAGTTGCCATATCTTCCCTTTTGGGAATGTATTGGCCTCCGCTTCGTCAAAGGGGCCCCTGATTGGTCCGCACGACCGACCCGGCGTATCTTATACTGTATAGGGACTAGCTTGGGCGCCTTATCGGGGCCTTGCTTATCTCAGCTAACCACCAATCAGAATCTGGATAAACTTGGCGGTGAGGAAAAGAAACTTTCTTATGTAATTGATATTTATGCAAGGCCTCATACATTTTTGTGCTGTTCAATCAACAGTGCATTGACCAGTCACATTCTCCCTTTCCTGTTATGACACCATGAAAGCCGTGACCCCCAGCACCAAGCATGCCGTGACTCCAGTTACTACCCCTGCCCCAATTCGATCCGACGTGGTGATCGGGCGCAGTTCACTGGGATCTCGGGACGAATCTGACGTTTGTGTCCCTGCGGCGCTGTTCCCCTGGCTGGATCCTCCCGTGGTATGAGTGAGTGGACCAGGGTTGGCCTGCAGGAGGTTGGCCTGGACCACCTCTAAGGCGGCCATTTGCTGTCCCACGCCCACTGTGCCATCATAGGTTCCCGTGGTCCATTGCATCCCACAGTATGTGTCCGTCTTACCTCCCACACATTGGGCGGCGGCTGCCTTGGCTGTCGGTTGCAGGCGTGCCATAATGGTTTCGTAGGTGAAGGGAGCCAGTCGGGCAGTGTCAGCCATCCATCGTACCAGATAGGCCTTGAACGAGAATTGGTCTGTTTGGCAGGTCCCCACCGTTTCGCATGCGGCCTCGTAAAGGACGTTCTTGGAGCTCTCGTTCGTAGAGAGGAAGCTGTTCTGCGCCTGGAGAAGGCCGTTGACTCGTTCGCGCCACTTCTCGTCACCGTTGGTCTGCAGTCCCGTCAGTTGTATATCCTGTGCAGCAAGCAGGTCTTCAACTCACGTAGTTCCACATGTGTGCTGCCCCTAGCAGGAACACCCCGTTGTTATAAGTCCACTCAATATGATTCAGGTCAGTGCAGTTGTTCTCCTCGCTCGTCCCGTCGAACACATGGTACTCCGGCCCAATCAGTCCTACGTCCGTCACCCAATCCCAGACCTTATTTGCCCAGTCCGCATACGTAGCGTTGCCCGTATATCGTGCGAGTCGAGCCGCCATGTTGAAGAAACACCCGTTCGAGATTGAATTCCGGTACGTGTAACCGCTGTTGAACGTGTAAATCTGCCATTTTAATCCTCCTCCACACTTCTGCGTATTCCATCGCTGCGCTTGTTCATTGAAAACGGCCTGCGCGAGAGCTAACCACGACGGTTGATCGGCTGGCGGATTGGGGAAGTTTCGCTCGGCGGCACGCAGGGCAGCGAACGCCCAGAACGCCTGGTCATCATTTCCCTCCGTGCGCGTCTGGTTGGCGGGCATGAAGTCTTGGTTGGGACCGACCTGGTGGAGGATGGCTTGCGCGGTCAATTTGTTATACGTGGTGTCTCCGGTGTAGGCCCAGTAATTGACCAGGGTGCCAAAGAAGGCCCCCGCCTCCCACCAGTAGTATGGATCTGGAAGGTTTCCGGGAACATCGCCGGTGTTGTTGCCCGTATAGAAGCTGACTAGGTCCCAGGCGAGGTCGCTTGCGACGCTCTTTATGCTGTCTAGTTGACACCAAACAAATTTATTAGCCTCCAACAAAGGTTCAACATCTGGACAAGGTCCTTGAAACTCACCAGCATTCTGGAGATCAAGGTCGATCGCCAGGACCTGGAAGCAAGGGAGAGACCAAACAACACAGATGAGGAGTGACCGCCAAGGGCGAAGTTGCGGAATGTGCATCATCACACCGTACCCATCAAGCTGTTTGCAAAACGCGTGAAAAGACAAGAAAATTAGGAATGAAGGTTCAGGAAGAGAGAAAGAAAAGACGAGATTAGAGAGGAGGCGTGTTCCAGTGAATTCGAAACATTATGCTAAGACTGGCTGTGGAATAACACGAAACGGCATATGCAAGGGCCTTCTGCGGGCCGTAGCAAGGACCTCATTATTGCCAGTGAATGGATGCCACATTTGGAAACTCGAAGGCAGCAAAAACCAGTGCGTGACCAGACTGTCCTATTAATGTATCATCATTCGTGTTCTAATGCTTTGGCAGATTTGTAGTTGGGACCCAAGATAATTCCGGTCTATAGCAGTGGTTGGCGCGAATATCCTCCAGGTGTGATTGATGTCTGTCATCCGTGAAAAGAGTAGTACTCAGCGAGCTATTTTTAACCAA